AGAGAGAGAGAGAGAGAGAGAGAGAGAGAGAGAGAGAGAGAGAGAGAGAGAGGCGCCTCGCGTGTCGCCCGATCAAGGTGGACATTTGGGGCGAATTAGTGGCGCGACTCCACTTTTAATCTGCCGGACACTGCACTGGAAACGGGGCGCGATTCCCACGCCACTGAGCGTGGAGCGAGGAGCACCCCCCGGAGAAGGAGAAGGAGGAGAAGCAGGCCGCCGTGCTGGAAGGCTGGAGGCGTTACGTCGCAGGGAAGGCCGAAGACCTTGAGTCTGCAGCCGTGCTGCAGGCGTTGCAGCGCGCCAAGCCAGGGCCAAGCCCCCGTGCCGGCCTGACGGCCTGCCGGCCCCGGGCCCCGGCCGTGCGTGCGGCCCTCCTCTGGCCGCGCCCTGCCGCCAGCCTCGTCCGACCCGCCCGACGACAAGCCCTACGCCGCGGCGGCGCTGGCTGCCAGCCCCGGCTGCCCGGCCGTACGGGTACCTTGTACTCCGGTTGTAGTCGTGGCCGGGCCGTGGCGAGCCGCGCCGGCACATACGCCCCGAGGAGGTGGCGGCCCCTGTCCCCCCCCCCTCTCCCCTCCGACCCGCTGCAGCCGTGCACGCTGCATCTCCGACGCCAAGATGGACTCCGGCATCGACTCCAGCACTCGGAGCGGACTGCAGGAGGAGCGACTAAAAAATAAAAAAAACACAGCCTTTGGAGAAAAGCGCGCGCAGTCATTGGCGAATCGCGCAACGTTTTTCTCGCTTCCCTGTGCGGTGCACACACTGTACACACACCGTGCGCTGTGCAGTGTGCTCCCACGTATCAGAAAGGGTGTTGGCAATGTTGCGGCGAGCGCGCAAATTTGCTTTAGTTATTTTATTTTCTCTCGGGATGCAAGTCCAGGCGCCCTTCTGGTGTGGCGACCAAAGGGCACTGGCGGTGCAGGTCTCTCCCCCCCCTCCCAGTGCCATAATGCTATCTGAATAGGTTGGCGACTGATATTCCCAAGAGTCGTTTCTGTCTCTGTCGCACTCATGGGGCGCGCCGTAGGGGTGCGAGAGAGACAGAGCGACGAGGCTGCTCTTCGGAGTGGCTCGGCCGGCCGCTGGGCTATCAAGCTGCCCCCCGAGGGGCCCCAGCGGCCCCCGGGGCCCTCGAAGGGCAGAGCGTCGCGCCTTCTCGCCGAGCGAGCCTCAAGCCGGTTCGACCCCACGTGACCCGCGGCCCGTAGGCCGTGCCGTAGGCCGTGCCGTAGGCCGTAGGTAGCGGGGGGCTGGCAGCCTCCAGCGGGCTGCAGCAGCGCTCTCCAGCCTCTCCCTCTAGTGCCTCTCCGTCGCTCTCGGCCGGCCGGGCCGCGCCGAGAGCGAGAGAGAGGGGCATGAAGAGACGCGGCAGAAACCTTTTGCCCCTCGTGAAATGCTGAGCGAAGCGCAGCGAGCGGTGCACGCGGGGCCGCGGACGACGACGGGGAGGACGACCCACCTGTGCGACACACTGTGCGACGGCCGCGCCGCCGTGCCGCGGAAACACAGTGCAACAACGCGGATGGCATTCGACGCGCCCCGCCCCCTTCATCCCCCACTTCACGGTGCTTTGCCGCCATTACCTCCGCTTCCTGGGGCTGGCTGCCTTGGCTGGCCTGGGGGGTCTAGAGGGCCACGTCCGGGCCGGTCGGCGTGTGGGTGTCCCGGACGGCATCTCCCTCAAAAGGCGGTGCCGCCAATATTTTGATTCGCTTTTTGCGATTTTCGGCAAGTCACGGATGTGCCTACACTGGCCTGGTCCGCCTTTTCTTTCCGGCTCGGTTCGGCTCGCCTTCGGGACGCTGCACTGTAGTACTGGCCTGGACGTTCCTGGCTCTGTGATTGGTGGGAACCGATCTACGGTGACGGCGGCTCGCCGCGTCCGTGTGGTATCGATTTTTTTTCCTCCCCCGGTCTGCGATGTGGTTCTAAATTTTCTGTGGCCATATCGGGCCGGCTTGCCGCGGCTTGCCCCGAGGCCCCCCTGGCCTCCGCTGACTCCAGCCAGCCTCTCCAGCCAGCCTCTCCAGCCGCGCGGAGTTGTTCTCCAGGCGATACGAACGGCTACCCGAACGATTTGGAACACACTATCCAGGCAGCAAGCCGAGCCGAGCGGGTTGGGCCGGGCCGTGGCGAGCCGCGCTGTGCCTCGCCGCGCGCTCAGGGCTCCAGGCGCTGCTCGGCTCTCCAGCTCCAGAGACTGCAGGGCCGGCCGCGGTCCCAGGGCGGCAGCACCGTCGCCGGGTACGGGTGCCTTGCGCCTTGCGCCTGCAGTGAAGGGAGAGAAAGGCCCCCCTCCCCCTCCCCCTTCGGGACTCTTGCCACCCGACCGGCTCTCCTCACCTCACTGGGCCCCCTGGGCCCCCTGGGCCCCATACCCGCCCCGCCGTGCCCCGGCGTACCCTGCAGGGCCCCAAGACCTCCTTCTGGGCCGCGGAGCGGAGTGGCCTCCTGTCGCAATGCGCCTCCAGCCAGCACCGCTGCAGCGTGCAAGCACGCCCTAAGCCCCTATTGGCGCGTGGCGCTGCTACACTGCACGACACTCCGCGCGCTCTGATTTGTCAGGGGAAGTCCCCTGGCGCGCGGGGTAGCGTCACGGGTCACTGTTGTCGTGACGGCTAGCTCGGCCCGCCAGCCCCGCGGGTCGTCGCTCGGCCCGTAAACAAACAAGCCCGTTAGTATTGCCGATTTCTGGCCAGTCATCTCCGCGGCCCCTCTGGGCCCCTCCGGCCGAGGCTGGCCGACACGGTCTGGCCGGCCTGGCCTGCGGACAGCGCCGTCTCTCTCACACCCACAAGGCGCCCCGTGTGGGTGCGAGAGAGACGGAGCGACGAACACGACTCTCGGAATCAGTGTGCCGGCCGACGTTGTCCCGCCGCGGGCGCGAGGCGCGAGGCGCGAGGCGTCCGTGTTTTCTGGTGTGCCGCCTCCAGCCTCCCAGCGCTTCCAGCCATGGCACGGCCATAGCGACAAGGTCCAGCCGGCCGGCCCGAAGACCGCCGTGTCTGCCGAACGGACAAACTCCCTCCTCGATTCCGAACCGAACTGAGCTTAGTCGGCGAGGGTCAGCTCGTGGACCGCGCTGCAGTGGTCCAACTTCTTGGCCAGCTTCTTGGCCGGGGCGGTGAGGTCGTCCGTCTGTCTCGCGCAGCCGGCGCGAGGCTACGCGAAGCTACGCGAAGCGACCGTTGCGGGTCTTTGGGCCGCTCCGCGCTCCGCGCCCCGCCTCGCGCCCCGCGGCCAACGCGGACGAGTTTGGATGAGCCGAATTCGGACAGCCGTGATGGCGCGCACGGTGTGCGGCACACCGCCCCGGGCACTCGCTCCACCTCGCTCGGGCCCGGCCGGCTCTACCTACAGTGTCGGCGTGCCGGCCGGGAAAAGAGAAATTGAGCTGACCGGGGCGTGGCGCTGCGCTGCGGCCCGGGCCGCCCTGCCGCCGCCGCCGCAGTGCCGCGGGGCGCGGTGTGGCGCGGTGGGTATCGAGGACCGTCCTGCTCCTGCGGCCGGCCGCCGGCCCGATGGTGGCCGCACATCTCCTAATCCACCCAGGGAAAGTGTGTCGTCGTCGCGCACCCGACGCACAGTGGGCCAGAAGACCGGCGGCGGCGGCCAAAACTCTGGACGCGTTTTGAGCTCCAGAGTCGCTGAATGGGACTTGAACCGCACGTGTGACCCCACCAATGGATTCCTCTCCGGACGAGGAATCCATTGGTGGGGTCACACGTGCGGTTCGAGTCCCTTTAGCGACTTTGGACCTCAAGAAGCGTCCGGGATTTTGGGCGCCTACACCGGTCTTCTGGCACACTCTGCGACGGTGCCCGAAGGGGGTAACGCAGTAACACGCGCGCGATGACGGCGCGACGAAACGGATGGACGATTGGATGGACTTCCCTGCGGGCGGCCCGGCTGCGCCTTGGCTGCGCCTTGAGCCCGGCCCGGCGCGAGCCTCAAGATTTCATGGGGTTTGATGTGTCGTGTCTCGCGGGCCACCGCGGGCCCCACGCACGTCGAGCAGGCCCCCATGCAGCCGGCCCACGGGTGGTCCAGCTCCCGGCCGCCGCCCCCCCCGCCCCGCCCCGCCCCGCCCCGCCCCGCCTCGCACCTTCGGCGGCGCGACCCCCGTGCCGGCCATGCTGGCGTGGGCAGGGCGCGGCGGGGTGCGCGGGGCCCACGTACTCGTGGACGTGAGCGTGTCCAGTGCGGGGCCTCGCCCGGCCGTGCCTTGCCGTCCGGCGTGTGGCCCGGCCGGCTACCGTCCTGCGGCCTGCGGGCTTACGGTGTGCTGGCTGTGTTTGGCGGCGTGCAGCTGTGTGTGCGGAGCGGTGTGGGGCGAGCCCCTTAGGCCCTGGCCCGGCCCGGCCCGTGCACACAACGCACGACGGACATGCGAACGCACAGTGCAAACACACTCACACACTCGCTGACAACGGTCGGCCCGGCGGCGCGGAGGGCTGGCGGTCCGCCTGCGGTGTAGGCCCGCCCGCCGGGCCTCCGCGTCGAAAGGGTTGCCTACCCGGACGGCGCTCGGCCGCCGCGCTGCCGCGCTTCGGGGAACGGAACGCGTGTCGAAAGCGAGGCGAAGCGAGGGAGAAAGGGAAGGCAACGAGTGTGTTAGCGCCCTGTGCGTCACCGCGCCGTCACCGCGCCGTCACCGCGTCACCCGGCTGCAGCGCCGCGTCACCTGCGTCTGGCCGCGTTCGCTCGCCGCGTGAGCCAACCAGGCCGTGGAAGTGAAGTGGCGGCCGAGTGGCGGTCACGAGTCACGACACTGTCACGACGCCGGCATCCGGAATCCGTCTTCTTCGCCGGCTTTCCCCGCGTCGCCGTCGCCCCATCCTGCAGACTGTCTCCCTCGCACCTACACGGGGCGCCCCATGAGTGCGAGAGAGCCAGAGCGACGAAAACGACTTTCGGAATCAGCCTACTTGTCTACTGTCCCCTATGACAGCCGAGTTCCTAACCGGTACGCCCTCCTTGACGTGTTCCAGGAGCTGTTCGCGCAGCTGCAGTTCTCCCAGGAGGCCGCCCTGCCGCCCGACGCGCTGCGCCGCGCCCTGGCGGAGTCCTTCTTCGACCAGCAGCGGTTCCAGCTCGGCTTCATGGACGATGCCGCCGAGTGTTTTGTAAGTACCAACCGCAGGAAAAAGAGAGTTCCTCCCAAAAAAAAATAAAAAGTTTGTGTAAGGAAACTGACTGGATCGTTGTGAACCCTTCCAGGAGAACATCCTGCTGCGCATTCACTTCCACATCGCGTCCGCCGAGGCGGAGGACATGTGCTCGGCGCGGCACTGCATCCCGCACCAGAAGTTCGCCATGACCCTCGTGGAGCAGAGCGTCTGCGGCGCGTGCGGCGCCACCAGCGAGCCCCTGCCCTTCACGCAGGTACGCAAGGTCCCGGGTTCGAACACCAGCTTTTCTTTTCAGTTTGCGTGTTATTTTTAAGGTTTATTACGACGAATTATGTCCTGGAGGTGCTGAGAAATTCCTAGTAACACAGCAATGACGATAATAATGAGGAGGAAGGAAGGGAGTTTTGTGTATGTGTGTGAGAGAGAGGGGGGAGAGGGGAGGGGGCTCTAATTATGAAAGTGAGCTACGCCCGGGGGTCGTCAGCTCCTCACGCAGGGGTGACCTCCGAGAAATGTCTTATTAATTGCGGTAGGGGCCCCGAAATCTCGGCCAGGCCACTTAGGGACGCCCCCGAGGCCGAAAGGGACGGGTAGGTCGGGGAGGGCGCGGCGCAGCGCTGTGAACGGAACAAAACGCGACCCGACAGGGCCGACAGCGAAGAATGGCATTTCCCCTTCTCCTCTCGCGCCTCTAGACGTGATGTGATTTACTCGGTCTGTGTGTGTGAGTGTGTGTGTGTGCGTGATGTCGTGGGAGGCCCGCGGCCTGGGTCATTCATGTCCAAGGAAAACACAGGGGGGAAATGGGACTAGACGTCTGTGCCCCCGTTGTCATGGTGACGAGGAATGCGTGTGTACAGGTAGACGGGGGTGGGTGAGAGAGAGAGAGAGAGAAGAGAGAGAGAGAGAGAGAGAGAGGGGGGGGGGCACCGGATTATCGAATTGAATGCCTCCATTCAAGGGCCGCCCCGCTGCCTTCATTACCACCCCTTTTGACGCTCAGCCCTTCCGGGCGCAGGGTGAGCAGGGATGGGGATCAGGCCAGAATAAACAGGGCGGAAAAATAAGCATCAGCCGAGTCCGCGGGACGTCCCTTTCCGTATGTATGGAAGCTGTCCATCCCTCACGAGAGTCGTCATCGGGAAGGGAATGCGGCCGCGGGACGTCCCGGCAGGAATGCGCTGCGCTGCGGCAATGACAACCACAATGCCTGCCTAGATGGCTCTTCGGTGTACCGCGTGCGTTCGTGCGTGCGGCCGTGTGTGTGTGTGTGTGTGTGTGTGTGTGTGTGTGTGTGTGTGTGCGTGCGTGTGTGTGTGTGTCGCCGATGTCGTTCTCCCTATCGTTATGAAATAGTGAGTCACGACCACGACGGCACGACGCCAGCCCTCTGTGTCCGTGCGCTTGTGTGTGTGTTTGTGCGCGCACGGTGTAGTTGTAGGCAACCCGTCGAGGCGAGGCCCCGGAGTCCCGGACGGTCCCGGACGCGAGTGGACGGCGCGCTGACCGGTGCGCTGCTCTGTGTTGCAGATGGTGCACTACGTGTCTGCCTCGGCGCTGACGGCGCAGGCGCGCCAGAGCGCCGCGCCCAGCCACCCGGACCTCTTCGGCCAGCTGCTCAACAAGGCCGGAGGCATGGGGGACATCCGCGACTGCCCGGTGAGTCCAGTGTGCCGTGAGGACGCGTGTCCTGGCGGTTGGGTTTTTTTACATTTTTCGCGTGCTGACCGTTTGATTTCTCATCCCCGCAGTCGGCTTGCGGCGCCAAGATCCAAATCTGCCGCACGCTGATGAACCGGCCCGAGATCGTGTCGGTGGGCGTGGTCTGGGACTCGGAGCGGCCCACCCTGGACCACATCATGTCCGTGTTCGCGACGGTGGGCACGACGCTGCGCCTCGCCGACGTGTTCCACAGTGTGGTGGACGCGCGCTGGGCCTCGGCCACCACGCACAACCTCGTCGGCGTGGTCACGTACTACGGCAAGCACTACTCGACCTTCTTCTTCCACACCAAGCTGCGCGTCTGGATCTACTTCGACGACGCGACGGTGCGCGAGGTCGGCCCCCGCTGGGACCAGGTGGTGGACAAGTGCCGGCGCGGCCGGTACCAGCCGCTGCTGCTGCTGTACGCCGCGCCCAACGGCAGCCCCGTGAGCGCCGAGGGCGCCCCCAAGACCATCACCCCCGTGCCCCTGGGCGTGCACGTGGGGCCCAGCTCCAACGGGCCGCCGCCCACCTGGAACCTGTCGCTGCCGGGCTCGCGAGAGAAGACGGCCGCGCAGATGTTCCGCCGGTCCGTGACGCCCAACCCGGACAAGGGGCTGCACCTCAACGGCCTGCCCAACGGGCTGCCCAACGGACTGCCCAACGGACTGCCCAACGGACATCAAAACGGACTTCCCAACGGACTTCCCAACGGCCTCCGCCGCGCCGTCACTCCCAACGGGCAGCCCAACGAGTACCAGAACCTGAGCGACATGCAGGCCATCATCTTCGGTCAGAAGCAGCAGCAGAACGTAAGTGCGCTCTCCTCACAGTGCGGGTGCCCGGTCCCGGACGCAGTGTGCTGACGATGCTTTCCCTTTTGCAGCAATCGGTGGACTGCGTGGACGGCACGGAGCCCGGCTACATCAGCCGCAAGGCGGTGGAGAGCGTGCTGAGCTACCAGCAGCAGCAGCCGTGCGGCAACTCGGCCATGGAGCAGCTCGCCGCCATGCAGGAGCAGGCGCTGGGCATGCGCTCCATGGGCTCCATGGGCTCCATGGGCTCCATGGGCTACAACTCGCTGACCCGCGCGTCGCCCACCACCGGACTCAGCCGCAGGTAAGTCGCGGGAAATGTGCTGTGGCGGATCCACATTCGGCGTCGCGGTGGGTGGGTGGCAATGTAGCACCTATTGCCTACTTACAGGGGCAAAGTAGCTCCTTTTGCCTACTTACAGGGGCAAAGTAGCTCCTTTTGCCTACTTACAGGGGCAAAGTAGCTCCTTTTGCCTACTTACAGGGGCAAAGTAGCTCCTTTTGCCTACTGACGGAGGCAAAGTGGCCACTATTGGCTGGATAGGCGGCGGTGACTTGATTTTTCATGAACTCTGAGAAGGGTGTGTCCTAACCCGAGCCCTTTGGACTTGCGTAGAGAGTCCGTCCCGGACATGGTGACCCTGAAGCGCCACGACTCGACTAGCAGCTCCGGCGGCGTGGACCGCGACGGGCGCGACGGCGTGCCCATGCGGCCCGGCATGAACCAGGACATGAACGTCCCGGACCACCTCAACATCCCGCGGCGCAGGGACTCGGGCAACTGGAGCGGCGACCGCAACAGCGCGTCGTCGTCGTCGTCCACGTCCATGGAGAACCCCTACCTGTACCTGGTGGGCAAGATGCGGCAGGGCGGCCAGGGCGGCCAGGGCGCGCACCCGAACGGCGTGCCGCGCAGCCCCACCAGCATCAAGCCCGGCGAGCTGAGCAGCTCCAGCAGCGGCTGCGGCAGCGGCGGGCCCTGCGACCCCGGCTACGACAGCTACTCGCTGTCCTCCACCGACAGCCTGCCCCTCCAGCTCGGGCTCCGGCACAACCTCCAGGTAAGGCGCGCGAAGCGACAGGTCCAAACTTCCGCAAGTTTGGGGCGTCCGGGCGAAAACTAACGAACTCTCGTTCCAGCTGGCCCAGATCCCGGAGGGGCACTCGCCGTCGCCGGGCCAGGGCCTCGGACAGGGCCAGGCGCTCAGCGGCGACGACTGCGAGAAGCTGTGCCGCGAGGCGGACCAGCTCCTGGAGAAGTCGCGTGCCACCGAGGAGGCCCACGACCTGACGACGGCCCTGGTGCTGTGCCAGGCCGCCGTGGGCAAGGCGCGCCAGGCCATGGACGCGCCCTACCACTCGCCGCATACGCTCAGCGCGGCCAGGATCAAGCACAACACGTGCGTGATGCGCGTCCGCAGCCTGCACCGCCGCATCGCGCAGGAGACGCAGCAGCTCGGTGAGTACACCCTTCGAGTGGCGGAGGCGGAGGGAAGTCCTTACAGTGTGGCGTTCGCAGCGTGCTGACGGCGGTCGTTGTGTTGTTGCAGAAGGCGTCGCTCCCCGCGGCAACCACTCGCGGCAGAACAGCCGCGACAAGACGCAGAACAGCCACTCGCGGCAGGGCAGCAAGGACGGCTCGTACAGCCACAGCCGGCAGGGCAGCCGGGAGCTGCTGGTGGCGCCGCAGCAGCCGCAGCCGCAGCAGGGCGACAAGCCGGCCAGCAAGACCATCCAGCTGTACGGCACACTGCCCAAGAGCAAGGGCGGCTCGGCTGCGGGCCGCGCGGCCGCCGCGGTGTCCAGCCCCTCGCCCAAGACCAAGCAGCAGCAGCCGCAGCGCGTGTTCGAGGACGAGGAGTACCTCTACGACCGGCCGGGGCGGTCGCCGCGCTCCGCCGTGCAGGGGGGCCGGCAGCGCGACGCCAAGGAGAAGCGCGCGCGCAGCGAGGAGCGCTCCAAGCACACCGCCTCGCTGCTCAGCCCCAAGGAGGTGAAGGAGGCCAAGAAGGAGGAGAAGAAGGACGACAAGAAGGACAAGGAGGACAAGAAGAAGCAGCACAAGATCAGGCGCAAGCTGCTGATGGGCGGGCTGATCCGGCGCAAGAACAGGAGCATGCCGGACCTGCGCGACGGCGAGGACGAGGTGCCGGTCCAGACGCCCAGCAAGCCGGCCAAGCCCGCCAAGCGCAGCCTGGACGAGTCGGCCATCGCCGCGCTCGCCGCCAGCGCCGCGGGCTCCGGGTACCTGTCCGAGGGCCACCTGGAGTTCAGCGGCAGCGCCCCGAACAGCAGCAACCCCAACCTGGAGCGCAGCCGGCTCATGAGAAAGAGCTTCCACGGCAGCGCGGCCGGCGGCCCCGGCAAGGCCCTGACGGCCGCCAAGGTGCCGCCGCCGCCGCCGCTGCGCACCACGTCCCAGCTGACGGGCAACGGCGCAGGCCGGCCGCCCGCACCGCTGCCCCAGGACGCCGCGGGCCCCACGCCCTTCCACCCGGCCTTCAGGCCCTCCGCCAGCACCATGGGCTACGAGCCCGCGCAGTACGCCAACGGCGGCTTCCTGCTGGACGCGGAGCGCGACCGCGAGCGCGACATGGCGCAGAGCCCCGACCAGGGCCGCACCATGCTGGTGACGTGCGCGCAGGTGCACCAGGAGCCCTCCTTCTTCAAGTTCCCCCCGGACGCGCGGCAGGACGCGGCGCCGTGCTCGCCGCAGCCGCCGCCAGAGCCCGCCGCGGACCCCCCGCACGCCCCGCACGCCCCGCAGCCCGAGCAAGAGCTGGCCGACCTGCCGCCCTACCCCAGCCACAGCCCCATGGGCTCCGTGTGCCACTCCAGGCAGCCCAGCGAGGAGTTCCCGCCGCCGCCGTCGCTGCTCGACCTCTCCCAGCTGCAGCAGGACCTGGAGGCCGCCAAGGACGCCAACAAGGACGCCGTGCCCGGCGGCCTGCTCGCCCAGCTGCAGCAGAAGCGGCAGGAGATGATGTCCGAGGCCCGCAGCTCGGCGGAGGTGGAGGCCGAGCGCGCCGCCACCAGGACGGGCAGCTGCGGCAGCGGCGACACGTGGCTCCGGGAGCTGCAGGCCACACTCAAGCTCAAGCGGACGCAGGCCTCGCCCAGCCCCGTCACCACCAGCGCCACCACCACCGCCACCAGGCCCAGGGTCAACTCGACGTCCTCGCTGTCCGGCCTCGACGACATCGTGCCGGACAAGAGCAAGGCCTCCGTGCGCGACCTGGCCTCGCAGTTCGAGCAGATCCGCGTGCAGCCCGCGTCGCCGTCGCCGCAGCTAGCGCAGCCGCAGTCGCCCAGCCCCGCCTCGCAGCAGCAGACGACGCAGCAGGCAGTGCAGCAGACGATGCAGCAGGCAGTGCAGCAGACGATGCAGCAATCCATGCAACAGACGATGCACCAATCCATGCAACAGACGATGCACCAATCCATGCAACAGACAATGCAGCAATCCATGCAACAAACGATGCAGCAGACGATGCAGCAGACGATGCAGCAGCAACCCATGCAACAATCAATACAGCAGTCCATGCAGCAGAAGGAGCAGACGCACGACGCGGACGTGCCTCCCACGACGGAGACGTACACGGGCTACAGCCTGAGGGAGAACCCGGAACGGGACCTGCTCTACGACACGGGGGTCGTGTCCGTGAAGCCGAGGCGAGACACGGACAGGGACGACATCGGCGACACCCCGAGCATCCTGACCAAGTCGCGGTCCAGCACCAGCCTGGCGGACGGCAAGAGGAAGAAGAAGAACGTGACCTTCTGCGACCAGGTGGTGCTGGTGGCGACGGCCGACGACGACGAGACGGACGGCTACATCCCCAACCCCATCCTGGAGCGCGTGCTGCGCTCCGCCTTCAAGCGCGACAAGGACAAGGACTCCGCCTGCTCTGCCCCGCCGCAGAGGGAGATCAGGAGTCTGAAGGACGAGGCCCCCATCGCGGACTCGGTGCAGACCAAGCAGGACATCGAGCGCGCAGAGCAGCTGGAACTCCAGCGCCTGCAGCAGCAGCACCAGCAGATGATGCAGCAGAGACAGCAGCAGCTCCAAAGGCAGCAGGCGGCCGCGCAGCCGCAGCCCAGCCCTTCGCCCTTGCCGCCGAGTGCAAGCCAGTCGCAAGGGAGCCAGCAGACGCCTGCAGCCAGCCAGCAGGGCGCTCCCCCGGGCGCCCCGCACCAGACGCCGTCGCCCAGTGCCCAAGGCCCTCAAGGCCCGCAAGGCTACCAGCAAGCCCAGCCCGGGTTCCCGAGGCCGGGGCCGACCGGGGTGTACCAGCAGCCGCCGTACCATGCGGCCCACGCCGTGCAGCTGGGGCAGAAGATGTACGCCACGCAGCCCAACCCCGCCGGCAGGCCGACCTCACTGCAAGCCGGCCCTGCCCAGCAGTACACCACCCAGAGTCCTACCGGCCCTCAGCCCAGCGGGCCCTTCCACCACGGCCCACCCGGCGGACAGCCCAACGGGCAGCCAAAGGGACATCCCAGCGGCCTGCCCAACGGCCTGCCTAACGGTCACCCCAACGGTCTGCCTAGTGGTCACCCCAACGGCCTACCTAATGGTCACCACAACGGACACCCGAACGGTCCATCCAATGGTCACCCGAACGGACACCCGAATGGACACCCGAACGGTCTACCCAATGGTCACCCGAACGGGCACCCGAATGGTCTACCCAACGGTCACCCGAACGTCCACCCGAACGGTCAGCCCAAGATGAACGCCCCCGCCTACCAGCACCAGCCGCGGCCTGGCCCCTCCCCGGGACCGACGTCCGCCCCCACCGCCAAGCCCGGCCCACCCTACCAAGGGTCGCCGGCCTACCAGCCACCCCCGCAGTACCAGCCGCCGCCGCAGCAACCCCAACAGCAGCAGCAGTACCACAACGGCAGCGCTCCGTACCAACAGAGTCCGTACCAGGCCGTGCCGCAGAGCCCCTACCAGCCTGTGCCCCAGAGCCCCTACCAGCCGGTGCCGCAGAGCCCCTACCAGCCCCTGCCGCAGCAGCAACAGCAGCCAGCGCCCGGACCCTACCAGCACGTCCCACAGGGGCCGTACCAGCCCGTCCCTCAGAGCCAGGGGAACCAGGGGCAGAACCAGGGCGCGTACAATCACCCCCCTGCGCACGCCACCAACTACCAGCCCGTGCCGCAGCAGCAGGGCCCCCAGTCCGGTCCCTACCCACCGCAAGGGTACACCCCCCAGGGGTACGCTCCTCAGGGCCCCCCGCAGGGCTACGGCCCTCCGCAGGGCGGCGCGCCGCAGGGCCAGCAGGGCCCGCAGGGCTACGCCAAGGGCAACAACTACTACCACCCGAGGCCCAGCCCCGGGGACGGCCCTGAGCAGCACCCCGTGTACAACTACCCGCCTGGCCCCAACGGCCCCAATGGGCCCAACGGGCCTGGAGGCCCCAGCGGCCCCAACGGCCCCAGCCAGCCCCAGGCCGGCGTGTACCAACGGGCACCGAACTCCTTCCCCCAGCGGCCCAACGGCGCCGTCCCCAACGGCCACCCGGTCGCGCCGCCCAGTGGACACCCTAGCGGACCAAGCAACGGCCATAGTAATGCTTCTCCGTGCCATCTGTGTAGAAAAAAGGTGGTCGCCCCGCCAGCCATCTACTGCCCCGACTGTGATTTTTACATGTCCCGATTCAAGCCCAAGGACTAGGGAGAGCGGGAAAGTATTGTACTGTATGTAGAAAGTAAGCAGCAGGGACTTCAACTCGAAGCAGCATGTCTTGCCGTACACAATATGGGGGCATGTGGAGAGCTTTGAGTTGGAGTCTCTGCTCGAAAAAATTTATTGGATTACATTCCGTCCTGTTAAGACTCAATGTGATCAAAGTATAAAGTACAAGTTAAAATTAAGTTGCCTTCAACGAGATTATATACTCATGTACTTTTTGAGAGAGTACTTAGATATTTAATAACAAATGAACTTATTGTGATGTCAGAAATTATGTTTTTTAAATGGATGATGATTATTGATGTGTAACTCAAACATGCCAGTATTTATTTTGTTATGTTGACAAATTTTTATATTATACCTATAGTGCTTTGTACGTACTGTATTCTTACTGTAATGTTAAAAAGAATCATGAATTCCTTGAGAGAAGTGTTGTACTCCTGGGATCTGTTCCTGACAGCTGACATCTTATGTATTTTATTTAAATTGTGTAAAAATATTCTGTAAAAATTGTATGTTTTTAAGACAGTTCTTTTTATACATTTTGATCTTTAACATTGATCTCAAGACATCTGGCCAGTAAGTTTTATTATGTGTTTGTATGATTCTTCACAAACTGTTAATATTAGTAATAAGTATTTTTCATGGTTGTGAAAATAAGCTGTGCTTCGTTTTAGAAGTGCTTATAGGACAAGCAAAAGAAATACATTCTATTTAAAATTAATACAAGCCTCTTTTATTTCATCATCAACCACGATTGAACTCTCCTGGTGTGAAATACTTCATTATTCATCAAGATACCAGTTGAACAGTGGATAAAATTTCTATTAAAACAAAGTGCAACAAATTGGTGCTTCGCATCAGCTGAACATAGTCTTCACTCAAAAAAAAGAGTTGCACTTGACAGAGCAAAACTCATCATCAGTGAGACCTTGGAGAATAGTATTCACCATCATGAGACACATGGATGAGTTAAAGGCCTTTTTCTGTGTGAGATACTTTGCTGCAACTGACACAATACACTACAAATTTCAAAGCGTCTAAATACGCAAAAAAATGTAAATTTCAAATTGAAAGAAAGTGAAAAACAGTTTGAACATATTAAGTGGCTGCAATGGTAGAAAGGAAATTTCAAATTTTCAAATCTCCTAAAGACCTGCCAACCTATTTCATTTGATACCATCAGCCACCTTTCTTGGGCGTCAGCTGCTTGATGCACTCTCAAGTGTGTCAAGAAGACGTTTCACCTCCTTTCTGATAAATTTGTTAAGGGACAAATCACAGAACAAAAACTTGGATCACAATGACAAATACCTGAGTGTAGCCAGAACTTTGAAAGGATACATGTCATCAGCAAGCTTGTAGATGGGCTTCATTGTCTTGCTGAGCTCTTCACACTTTGCCATAAGCTGGTACATAGCCTGTAAAAATAACGTAAAAAAAAAATTAAATGAACAGCCTGCTTTATTTACATACACACATGGGAGATTACTACATAATGGCACTTGCCTTAATATTGGAATCAACCGCATCACAAGTTTTACACACTGCGTCTCGGTATATTTCCACGCAGTCAACAGTGAGGGCTGATATCTATAAAATATGTAAGAGGAAAAGTCAAATCAATTTTAATTCAACTAAAAGACTTAGTAGAATGTTTTGAAGCGAAAAACAAAAACAAAAAACTGACACTTCTTAAAATTCCAGCAAGACTTTCAGTTAATGTGTCAACTGATGATGCTATTCTTCTGGCTTCGGTTTCTAAATCATTTAAAATATGAGGATCTATTGGTGACAGTTGTGGTGCTGTCAAAGCTTGACGGTATAAGCAAGGGGTGTCACTTCTCGATGCAGAGAATGGAGGTCCTTCTGCTGTACAAAAAAAAAAGAAAAACGCAAAGCAAACAATTGAATTCAACTCAAGAATAGATAATTATAAAACCAGTAAATCTACAACTTACCAACTTTAGGGCTAGATAATTTAATTTTTGTTTCTAAGTCTTCTGCCACAAAAAGTACCATGTTTCCTTCCCGGGTGATCGTTCCTTCTAAATCTTCGAGGTAGTCTGGTTCCATTCCCCGTAACTCTAAGTGGTCTGGTCTTCTTAAACCATCCTCAATATCAGGGGGAAGCCAATCTATAGAAGGGCTTTGTAGGGAGTCCATAGAAATCTCTGAATAAGACGCAGTCATTTCGTCGTGCTTCTGCAAAATTCATAGGACATATTAGAACTGACAACATTGAAGCTATGGTCGATACAATTTAAAGAACGATAAAAATTATCTTAAACACGTTTTTTTTTAAACACACAGACTAAAGAAACAGGTTTTAGTTAGAAGTGAGCTTAAAAATGCAAAAATATGTGACAGACAGTTGGTTATGAGCCAAACTGTACAGGTTATGTACTCACTTGATCCTCATCTTTATCTTCCTCTTGAAGATTTATATTTCTCGGAGGTACCTCAGACGTTCTATTACTGGTAGGATCACAGAAACTCCCTCCTTGCTCCGTCGACATTGCCTGATTCGGTTATCTGTCAGCTTGTCAAACGGCTTTCTGCTTTGTTTCTGCTTTGCACCATCGGCCACCAGGGAGGAAGCACGGGGGGGGGGGGGGGGAGGCTAGGGAAGGCCAGTTGGAGAGGGCGGAGTCTGTAGACCAATTCCGAGAGTAGTTTTGGTCGCTCTGTCTCTCTCGCACTCATGGGGCGCCCTTATGGGTGCGAGGGAGACAAAACGACGAAGACGACTCTCGAGTTCGCGGCGGGACGATCACACGGGAGACTCCGGGACGATGCGCTAGTTAGGCAAGGGGTGGCTTTCCGTTCCGTTTCCGCCAACTAGTGTAAAGACAACACATACGGATGCGGGGGCGGAAAGTGGAAGGGGGAGGGGAGAGGGAGGGGCGTAAAGCGATACAGCTCGCTAGCTTTAATGGCACTCCGACCCAATATTGTTCCAGCTTCCAATAACTGTGTGGGCTGGTTCAAGGCCGACACAACACAGCGCCGATTACGAACGCGGCCCGGTCCCCTGCTCGCCAGCCGCACTGATTTTCGCTTTCGCTCCCCGCAGCCCCGACACTGTAGTGGAGGGAAGTCCAGCCTGATATTAGCTGGGCTGGGGGATCAGATACCAAACGGCGTCCCACGAAGGAGGAAGGGAGAGAGAGAGAGAGAGAGAGAGAAAGAAAGAGAGGGTAATCGAACGACAAGTAGACCAGATGACTTCCCCGCGTGGCCGCCCCACCCCCTCCCTTCCCCGGATCGCCACCCTATAGCTCCCCCGCCAGCCGCGCCTCCACTGTTCGAACGCGGACCGGCGGCCGGGCCTTTCGTACGGTGGCGCGGCGTGGCGTGGTGCGGCGTGGCTTCAGTTCAGTTGCTCTGCACAGCTGGTCGCGCGCGGGGGTTGGGCCTGCGCTGCCTGTACCGCCTGCGCTGACTTGCCGCTGTGCTGCCGCCTCGCCGTGCACGCCGTGGAGAGCGTCGCCAGGTCGGCGCGGCGTCTCGCGCCTGTTGAACCCAGCCTCCTCCGTGGTGCCCGCGGCCGCGGCCAGCCCTCGGTGAGCACAACACGCACTGCGGCGCCACGCAGCGCGCCGAGGCCGCCATCTGCAGGACGCTGAGGGTCGTTTTCGTCGCTCTGCCTCTCTCGCACCTGTACGGGACGCCTCGTGGGTGCGAGAGAGACAGAGCGACGAAAACGACTCTCGGAATCTTGGAGGCGGCTCATCCGAACGAGTGCCAGTCCCTGGGCGCCTCGCCGCGGCCGGGCGCCCTGGGCTAGGCGTTCACTCAGCTTATCTTGGATTGCCGTTGTATTTGCAGAGTACTGTAGGGCCCTAGGGCGGTGCCGGCAAGCCCTGCCCGGGGCCACGCTGCACGCCGCCACGCTGCGCCGCCGCGACCCCTTCGCGCCTTTTCGGGTCTGGGCCTTATCTAAGGACCCGTGCGGGCGGGACAGTCGGGTTCAATTTTACGACCGCTAAAGTCCACCGCGCTACCGCGCTGCCACACCCTCATTTGGAAAGTAAAAACAAAGTTGATTTTGCGGCTCTCTAGTGCGTTCGCCCCTCTGTGGGTCGCTTCCCTCTCCGGCGGTACGGCACTGTGGGTACACTGGAGGCGCGCCCCGCTAGCCTCGCTCGGACTTCCCCGCGTCTTTACCGGCACGCGAGCAGTGCCGAGCACGCGGCCATGCCATCGATGTTCTAGGAAGGGAACGGGTGATGTGATGACATGGCGTGTGCGGGGCGTGCGTCGTGGTCCCACTCTCTCCTTCGTCGTCTGCCTCGCCAGGCTGCGCCGCGCCGCGCCGCCACACTCGTTGCTCTTGGGCCAACCCCCCACGCCCCGGGCGCCGCTGCCTCTTTATTTCATTTCAACATTTTCTAATTTCAATTTTATCCCCCGCGAGGTCGGCCGCGGCACTTTCTGCGCCAGCAGCAGCAGCCTGGTTCCGAGAGTCGTTCTCGTCGCTCTGTCTCTGTCGCACTCACGGGGCGCCCCGTGTGGGTGCGAGAGAGACAGAGCGACGAAAGCGACTCTCGGAATGAGGCTGCAGGCGGCGGGCCCAAGGCGCCAAGGCGGGCCGACGCGGTGACTTCTGGCGCGGCTCCGCGGCTCTCAGCCTTTCCCTTCACGTGACCCCCGCCTTCCGGACCACTCCACTCCACCCCATCAATATCCGGCCGAGTTTTCTCCCCCCCCCTCCCCCTTTCACTTCCCCTTCCCCCTCCACCTGTTACTCCAAGACGGCCAACACCTTGCCCTGGTTTTTTTTTTTCAACCACGGAGACAAGTGCCCATTAAGTGTCGCTGTCCCGGAACGGGGTGCCCGCCGCATAGCAATGGGGCTCCGCGACCGCGGCCACCCCGCCCCGCCCCGCCCCGCCCCGCCCCGCCCCGCCCCGCCCCGCCCCGCCCCGGCGCGCGGCCACTCGGCTGCAACAGGCACCCAAGGTCGCGCCGCCACCCCTTCTTCTCGTCGTCCGTGCCGCTGTAACACTGTAACACTATCGCGGCACCGCGGCCAGCACGCCGAGAAGGCCGAGAAGGCCGCCTTCCTGGCCGGGCCTCTGTCGCAAAGTTCATGGCAGGCACCGCGGTCCGGTGGACGTGGCCGTGGCCCCTTCCACCCCCTCTGACGTCCACCCCGGTCTAGTGTAATGCGGACTGCAGGCTGATGCCGAGGGCCGCTTTCGTCGCTCCGTCTCTCTCGCGCCCGTTAGGGACGCCGTATTGGTGCGAGAGAGACGGAGCGACGAAAGCGACTCCCGGAGTCGGTCTGCTGGTCATCGGATAGCGCTGGCGCGTCCCCCCTGAGGGCTGCCCGTCGCCCCGTCGCCGCGTCGCCGCGTCCGCCGGGTGTGCATGATCATGGCGCCAGCAGACTGATTCCGAACAGTCGCTCCGTCGCTCCGTCTCTCTCGCACTCGCGGGGCGTCCCGTGGAAGTGCGAGTGAGACAGAGCGAGTGACCGTTCGGAATGCCCAGCCTGCCGGTCGGCGGGACACGGGCGGGACGCCACGGCGGCGGGCTGCAGGAGGGAGGCAGAGCAGGCAGAGCCGCCCATTCGACCCGGACGGGCGGACTGTCGAGCCGACTCTGATTTTGCGTTTGTCACTGTCTTTGCATCGCGCTTCGAACTGTCGCCCGTCCAGCTGTCCTTCCGCCCGTCCGCCCGTCTGCAGACTGATTCCGACAGTCGCCGCGCTGTCTCTCTCGCACTCATGGGGCGTCCCGTTCGGGTGCGAGAGAGACAGAGCGACGAGCCTGTCCGCCTGTCCTTCACGGCCGCGTCGTCGTTAACCCGCCCTTCACACTCCCCCCCCCTCCCTGTCCCGCGGCCCGTACACATGTCACGGGATCTAGTGTGTGCCGAAGGCCGAAGGGAGCAGCAGGGGAGGGCCCACAGTGTGCCCACGGGGCCGCGGCCGCCCCGCCCCGCCCCGCCCGGGCCTCCCCAGCCACCGCGCGTGGAGCCAACAGATATTTGATTTGGGGGCATTGCTGGCAAGCGAGATTAAAGGGTTGAGCGCGCAGCGGGAGGAATGATATGGGTCTGGCAAAGGCGGCAAAGGGGCGGCGGAGGGGGAGGGGAGGGGGAGGGGGAGGGGGAGGCCTTGTCGTCGTCGCCGTGGTGTTGGCGGCCGGGGCGCGCGTCCGGTGCGGCCAGGACGCCGCTGTTGTCTGAATACACACGGCGGCGGGCCGGCCGAGAGTCAATGGCACAGTGTCTGACGGCGACGGCGGAGGCGGCAAGAGGGCGCGCCACTTTTTCGGAGAGAGAGAGAGAGGGGGGGGGATGAAACTCCTTCGTTCACTAAAACGAGGCATTTCCCTCTCCCCGATCCCACCACGCACGGAGGCGCGGGGGCGAGGGGGTTGGGCCGGGGGATGCATGTTGAAAATGCGCTCGGAGTGGATGAAGCTCCGCGAGTCCGCGAGGCTCACAGTGGCCTTCCAGGGGCGGGGCGGGGGCGGGGGAGGGGCGGACAAGGTTTCCACATTTGCACGACTTTCACGCCACGGCTGGTGCCCCGAATTAGCTCGGCTCATTGGAATACTTTCGATGCCTCGCCCGCGGCAAAAGTTTTAAACAATTTAACAGTTTTCGTTTGATGTTTTTTTTTTTTTTTTTCTTTTTTTTCTGTGTCCCGCTGTGTAGACTGCGCGCGCTCGCTGGAAAATCCGATATTTTCCCTCCATCTCTCCGGCCAGGAGGCAGGCATGCCGGGCCAGGGCTGGTCGCCCCGCCCCGCCCCGCCGATCAGATGGTACAAAGGGCAAAAGGCTCCCCTGCCAGCCAAGCCAAGTCACTGTCGACGCCGCCAAACCCGACCAACCCCTCGCCTCCTTGCCCTTGTTTTACTGCGCTTTAGTTTTGAGCCGTATTTTTTTTCCCGCGCCACTGTCACGATCAATATCAACTTAGAGGAGTCAGTCGGCCCCTTCGGCGGACCAGCGGGCAGCGCGCCGCGAGGCGATACGCGCCGCCAAATGGAGTGTGCACCGTCAGCCCCTCTCCACTGTAAGTAACCCTTTCCTCCCCGCGCCATCGCAGCCACCATGTACGGGCTGCTCCTGGAGAACATGTCGGACTACATCATCACCAAGTACGGCGCCGAGCGCTGGGAGGAGATCCGGCGTCTGGCGTGCGTGGAGCAGCCCTCCTTCTCGGTGCACCAGGTCTACCCGGAGAACCTCATCCCCAGGCTGTCCAACCGAGCCATCGAGGTCGGTCACCGCATCCTAAGTCTTTTGTAAAAAGTAGCAAAATCTGGAGAGAAAAAAAAAGACCACTCATGGGGATTTGAACCCGCGTCCAGGTCCTGGGCGTGACGGAGCGGGAGTTCTTCGAGGGCATGGGCGTGCACTTCGTGGGCTTCGTCAGCCAGTACGGCTACGACCGCGTGCTGTCCGTGCTGGGCCGCCACATGCGCGACTTCCTCAACGGCCTGGACAACCTCCACGAGTACCTCAAGTTCTCGTACCCGCGCATGCGCGCGCCCAGCTTCATTTGCGAGAATGAGACGCGGCAGGGCCTCACGCTGCACTACCGCTCCAAGCGGCGCGGCTTCGTGTACTACACCATGGGCCAGATCAAGGAGGTACCGATACCTTGTTTCAGCCTTGACATGAAAACGAGAGCCTGACCTTGACCCAGTTCCCCGCGACCTTGACGTGACCTTGAGGTGGCCTTGCAGGTGGCGCGGCACTTCTACCGCAAGGAGATGGGCATCGAGGTGGTGCGCGAGGAGCTGCTGGTGGACACGGTGCACGTCACGTTCCAGCTCACGTTCGACAACCGCGCCTTCGGCCTCGCCTCGCTCACCATGACGCGCGAGGAGAAGCACCTGCCCGTCAGCGCCTCCGTGCTCTTCGAGATCTTCCCGTTCTGCATCGTCTTCAGGCAAGGGAGGGAGGCAGGGAGGGAGGGAGAGCACTTTTTTGCCTCTGTGAATAGGCAAAAGGCGCTTTGCTTTACCCCCTTCCTCAGGGAAATCCTGGATCCGTACCTGAAGTTGACAAGCCTACCGCCTGCGAGCCGGCGGCTAGGCTGCACGCTCCGCACGCGCGCGTTACGGGCCGGCCGGGTCGCCGGGGGCCCGGCTGGAGCGGCTCAGCAGCCTGAGAGTCGTTTCCGTCGCTCTGTCTCTCTCGCAGCCGGGCCCATAGCGGACACCCCATAAGTGCGAGAGAGACAGAGCGACTGACCCCGAAGTCCTTCCTCCCGCAGCTCCGACATGGTGGTGCGCAGCATCGGCAACTCCCTGATGGTGATCCTGCCCGACCTGGTGGGCAACAAGATCACCAATTGGTTCGACCTGGTGCGGCCGCTCGTGGCCTTCCAGTTCCAGAAGGTTTGAGAATATGCGGTGCTTTTCGTTGTCCAATGTTGGGGAGACTGTGCGACTGACGGGCGGTGTCGGTGCAGATCCTCAACAGGACCAACAACATCTTCGAGCTGGTGACGGTGGAGCCGGTGATGACGGGCAGGCCCTTCGACCGGAAGCGCTCCGTGCTGCTCAGCGACGAGTCGTCCATGGACGGCTCCGAGGAGAAGAACCTGCGCCTAAAGGGTGAGTACAGTCGCACAAGTCTCGAACCGAATGTCAAAAAGAAAATTCGAATGGATTATAACTCATTTTTGGTTTGGTTGATGGATCGATTTATGGATTGATTGGATTCGATTCGGTTTCGCACGATTCGCACACCTCTCACGCGTGGCGGCACTGGGGTTGCTCTGACCTAGCCGTGTCTGATTGCAGGCCAGATGATCTACATGGACGACTGGAGGATGATGATGTACTTGGGCACGCCCGTGATGCCGGACCTCAGTTCGCTCGTCAGCACCGGGCTCTACATCAACGACCTGCCGATGCATGACTTCAGCCGGTCAGTTCCCCTCTCGCTTCCACGAAGCTCTCGATTTCTCTAGTTTTCGATGCCTCGTCGATATCTCTGGTTTTTTTTTAAATATATCTCTGTTTTCTCTTCTTTCGATATCTCGCCCCCCACATTCTGACGCCTCCACTCTCCGCGCAGGGACCTGATGCTGGCGGGCACCCAGCAGTCCGTGGAGCTGAAGCTGGCCCTGGACCAGGAGCAGCACAAGAGCAAGAAGCTGGAGGAGTCGATGCGGCGCCTCGACATGGAGATGCGTCGCACGGACGAGCTGCTCTACCAGATGATCCCCAAGGCCGTGGCCGACCGGCTGCGGAACGGCGAGAACCCCATCGACACGTGCCAGGTCTGGGTTCAAATCCCGCGCCCCTTCCAGTTTCCGTGATCGTGTCCCTCTGCGTGTGCTACTGGCGCTTTTCTATGTCCAGTGTGGTCCCGCAGATGTTCAACAGCGTGTCCATCCTGTTCGCGGACGTGGTCACCTTCACCGAGATCTGCTCGCGGCTCAGCCCCATGGAGGTGGTCTCCATGCTCAACGGCATGTACTCCATCTTCGACAACCTGACGGAGCGTAACAAGGTCTACAAGGTGCTGAAACCCGCCGCCATGGCGCGCCAGGGGGCTAGCTGGGCGCGGCTAGGCCACCGGCCTAACCGTACCTGCGCCTCGTGGTTGTATTCGACCCACCCGCCGGCGCACAGTGGGCCGAAAGACCGGCGCCGGCGGTCAAAAGACGCGTTTTGAGCTCCAGAGTCGCCAAACAGGAGTCAAACCGAGCGTGTGACCTCACCAATTGATTCTTCGTTCGGAGAGAAACCCATTGGTGGGGTCACACGTTCGGTTGGAGTCCCATTCAGCGACTCTAGAGCCCAAAACGCGCGCGGCATTTTGACCGCCGCCCACTGTGCGACGGCGAGGGGCTGGACTGACACTGTGCTGCCGCAGGTGGAGACGATCGGCGACGCGTACATGGTGGTGTCCGGGGCGCCGGAGCGCGAGGACAACCACGCCGAGAAGGTGTGCGACATGGCGCTCGACATGCTGGACGCCATCAAGGGGCTCAAGGACCCTTCCACCGGTCAGCGAACGCCAGCCTGTCACTGGAGACTCATTCCGCGAGCCGGGTCCGCCGCCCTGTCTCCCTCGCACTCACGCAGCGTCGCCTCCGGGCCCTGCGGGTGCGAGAGAGACAGGGCGACGGCTCGCGACGGGGAGACTGACGGCGTCCTTGGTGTCGGCAGGGTCGCACCTGTGCATCCGCGTGGGGGTGCACTCGGGCGCCGTCGTGGCGGGCATCGTGGGGCTCAAGATGCCGCGCTACTGCCTGTTCGGCGACTCGGTCAACACGGCCTCGCGCATGGAGTCCACCAGCGAGGCCATGCGCGTGCACGTGTCGCAGCCCACCCGCGACCTGCTGCCGGCGTGCTACCAGCTGGTGGAGCGCGGCGAGGTGCAGGTCAAGGGCAAAGGTGCGTTGCTCTGTCGCTCTCGCACTTCACCCGGGCCAGAGCCGCTTTGGAATACAGTGCCCCGTTGTTGTCGTGCCGCTTCTCGAGAGCGAATACCTTACCGCGCGCGCCAACCCAACCCGCAGGCTCCATGAAGACGTACTGGTTGGAGGGGCGCGAGCACGACGCGCGCGCCGTGCAGGAGCCGCACACGGACGAGGAGGAGGACGTGCGCGAGGAGCCGCCGCAGCCCGAGGACGCCGTCAAGGAGGCCGAGATGGAGGACGACCGCAGCGTCTACAGCCCTGTCACCTTCCAGGAGATCGCCAAGCGGTCGCTGGCCTCCTCGCCCAAGCGGGCTGCAGGCGAGTGTGTGTGTGCGTGTGTATGCCGCCTTGAAGCGCTACACAAACTCCCTCCTTGAAAAAATGCTGGATCCACTCCTGCGAGTGTAGTGCCGAGTGCCCCGCACAAAGGGCGCGTCCAGTCGGGACAAAGGCACCTTAGGCGTAATCCGTCATTTATTCTTCCAGCCGGCCGCTCCAACTCCACCGGCTCGGTCCAGCAGCTGCCGTCCAGCCCCGCAGGTTAGATAGAGAGAGCCAGCAGACTGACTGCGAGTGTCGTTTTCGCCGCTCTGTCTCTCTCGCCTTCGCGGGGCGTCCTGTGTGGGTGCGAGAGAGACAGAGCGACGAAAATGACTTTCGGAATAAGTCTACAGGCGCCGCGCGGGCTAACGTGCTAAAGCCCACCCCCTGCTCCCTGGCCCTTAGGGCGCTGAATTGATGGCACCGGTTGCAGAGTTCGTCTCGGCGCGCGTGCTGGACCCCCAGAGCCTGGACTTCGGGCCGCCGCTGCCGCCGCTGCTGCCGTGCTCGCCGAGCGGCCGCCTGGTGGGCGTGGCCGTGGGGTCCTCGTCGCAGTGCGGGCTGCTGGCGGCGGCCTCGGCCAGGGCGTCGTCCGCGGGGCCGGGCCTGGAGGGGCAGCCAGCGCAGCGGCGGCCGTCCTGGAACCCGCCGCTGCAGGTGACGTCGCCGCCGACGACGCCGTCCTCCAAGGGGTCGCCGTCGCAGCAGTCCCGGGGCTCGCTCGGCAACCTGGGCAGCCTGGGCAGCATGGGCAACATGGGCGCCATCGGGGTGCTGATGGGCGGTGCGCTGGGGGCCACCGCCGTGCCGTCCCGCACCCACGGCGTCAACCGCAAGGGCTCCCTCAGCGTGCACTACTCGCCGCACCCGGTGGACGACGAGGGCTCCACGTTCGAGGCAGGTGTCGCCATCGGGGTTCAAGGCTCAAACACCCGCAGTTTCCCTTTTAATCACGATTTTTTGGCGCTCTTTTTAGTGGGGGCATCCGGCGGAGGGCGACCCTTACGGCATGAAAGTGCGGCCGGGCAGTCGGCGCGCGTCCATCGCCTCCACCGCGCCGCCCCGCCCCGCCTCGCCGTGGCCCGCCACGCCCTGCCCCGCCCCGACCGCCCCACCCGCCCCGCCCTCGCCGCCCGCCCCGCCCCCGCGGCCCCTCGAGGTGCGCACCCTGGTCCACTGCGCCACGCAGGCCTCGCCGGACATCGCCTGTCACTCCACGTCGCCGATCCTCGCTGCGAGGGCGGTGAGCGCAGCGGAGCGGCGCCAGGGTTTCCAATCCACCCCACAATCAAAATATTTTTATTACTCTACGGTGTTGTTTTGATTGCGATTTGTTTGTTGCCAGCAGGAGGTGCTGGCGGTCCAGACGACGCAGCCCCACTGGTTCTGCCTGCAGATGGCCATGGCCGAGTCCTCCGAGGCGGGCTCGGGCCTCTCCGTCGTGCTGCCGCCCGGCTCCGAATCCCTGTCCGCCCTGTCCCCGGGCCTGTCCCCGGGCCCCACCAGCCCGCTGCGCACCATCAGGTACCGTGGCCCAAATCAATCTCCGCGAATTTAGCAGTTTAAACCGATGGCCCCGGGGGTGCCGTTTCCCATGAGGAGTTTAAGAGACCCGACCCGACCCGACTCGACCCGACCCTCTCGGAGGGGGCAGTCTCTGGGAGGCCGGAACCGGGATTGGGGGATTGGGGTGGCCAGGTTCGAGCCAGCCTGGCGCTACACTGTTGCAGCGGTCTAAATTAATTAATTAGCGGGGGCGGCTGTATCACCTTTGCGAGTGCGAGAGAGAGGCACTGTTTACGGCCCCCGGCGGCCCTTAAGTGACCCGCGTCACCTGCGTGCTGCTGCGTGCGCCTTCTCGACCCTCTCACTCTGTCTCTCTCGCACTCATGGGGTGTTCCGTAAAGGTGCGAGAGAGACAGAGCAACGAAAGCGACTTTTGGATTCGTGGCCCTTCCCATCGGGCTGGTCAAAGGCCCTGGCGGCAGACGTCAGCCTGCGTCAGCCTCACCGCGCCGTCTTCCTGTCCGCAGCCCCTGCCCGTCGACGGCTTCCTCCGACGCGGGCGACGCCCCCGAGGCCCCCGGTCGGCGCGCCGCGTCCTCGCCGCCGGCTGCGTCGGCGCCCCGCGCAGGGGTGGGGGGCGCGGCGTCGTCGTCGGGCACCGCGGCCGACTCGCGCCACGGCGCCCTGACGGCGGTGGCCTCGCGCGGCCAGGCCGCGGCCACGGGGACCTCGAGGGAGGCGGTGGTGCAGGCCTCCGTGAGGACCTCCATGAGGGCCTCCATGAGGACCTCCGCGTCCGAGGGCAGCCTGCTCAGCTCGCCCGGCCGCCGACCTCACGCCCACCACGGCCACGCCCCCCACGGCGCGCACGGCGTGCACGGCCACCACCAGCGCTCGGCGCGGCAGGCGCGCCAGTCCAGACAGCGCCTGCCGCGCAGCCACTCGCACCACCAGCACTTCCACCATCACCACCACCATCACCACGCGTGCTGCGGGCCGCCGGGGTCGGCGCAGAGCGCGCAGAGCGCGCAGGGCGCCCAGAGCAGCCTGGGGACGGCCAACAACAACAACCTCCCCAACGCCGCGCCGCCCCGCTCCCCCATCAGGCACGCGGGGCCGCGGCGGTCCAAGAGCACCGGCTGCGCCGTCACCTAGGCCGTCACCTAGGCCGTCACCTAGGCCCTCATCCAGGCCAAGTCGCGAACCAGTGGAAGTCGACGTCGACGCTTGTTTTTCCTGTGTACTTTATTGTTGTTGTTGTGTTGTTGAGCGATTATTTTGTTTAGGGACGTGTAGGTGTAATTTATACAGACTCCAAAAACTCCCTCATTATTCAATTATGTCTCGTAACTTGTAAGATTTTTGTAAATTGTTGTGTGTGTTCCGTCGACCACCTTGATCCATGTGTTTTGTGTTTCCAGCAATACACCATGTGATGGGCAAGCCGAGCCCTGTACGCGTACAAATCATGAACTTAAGTTTGCACGCTTCGACTTTAGAGGAGTCGCGCTAGCAATAGAAATTTAGTGACAACACTTGATGCATCGTTGTACAGTGGTCCATCAAACATGCTTTATAGGCAAACGCAAATCACACCTTAAGACAGCATCTCAGAAATATAGAATTAGAACTTCGCAAGTGACACACTTTATTTCTTCCCTGTTCCTAAACCCGAAACGCGTGAGATTTGAAAAGCGCGGCAGGCAGCGCGCTTACGTCAAGTATGAAAAATTCATCACGGTCCAGTGCGCATGCGCAACTCATGCGGACACTCAAAACAACATGGCGGCTACCATGGCGACGACGAGCGCACGCGATTCTGCAAAAGCAAAACCCGCCTTGAACTACGACAGCTTCACCAAGAAATGCGAAACCTACGTGAGGTAAGTCCGGCCCTCCCCGCTGTCGCCGTGTCCGCAGCAGGGGCCCCGTGTCTCGCGCGCCAACGCCCCCGAAGGCCTTGTTTACCCACCGAGGCAGACGCGGACATAACCCCTCGCCCCAAAACATCACATTTAACCTGCACCCGCAGGTGGCCCAGGTGGCCCTCGCCGTGCTGCGCGGCTGTCGCGGCGTGCACAGCGGACGGCCTGGTGCCGCGGACCGGCAGCACCTCGTGCAGGCCGTGCCCGTGGCTCGCTGCGGCGCCCCCGCGCTCCGAGGAGGCCAAGAAGGCCCCAAAGCTCCGCAAGCCCAGCCCCACATTGTGGTGGTGGGGGCAGGGATGGCCGGCCTGGCCGCAGCCTCCAGGCTTTGCTCTGCTGGGCTGAGGAATGTGACGGTCGTGGAGGCCAGGCCTCGCCTTGGGGGGCGCATCTTCTCCGTACCCATGGGTACTGCAGGGGCCCCCAGGGTCGACATCGCAGACCTCGGAGCAAAGTGGATACTCGGTGAAGGCTTGACAAACCCTGTGCACCGCTTGCTGAAGGACAAGCCGGATGTGATTTTTGAATCGATGGGTTTGGTGTACTCTGAAGACGGCAGGGTGATGGACAGAGACTTAGTCAGATTGGTCTGTGGAGTTGCGCAAGAAATGATGTATGAGGTGGACAAGCTGGTTAAAGGGAACCTGTTGAGTGACCTCAAGAGCTTTGTTAACGTACGCATAAAGGAAGACTTGAAAATGTTTCCTGAAGAGAGCCAACATGATGCAGAGCTAATATATTGCACCTTTGTTGAGTTGCTCACATCAGAAACTGGCTTGGACTGGAGTAAAATGGATGGCAATTCATTCTGTCAGTATAGTCACTGGCGGAGTGACCGCACCTCTGTGTCAACAGGCTTTTGTTCTGTTTTACTGCCCCTCATAGACAGTATTCCTAAGGAAAAAATTCTACTTTCCAAACAAGTGACCAAAATTCACATCCCAAATGAAAGTAAGAAAGGGAGTCGAGTCAAGCTTGAATTTTGTGATGGTGATGAACTGCATTCAGATTTTGTTGTTTCAACATTGCCTATTGCTGTGCTAAAACAAGAAGGAGCAAGCATTTTTAATGGTCATCTTTCTGAGCACAAGTTAAATGCTTTGGGGAAGGTCCAGGTTGGGCTTGTTAACAAAATATATCTTCAATATGACGAACCATGGTGGAATTATAGAAGAGGGGATTTAACTGTTGCAAGATCTCCCCGTTCTCTTGTACATAGAGATGACTGGAGCAACGGTATTTTCTGCTTCAACACGGACATTTGCAGCCAGACATTGATGTCCTGCCAAGTTGGAAGCCGAGAAGCTTTTCTCATGGAGCAATGCTCAATAAGTGAAGTGATTGAGAGTGTTACCAACAATATTCGTGCCTGTCTGGGGGATGTCTCTGTTCCATATCCCAACAATATTCTCATATCTAAATGGGGAGCTGACAAGTTCAGTTTGGGGTCACATGTGCATTTGCCAAACCACGAGGGCCAGGAAGTAGTTACTGCCTTATCAGAACCCATTGATGGGCCAGATAACATGCCAGCCATTTTGTTTGCTGGAGATGGCATGTGTGCAAGACATTTTGGGACTGTCCAAGCAGCCTATGTCAGTGGTATGGTTGAAGCTGAACGTATAATTGATGTGATTAGGGAATCTGCTGTTTTGAAGGTTCAAGCTAAATGACCCTTAGTTGTGTTTCCATTCTCAAACCAATTATTATTATCATAGCAATTTAAGTTTTAGTAATTGTTTTTCTGCTACAATGTATTAATATCAGCAATATTAAAGCTATCCATCTATAAATTACTTTTAATTCAAGTAAGCTTTGAGACAGGCAGTCTTGCCTGCTGGTGGTGTGTGAAATTCCAGGTACCTGAATTGGGTGTTAGTCTTTGGTGAAGACTAATAAAGAAACATATTGAAGTCAAGTCGCTGATTGATTTGTTTCTTTGCCATATGTTTCAGTGCCAATGAGAAGACAGCAAGAGATATCAAATGTTTCCTGAAGGCTCTCTATGGTTCAGTCAAGGAAGCAGAAACAGCTGATGGACTTTCAAGTGGAGAGACACTTCCTGAGCTGATTATAGACAATTTTGATGAGGAACAAATTTGGCAGGTAATATTTAAAGTGCCTTCAGATAGACAAAATTATACATATTGTACATGTATTTTCATTTTCTAATCTATTTTATTTCTTTGTTACAGGAATTAGAGCTTCAAAATGAAGCTCGAGTGGATTTATTTGTTGGAAGTGTGGCCAGACTAGTTGCCCAGAAAGATAGATTTTCTATTGATACTGGCCCTGCTGAGAAAAAGTTGCAGAATGGTGACACCCTTTCTGAAGGCGAGGAAGAAGGAAGCAATGAGGATGATAATGAGGCGGAAGAAGATGAAGACGATATTGAGCTTGATGATGACGAAGATTTGAGGAAGCTAAATAATATTGACTTGAATTTTGACGATGATAGTGACTTTTCAATGCCAGATGGTGGTGAAGATGATGGTGAAGATGATGACCAATTTGCAGAGGAGGATGGTGAAAGTGAAGATTATGATTTAAAGCCCAAGAAAAAGTCAAGTAAAATTCCAGAGGAGGATGAGGAAAGTGAGATCAATGAAAGTGAAGATGATGAAGAACCCAAGAAAAAGTCTAAGTCCAAATGTAAGTGTGTGTGTGTGCGTTTTTTTTTTTTTAATGCCTATTATGAAAGTAAAGACTTAACTATTGTATGTAATTCTAACTTCTTCACTTCTTTGTTAGCGGCTCCTGAAAAGAAAAAACCTGTCACGCCTTCTATTGTTGACGATAAATTTTTCAAGCTATCAGAAATGGAAGCATTTCTTGAAAAAGAGGAAGCAGAAGATGACGGCCATTCAGATGGAGATTCGTCTGAGGAATCTGTTGATCTGTTTGAAGATTATCCATCTGATGAAGATGATGACAGTGATGAAAATGAGGAGGGGGACGATGTTGATGGAGAATCTGTAAGCTAAACTTATGGTTTTATTTGTGTTTCTTTCCTTTTGTTTTTTAATTTTGTTTTTCTTTGTTTATAAAAACCCTGATCTATTCTCATTAAATGTTGTTTAGGGCAAAAGACGGATGCACTACTCAGATTTCTTTGATGCTCCCGAGGGAGAAACACCACAAGAAGGTAGCAAACCAAAGACTAAGGACGCAAAAGCCGGAAAAGAGAAAAAAGTGTATGTCAGATGCTTTTGACCAGTTGGATTCTTTGGAAAACGATGCCTCTGACTACTTAACTATATTAATCCTTCATTAATAATGTATTTACAGGAAATTTAGCTTTGGAAGTGATGATGAAGGAAGTGACAGTGATGCTTCAGAAACTTCTGACTTAAATGTGCCAAGCAAAAATGAAGTTAAATCTTCCTATGAAATAAGACAAGAAAAACTCCAAGCAAAAATTAAGGCATTGGAAGATGAAGCAGTTTCAGCCAAACCGTGGCAACATAAGGGAGAAATCTCTGGTGCAATGCGTCCAGAAAATGCCTTGCTTGAGGAGGCTTTAGAATTTGACCTTACTCACCGGCCAGGTATGAACACAATGTTTTAAAGTTATTGTTTGTCTGTATTTTTGATGTTAAAGCATGTCCTTTTCTTTTAATTTGTAGCCCCTGTGGTGACTGAAGAAACTACACAAAGACTAGAGGATATTATTAAACAGAGGATCAAAGATAAGGCATGGGATGATGTTGAGAGGAAACAAAAACCTGTGGAAGCTCCCTCTGAGTTTAAAAAGAAATTAGTATTAGATCAAGAGAAGAGCAAACTCAGTCTTGCTCAAGTTTATGAGCAAGAATATTTAAAGAAAGTTGCTGCGACTGAACCAGAGAGTGACAAACCTGATGAAATTCCCAAGGAGCATGTGGAGATCACAACATTAGTTAATTCTCTCTTCCGAAAGCTGGATGCTTTATCAAATTTCCATTACACTCCAAAACAGGTTTGTAAAATTAAGAATTAGTATAGAATTTTAGAGTTGATTTCATGTAAGTGTAAAAGTGTTGGTTCTAAACAACTTCTTATTTTCTAGATCGCACCCGAGGTTAAAATAGTCACCAACATTCCAGCCATCAACATGGAAGAAGTTGCACCAGTGGCAACTAGTGATGCCACTTTGTTGGCACCTGAAGAAGTTAAAGGTGCAGTACAGTTTGTTTCACCTTGTTTCAACTATCAGAGAAATTTCTAGTATTATTAACTTTTATTCGTGATTCTCTACTTTTAGCCAAGCCGAAGGGAGATGTCAAGAGTCAAGAAGAAAAAACTGATACAGACAGGAAACGAGAGAGGAGACAAAAGAAAAAGCACCAGAAACTCAAATCGAGAGACCGTGAGAAGCGGGAGGCTGCTGTGGCTAAATTAAAGCCTGGTCTAGGAAATAAATATAGCAAAGAAAAGGCTGTTAAATTATTAGAGAAAGTTTCTAAAGATAGTAATGTTAGCTTGGTAAGTCTCCCTACTAGTATGGTATTGTTTGTTGTCTTGTAAATGTTGTAAAATAATTAATCAATTTCTACCTTATTCACAGATTGACAGCCGTGCTGGCGCGGCGTCCCTGAAGTCATCGTCAGCTTTCTTCAACCAGCTTCAAGATGAAGTCACTTCACAAATTAAGGGAAAGTCGGATTCGAAAAAGCGCAAAAATACTGCCAATACTATGTCAGCCAAGCGGGTAAAACTGTAAATTATAATTGTTATTGTTATTTAGATTAATTTATATTTTTAACGAATACAAGAGTAGACTGTTTTTCAAACGTCCATCCCTGACTGGCCACTAAACCGAGAAAGCATTGTTTATGTTTTTTACTTCTGCAAACCTGAGGGAGAGAATACATGGAAATTGTAAAAAGTTAATCTTTTTGAGAAAGCAATAAAAGAAGGAGAGAAAAATTGAATCGCTGTTTGGAATTTCGATTTACCCCTCCTTATATCACAACGTCCAACACATTTAGTCAAGAGCTCCCTAGAGTCCGACCGCGTCGCGTCGCGTTCCCGATCCGAAACTTGGAGCGGGAAACGACTCGGCCGCCAACTTTGAGAATGCGAGAGTCGTGTATTAGTGAGTGAGCGAGGTGGCCTCGCGACCCCAACCATCAAGGGGGCGTGTCGCGCCTGCAGACTGATTCGGAGAGTCGTCGTCGCTCTGTCTCTCTCGCACTCACGGAGTGTCTCAGGGGTGCGCCCGGCCGGCCGGCCTCGGCGTGCACAATGCATGCGGAACGCCGAGTTTGGTTCTCATCGACACGACACGCCCCCACACCCGCAATCAGTGGAGCGTCGATGAGCTGAAGGGAAGGCCAGCGAAGGGGTTGGCGTGCCGGTGGGGCCGTGGCAGGAGAAACAGGTCTGGCCCGCAAGAGAAAACTGGACTAGAGAAGCCAGGGCCGGTTTTTACCGTGTAGGGGAGGAAATGACGGTGACATTGGTAACCTCAATCCGTCTAGGGCAATTTGCCGACTTCTGACTTTCCGGCCCGAACTTTTGCGGCCACGATGCATGCGGTGCATGAGTCATGAGCGATGCGATAGAGCGAGTGATCCTTCGACCTTCTCCGTCCCGACAGTTGACGCCAACCAGCGCGCCAACAGCAACAACCCGGCCGAGGTATGCTGCTAACGATTATGACGTCACATTCGCTGGATAGCCGTGTACAAACACTGGAATTTCAGTTCGCCTGCGACCCCGACACAGCAGCGCGCGGTGCGGTATTCGAACCTGGGGCCAGGCCAGGGCTCCGCGATGGTGTCGCTGACGGACGTGGTGGGCGGCAGTCGGGGCGGCGACACCCCGGCCGCGCAGCTCGGCATGTGGGAGGATATCGTCGGCGGCCAGGGCAGCCTCAAGCACTTCCTGCTGGTCGTCATGTATTCCAACGTCAGTCTGCTTTGCCGGCTTTGCCTCGCCCGCCGCCAGGGGCGGATCCAGGAAGGAATGGGGGTGGTTACCTCCTCTTTGGGCACTCGGTAGGCCGCCTGGAAGGTAGGCGAACAACACTGCAAGTCGCGGCAACAAGCACTTCATTAACCCTCCCTCCACAAATCCTGGATCCGCGCCTGTCCGCGTGCGTTCATTACTCCCGAGGTGCCACTGTAAAGTGTCTCCGCCGCGCCGTCATGGCGTCACTGCCGTCCAGGTGTACTGGGCATTCCCGCCGCTGTTCGCGTGCACGGCCGTGCGCACCGCCGTGTCCCCCGACGTGCCCAGCATCCTGAAGGGCGTGTGCGGCCTGTTCATCATGTACTCCTCGGGGTCCACGGCCTTCCTGCTCGGGACGCGCCGCCTGCGCGTCCTCGCCCTGTTCGCCGAGGCGCGCCGCCTCTGCCGCTCCGTCGAGATGTTCTCCAGCACCGAGGTGCGCTGGTGGCACCCTGGTGGGCCAGAAGACCGGTGGAGGCGGTCGAAACCCCGGACGCGTCTCGAGCTCCAGAGTCGCTACATGGGACTCGAACAGGACGTGTGACCCTACCAATGGACTGCTCTCCGAGCGAGGAATCCATTGGTGGGGTCACACGCTCAGTTGGAGTCCTGTTCAGCGACTCTGGAGCTCAAAACGCGTCTGGAGTCTGGCCGCTTGCTCCGACACTGTGCAGCGCGAGGTGCCTTGCAGTGCATGCGTGTGCCGCTCTCGCAGGCCCTGGAGGCCGTGGCCGCCGCCATCCGGCGCGTGCGCATCCTCGGCTTCATCTACATCAAGTGCGGCTGCTTCATGGCCACCGTGGAGCAGTTCGCCGACTCGCCCGCCGTGCCGCGCTGCATCGAGCCCGACCAGAGATGGGCCAGGTCAGGCCGCCGGTGTCTCCAGCCAAAAGGCCCGCGCCTTTTTCGGGAAAAAATGCAAGTTTGCCCGTTGCCAGGCTGACCATCGCGTTCCTGGAGTCCGCCAAGTGGACCTACTTGGCGACCTGCTTCTTCTCCTTCTGGCTCATGGTGCTGACGCTGCTGCTGGCCGTCGAGGGCCAGTACGCCCTGCTCTGCGAGCGGCTGAAGAGCGCGCGCGGCCACAGGGACCTGGCGTCCTGCGCGAGGCACTTCAGCCGAATCCTGGTCCTGGAGAACGCCATGAGGGCCTTTTACTTCGACGTGAGTACGCACACCAACAGCGCACACCAAAGGGAGCTCTGGGGAAAGATCCGCTGTCCAAGTGCAGGCCCTGCTTCACGTGCTGGCGGGAGCGCTGCTCGTGCCGCTCGTCAACACCTACGAGTTCTTGTCCACCAAGACGCTGGCCGCCTTCACCATGCTCACCATGTCCACCCTGCCGCTCGTTTACGGCACATGTCGCTGCTGGGGGACCGCCTGGTAGAGGGGGCGGGCGAGGTGAGTCCTTGTCTGTCTGAAAGGTGCCTCCAGAGGGCTGGTCCCTCCAGTGCGGTGGGTTGTTCCTGTGCCTGGCGGCCGTGTGCAGGTGGGGCTGTCGGCGTACTCGGGGGACTGGTTGTCGGAGGCGCCCCGCACCCGGACCCTCCGCCTCATGTTCATGCAGACCACGATGCGCGCCGCCCCGTTCGCCATGAGCGGCCTGGGCGAGTTCCGGCGCTCCTCGGCGTACCGTGTGCTCAAGACCTGGTACCAGTACCTCAACCTCCTCATCGGCTGCATGTCGTAGCGGGGCGTATGAAATAAACGATCGAGCAATACAAAAACGCGAGCGTCTTTACTGCCTTTAAGGATGCTCGGTGGTGGTGGCGTCCATGTTGAGCAGGATGCCCATGGTGTTCTTGGCGAAGTCGGCGGACAAGAACATCCTGCTCTTGGCGAGGAGGCTCAGCTTGCAGCGCGGCGTCGTCCTCATCACCAGGTTGTACAGCGAGACGATGGGCTTGGCCACCGGGACGGTCGAGTCGGTGCGCAGCGCGCGGCCTGCCTGCCGAGTCAACGTTGCCGTTGAAGGCAGGGGCGTGACTTAAGTCGCACAATCAGTCAAACGAATGGCATTGCACGGCATTGCACGGCAGCGCACCTCGAGCAAGCACTTGATGTCGTCGTCGCTGACCATCATGTTGATGCCCTGCTTGGTGACGTAGCTCCTCACGTAGGTGGCGAGCCTCGAGAAGCGGTTGGCCTCGGCGGGGTCGTCCTCCGCCGCCAGCACCGCGGCCGCCGCCACGCCTGCGCCACACGCCAGTGCGCCAACATGACTAGGTCCGCGACGTGCAGGAGCTGGCGCTGGGCGTCGCACAGTGGGCCGGAAGACCGGTGGAGGCAGTCCAAATCCAAATTCCGGGCGCTTTTTGAGCTTCAAAGTCCCTAAATGGGACTCGAACCGAACGTGTGACCCCCACCAATGGATTGCTCTCCGGACGAGGAATCCATTGGTGGGGTCACACGTTTGGTTCGAGTCCTGTTTAGCGACTCTGGAGCCCAAAACGCGTCTCGAGTTTTGGCCGCCGGCACCGGTCTTCTGGCCCACTGTGCGTCGGTGGTCGGGACAGACCCAAGAGCAGCAGCAGCACGCGCGGCGTGGAGCACGGCGTCGAGCACCGCACCCGGGAAGCCATGGCCGACGTCGGACGACGGGGACGGGGCCCTCGACCGGGCCGCGGACTTGACGCCGGGGCACTGCCGGCCACGCTCTTATCGACGTACTCTGTCGGCAACGTCCGCGTCGACGGTCCACCGGGACACCGGGAGGGGAGGGCGGGAAAGGGAAGTGAGTGTCTTTGACTTTCGGGAAGATCGGCCGCAGGTCAGGTGCGGCTTGGATGGTTGAAAAGTGTGCCTCCCCGACGAGTCGCTGACTTCGATGAGGGGAACTCTCTTGCCTCCTCGCAGGGAAAAAATCGCGAGTTTACTTTTCTTATAGCCAGGATGTTTCTAACTTCCGATCACCGGACGGTTGACCTGTCGAATGGGTGGCCATGAGATTAGGGGGGTGGCCTTACGTGTCGGACAGGTTTGCGTTCCGGTTTGATCCTTGGGCTCGACCCAACCACCCACACCTTGACGGTAAGCAGGGTGCTGATATGCAAGGGAAGAGGGAGTGATGTGAGGTTTACACAAAATTGTATGAAAATAAAAAAATCTGCGCGTCATGGTCATAGTTTTTTATATTTTATCTTGGACAGACGGATTGAAAATACAGAGGCTAGAGCGTTAAACTATCAATGTTTCTCACTAGCATTAAATAAAATTACAGAGCTCAAAACATTGGATCATGTAAACCGTATTTCCAGAGCCCTTTACTGTAAGTGAACAGCTGTGAAATAGAAGTTTTGTTTTCTATGCTAAGCCTTGGAAAAGACAGAATCCAAGGAGAGGAAGAAATCAGGAAATAATAAACAAGCTGCAAGGAGCTGCGATTGGACAAAACTTTAGATACTAACAAATCCTTATTTAAGAGTGAAAATATTCACAGCTAGGTAAAAATAATGTTAAGGCTAGAAAAGAAGAAAATTTACAAATACATGACTTAGCTAAGTTCCTAGCAATCTTCATGGTTGTGAAATTTCTAAGTTTCCAAATATATTAAATGAGTGCTAGTGTGCTCCGTATTCATCCATATTAACAAAAGTTCCTTTTTTTTAAATGCAACAGACAGATTAAGAAAATTTTCTAAAACCAAATGAAGGGCATTCTTAAATGGTTGTGTTGACTTTATCACAATTTAAACTTCATAAACAATCAAACAAATCAGTCTATACAAATTATACAGAATATCATGTGAGCCAGCAAATGAAGTTTTCTAAAAGTACAAATCAATAATAATAAAACGACTTTATTTCACACAACTTCAAACAATGCGACATATCTAGCCCCTGTCAAAGCTGTATGAAAGATCCATGGGCAAATGTGCTGAAACAATACACATTCACACTCAACTCCACAAAGATACTTCCCAATTCAACTCTGGTCCCAAGACTCACCTCACCAACAGAGATTGATCAATGCTCACAAATAAATGAATGCGTAAGCAAGCCATAGACTGTACCTACACTGAACAACTTCCAAGGGCTGAAATAAATGACAGTGAGAGAAGGTGTAATATGAATGACAATGTTGGCATTACGTACAAAGAGAGACAAAACACATTACCAAAAATTAAGTTAAAAAAATAGGAAGTGAACACGAGTATGTTTCTTACCGAATACTCTTGGTTCAATATGTTAAAAGGGCTCTGTGCTCTGAGCTAATTTATAAAAACTTAGCAGAAAATCATATCATATCACTGAATCAAAACTCCATCAGAGAATGTAATGTTGGGAGGAAGTCATAAGATATTACAACAAAAGTGACAACTTGGAACAAATAACAAAAGTGAGTACAACGAAATGATTTTCCTAATTTGCTCAACAGTTTGATCCTAACATAACTATTATCACTGTTACTACCTGAGAACTCCCTTCAGCTAGTCATTAGGTCAGCAAAATATCAAATTTAGTGTTAGCATAGATGCAGAAACAAAATGGTCAGGAATATTTTACAACATAATATTTTGTTTTTAAGGGCTACTAACATGTAAGTTACACATTACAAAATATGAGAAATTACTTTCAATAGTGCCATACAACAAAACTGAGGGCAACAGCTGACAGGCTTGAAAGAGAGGCATAGATCACTTGTTTGAAAATTTGGCACCTAAGAAAGGAGTCAGATTTTGATACACATTAAAGTCACAAGTTTCACAGAAATTCATTCACAAGGCTATATATAAAAAAAAGAACAATCAACAGTACATACAAGCAATATTTAAGTTCATCAGTACTCTTAAACTCAAATAAATAATACACTTAATAACACCTACACTTCATGCATCCACCAAAATGCATAACATAAAAATAAAATGCAAAGTAGTACTCAACAAATATTAAAACTTAAAATATTGCAAACATGTTTTCATTGCAAAAGGCATTAACAAAATTGAACAAAAACTTTAAGCAGACACAGGTGTTAAATAAATATGTGCAAAAATTATGTACCATTAATTAAGTAAGAGACTTCAAAATGCTTTTCACCATGAAAAAAGGTGGGGGGTGGAAAACAGTAAACAAGACAAAGATACAGCAAGACAAGAAACTGAGCAAAAGATTGTCAAAATTACTAACAAGTGAAAGGTATGTGACAGATGTATAGAACGTCAATGGAATGTAAACTTACAGGAATTGTGAAAATGAAGGACTAATACTAACTGAATGTGGCAAAAGGAGGAAACCAAACAGAAACCAAACATGAAAGCCTCCACCAACTTACAATGAGATAAGATAAAATAAACCTCATTCCATTTCACTCCAACACACTATCATAAATACACATTTAGAAATAACAAATAACTAAATTGCCTATGTCCATGCTTCATAATCTGTCGTACATACTTGAGGATATCTGACAACCTCTAAAAATCTACACAACAGCTCAAAATCTTATTGCCACATAAGGTGAGCTGAGTGGGGAGCATGAAGATACTTAATTATAATTTCATTTTAGCAATTCAAATAAAGAAATGATCAACAGGAAGCTTCTTATAGTTAGACACAGTCACATAAGAGAAGGGCACCCATCTCTTGAGACATGATTAAAATTTTGAGCTGTGATGTAAATGTAACTCACAAACAAGCCCCAGTGCAGACATCTTAACACTCACGCACACACTCACACAAGCAAAGAAACCACTGACATTAATCTCGACTGCTCACAACTGTCACACAAATAAAACAGAATTATCACAATGTCTGTATATACAAGAGAATTGATTCCTAATGTTATCAACATATTAAAATTAATATTCTTCAAGAGTAAGATATACATATATACACACACACACTTGTACATAAAAACTTAAGCAGAAATTCAAAGCATGAACATGGCAGAAGGTGACTGAGGAACCAAGGAACATCACCAAAATACTATGGTAACCACATTGGCTATACATACCTTTCTATTTGTTTTAAATATCACAATTGACTCTCTCTCTCTCTCTCCCTCTCTCAATATCAACTAACTTGACAATCATAATTTCTTCATAACCTCAACAGCTCTAGTGGGCAATAGGTTACTCCATTCCAATTGACCCACAAAATAATTTATGATACAATAATGATGCAAATGCACATTCACATAAATAGTCCTTAAACATAAAATTTGATATTCTTGACATAAACTTATATACAGAGATTCCACTAAATGAAGTACACAGTACCCTTGGCAGTAACTACTTGCATGGCAGGAGCAGAAGAGATAATCAAAAGTAATTTTAAACAGAAAAAATTATTAACACTTGAAATCTTTTCTGCCAATGACAACACGTTAAAATTGTCAGTCCCCATTCCTGTCATGCGATTATTAGGGTTAGTTACTTTAAAGATGATTCAAGAATATTTGCACATCTTAATTGGAAGAAATTGGGTGCCCTACAAGAGCAAGGCACCGTCAGTCTGTAGAGTGACCAAATAGCAGAAGAGACACAGCCAACAAATCTGGAGCAGAAAAAAAACAAGGAGCTATTAAAAATGAATGAAGGTTACAAGTACCTAGGCTCTATAAAATAAACCAGACTTACTAAATTGCCATCCTAGAAACATCATTTTTAATTTTCTGTCCGCACCTCCACTCCTCTGTAATAGGGGTTTCCCTTGATAGGCAATGGATGGGCTTCTGTATTCAGAACCCAATCGTCCAGTGAAAAGAATGACTCATCACTGAACAAAAGGTACAAGTACTGAAAAAAAAAAAAAGGACAAACGTTAACCAGATCATAGGTATTTCTTATCAGTTATAAGGCAAATTACTAGAAAATTTCAAAAAAGGTTTGTTGGCAGTTCTTACCTTTAATGTCTCAGCAAGGAAAAAGCTCTGCTGCACATCGTCTTTCACTGGTTGATCTATATAAACATTCTTGAGACCAGTGTAGCCCCCAGGCACTCGGCAGTGCTTTTCAAGTGCCTGGAAGAAAACATGTGTGTTAGTTTCTTGGAAACTCATCTCAAACAGCAGGTAAGATCATCTTAATCAACTTGAATGCTCACCATGACAGCTTCCCATCCCCAATCTCGATATTTCGGGTCTTTTGTTACCCTCCAAAGCACAAAGTAGGATTCAATAACCTCTGGCCGGAGGATGTAGTACTTTTCTGAGACACGCAGTGCCTTGGCTTCCATTGATTCAGTAAATCGAAAGACTTCGGGGCCAAGTTTTACAGCACTGCGGTCATAGGATTCATGACAAGTGTGTGTAATGGCAGCAGCTGCATTGCGATACTGATCTGTCATTTCATTTTGAAGAGTTTTAGCACCAAGAGCAAGAAGACCACCTAAAAATGAAAATATAACGTTAATGGACCAGATAATTTGTTGAAAATTCATTACATTCTGTTTATTGATTGTGTGTGCCTCACCTGAAAAGCATGCCAAGTGGTCCATTTTGTGGTCAACAGACTCAAACTTCAAGTCAGCAAAGTATGTTAAACCTCCAGGTGATACTTTCAGCATGTGAATAAACATGTTGTTCATGGCTTCATCATACATTTCACGAGCTTCTTGGTCTTCTTGGTTTGACTGAATCCAGGCCTTAAGAAGGTATTCATAGAAACTATCACCTAAGGCACCCATAGATATGTGTTCTGAAAAAGAGAAAAAAATTTAGCATATAAGGTGATAAAATTCATAATGCATGGTAATGAAATTCAGATAAGAAATACTTACGCTGTCCCCATTTCCCAGTTTTAGGGTTCAGATAATTGGGGTAGAGGCCACGTGGCTTTGCTGTAGATCGAAGCACTCTTCTAATTTCATCTATCTTATCTCTATATATGCGGTTTCCGGTCACATCAGATAAATAGCTGAACTCCAAATGCAGGGTTCCAAACTCAGAGAGAATACTCGAACCACCACTTGCCCAGGCATAGTTTTTGCTGAACTGCAATCAGAATCCCAAAAATTCAAGTCAGTTGTAAACTCACTAGTTACCAACAAAAAAATATATATATATATATGACGGATAAAATACTTACACCTGTCTTGAGGTTGATCAGAGCATTGGGAATTCCCGTAGGAGTTTGGAAAGCGGGCAAAAGTTTCTCCGCAATGTGCTCAGCCTTGTCTCTGAACATGACGTCTCCAGTGAGCGAAAAAGCAGTCAACAGGCCTCCAACAAACCGTATGTTGGTTTCAAACACAGAAACATCGAGACTCTGCAAGAAAGTTAAAATAAAAATTAAGTCATAAGCCAGTAGAAGTGAGACTTTCAGGGTTCCCACAAATTTCTATCACATATTTTCCTCAACCTTTCCATGACTTTCAAGATCAAAGTTACAAAACTTCCACGACCACTTCCGCAAAAGAAAACTTGAGAATGTTATTTCAATTTCTAAAAGCTATCGACATGCCATTTTTTTTCTTCATTTTCTCACGACTTTCATGACCAAGATTTTCTTCCGAGACTTTCGAGATTTTCCCGACTTGCGGAAACAATCAGGCTCACCGTGTTGCTCATGTCCAGGTGGTCGGCGATCCAGTTCCTGCCCTGGGTGAACTCGTCCATGAGGCCCATGATGAAGAGCGTGTCCAGGCCGTCCACGATGGTGGCGCCCAGGGCCGCGTTGCCGAAGATGCTGCCCGAGTGCGCGCGCCGCGACACCGGCCGCAGTTCGTTGCGCCCCCACGCGTAGCGCACGTAGTTGTCCCACGCGTGCCGCATCATCTGGAACAAGCAGTGTCACGCCGCCATCAGCACTCCCATTCATCGTTCGCACAAACTGCTCGGGTACTTCCCACGACTTTCAAGACTAAGTAGACTCGACGATTTTGGGGTAGTGGACACACACACGTCCACATAGATAGAGAACTCCAGTTCTCTCTTTCGTCATCTCGTGCGCCTGACGTTCCTCTGGGCGCGCGCTCTCTCTCTCTGAAGTCGCCCTGGCCGTCAGACAGTGTCTCGATGACTGTACAGAGCAAATGCACTCAGCGCGATCATTAGCGCAACTGCTCAAGTGCGAGGCACCCAGACACCCACACGACAGCTCCAGCTTCATTTTCGCCTATTTAGACGGGCGCCCGAGGCAGCGGGAGAGGAGCAGCCGAGCCGGAACTGTACATTCGCCGGGCGGTAGTGCAACTAACTCCATTGCACTTGCTATTTTTTTTAATTAATTTTTTTTAAATTGTGTTAGAGGGATTATTTTGAACTTGAGACGTCGGCCTTGAGCCGATTTCCCTCCAGGAGATCGCCCAGTGGAGTAGGCCGACGCACAGCGAGCAGAGCGCGGCGCGCAGCAGCGACACGACTCGAGCGATAACCCTGACCTCGGCCACACGCAGATACAAAACCGAGACAGAAACAGACCCAAAAAGTCTCGACCGCAGCCAAGCCGTGATGCAAGCCGAGCTAGCCAGCGTCGTATCGTCCGTCATCTCGTTACAGCCCACTTCCCCAAACAAGGCAGGGCTCGAGGGGTGACCCACTGTAAAATTTTGTGTACAATGATTGTGTGAATGTGCAAGAATGTGCAAGATTTCTGGCGGTTTTGCCACACATGTTGCCTACTTACAGGCGTTTTTGCCACCTGAATGTGGAATGTGGTGAAATTTTGTACAATGAATGTGGAAAGCTGTTCCCCCCTCGGCAGGGCTGCACGAGCGACTGCCACGTGTGGTCCAGTCTCAAGTTCAAAGGGCCCCTTACGACGGCAGGGCAGGCAGTCCCGCCAGACACGGCTGCGTCCGGGACTGCCTGCCCGCCAGGCGGCGGGGCCCCTTACGAGGACTGGGTGGGCCAGCCCGCAATGCAGCCCTGCGCCACGGGACGCCATACCTCGCAGGGGCCCTGCGGCCCACAGCGGTGCAGTTTAACCTTTCTTCTTTATTTTTTGACGTGGGCGGCGAACCGCGGCGCAGCCGGCACATCCGTTCGGGCGAGGCAGAGACAGCGAGACGTGGAGGCACCCGCGCGCGGTCGCTCCTAACGGGGTGGGGCGCAGCCCGCGCGGCGTGGCCGAGCTTTCACACGAGTGTGAACAAACAGACCCCCCCCCCCCTCCCACCTTGGCGGGCAAACGGCGGGGTCGCCTTTCCGCGCGGCCGCCGCCGGTTCCAGCCAGCCAGCTTGTGGCCGGCCGGCCCGGCCGCCCCGCCGTCAGGTCCTAACAGACCAGACCACCATTAGTGGTTTGGTCACCGTCGCCGTCCTCGGCGTCCTCGCCGTCCGCCCGGGCCGGTTTAGCCTAGTGTAGTGGGACGCGTTTCCGAAAAGCACCGAGCCAAAGCGCAGCCAAGCGGCCGAGCCACGACCCAGCGACCGCAGACACCGGCGGACACGCACGGCGGCAGGGACTTCCCTCGGCCGGGCGGGGTGTGGAGGGGCGGAATAATGGACTCGCTTCGAGCATCTACAAACCCCGCAGCCAGGCAGCCAGCCGAGCAGCCAGCCAGGCCCAAGGCCGGCCCGCCACACACTCTCGGCCTAGATGGCGGCTCGCCAATTAGTAGTAGGCTCCCCTTCGGCGGGGACTTGAACAACATGGAAACACATGCTCTGCCGCTCCGCCGCTCCGCCCCGCCCGGCTCAGCCACGCGCCCCACGCCGCCGGCAGGCTGGACTTCCCCCGCGGGGACCGTCTGTCCCCAGCACGCGGTGGCACTGCAGTGTGCCACGCCACTCACAGTGCACTAGAGGCACAGAACGGTTCTGGGCGTCGACACGTCGTCACGAGCCGCGGCACCAAGGCATCGCACGCGACCTGCACCGCGGCGGTTCCTCCCACACTGTTCCGTTTCTCTCGCACCCCCACGGCGCGACGCACGAGTGCGAGAGAGACAGACAGACCGTTCGGAGTCAGCCGCGGCGTCGGCAGATAAAGCGGCCGGCCCGGCCCGTGTCAATGTAAAGAAGGAATTAGAGTCTCGCAGCAGGGCAGGGCGGCAGACTGATACCGAGAGTCGATTTCGCCGCTGTCGCTCTCGCACCAATGGGGGACGCTCCGTGGGTGCGAGAGAGACAGAGCGACGAAAACGACTCTCGGAATCAGTCTGCAGGGGGCACCACACAGCTGGGCGGCGAGGCACGGCGAGGCCAGGTCCGTTATCCGCCGCCTGCACGTCCGCGGATTCGGATTCGACGCCACGCCACGCCACGCCAGGGCCAACGCCGCCGCGGTCGGCCGCGCGGCGCCGAATCGTGACACAGCATCTGATCGACGCCGCGAGGGCACGGCGCACAGTGGGCCAGAAGACCGGCGGAGGCGGCCGAAAACTCTAGACGCGTTTTCAGCTCCAGAGTCGCTAAATGGGACTCGAACCGAGCGTGTGACCTAACCAATCGATTCCTCGTTCGGAGAGCAATCCATTGGTGGGGTCACGTGCTCGGTTCGAGTCCTTTTGAGCGACTCTGGAGCTCGAAACGCGTCCAGGATTTTGGCCGCCTCCACCGGCCTTCTGGCCCACTGTGCGCCGCGGCGCGGCACGGCACGGCGGACTTCAAAAGGGTCGGCGACGTGCCTTTCCTGCCGCGGGTCATCGCCGAGCCGGCGGAGCGGGAGCCGCGGCGCTGCCCCAATTTCCGGACGCCCCCCAGCAGCGCCGCGATCGGACGCTTCGGACGCGGCGAGGGCTGCGGGCTGAATCCGCGAAATGAGGTATCGCTCCGTCTCTCTCGCACCGCCACGGAACGTCCCTCGAGTGCGAGAGAGACAGACAGTGCGGAATCAGCCTGCTGCAGAGAGTGGTGTTCGTCGCCGCGTCTCCCTCGCACTCCATGGAGCGCCCCGTGTAGGTGCGAGGGAGACAGCGAGCAAAGGGCTCTCGGAACCGGCCTGCCGGGGCGCCACGCTACGCGCTACGCGGAGCGCGGCACGGGGCTGCTGCCAGCCTGCCAGTGGCGCGGCGCGGCGCTAAAGGTGGGGGCGGGGGCGGCCCGGCCGTGCAGCCAATTTACAACTTCAAACAACGATCTTTATGCGTTGCCTTCGGGCCTAGGGGCGCCCAGCTCGCCAAGCTGCGCCAGCAGGCTCATTCCGAGGGCTCTGTCTCCGTCGCACTCGCGGGGCCAGGCGTCGGACTGCAGGCAAACCCTGGGCAAACCAGGCCATGCCGCCACGTGGCCGCGGCCTGCCGGCCCACTGTGGGGCCCACTGCAGCTTGCAGTGCACCGCCACCGCCGTGCACACGCACGCCCATGCGCGGCGCCGCGACGCCCCGCCCGGCCGGCGACGCCCTGCGCGGGAATCCGCCTAGGAGAGGCGAGGCGGCTTCTAGGCGCCAATTGGTACACGCCTCACTCAGTCCGTCGGGCGTCCCGCGGCGGGGCGAGAGAGACAGAGCGACGAAAACGGCTCTTCGGCGTGGCGGGCGCCGCCGATGCCTCCCGCCCACGCGGCGACTGCTGTCGCCGGCGCGAAAAAAAACCGCTTCCGGTCGGGCGCGAACACACACGACACAGAGTCGGTCACGACGGCCACGACGATATCGCCGACACGGCGGCCTTGGCGAGCACGACGCGGTGCCAATCAGAGCCTTTCCGTCGCGCTGTCTCTCTCGCACCTGCACGGCACGCCCCACGAGTGCGAGAGACAGAACGACGAATCAGTCTTCAGTCTGAATCACGGCGACGCCGAAACGGCCAAAGCTCGACGGGGAAGTCCCAGTCCCGGTGATCATCGCGCCTCGCCCGCTCGCGGCGAACAGTCATTACGCCGCTCCGTCTCCGTCCCCCTCACGGCTCTGTCCACATGAGTGCGAGAGAGACAGAGTGACGCAACGACTCATCTGTTCGGAATCAGGCCGCTGGTCGACAGGGGGCTGTCCGTCCGTCAGCGAGCCGCCACCGTGCCACCGGCCTCCTGGGGGAGCTCAAGGCCCCCCTGCACGGCCTGCCCGGCCCCGCCCGGCCCCGCCTTCCGGGCTGCAACAGCCTCAGCCTCATAGCCCTGCCGGCCCTGCCCCGTCCAACACGCGCCATGCACTGGCACAGTATAAACAGACCCCGCGTGTCATAACGAGCAGGGTCAGAGAAAAAATAGACATCCGGCGGTGGGGTTCGAACCCAGGGACCCAGGGGCGTCGCGCGTGCGGCGCGGCGCGGCGGAGGGCAGGGAAAAAAGTGGAGTAACAGCTAGCGAATGGGCCACCGCCACACGGACAAAGCCGGTGGGTGGACCGGCGCACGCGATGCCAAAATGACAGGCGCGGAGAGGAAGCGCGTGCCGTGCCGGAGGATCGCCTCGTCGCTCTGTCTCTGTCGCACTCGCGGGGCGTCGCGTGCAGTCGCGTGCGCGTGCGAGAGAGACAGAGCCATGTTCGGCTGGCGTGCGTCATGGGTGCCGTGTCGTGCCCTGGGAACGGGCACGAGCTTCAGGCACAATCCAGTGGGGCAAAAGGACAATCGACACCCCGTGGCCCGAGCCGTGGCCCGTAGGTAGCCGCTTGAAAGGTGGGCAGAAAGCCAGACCCTAGGAGTGGGCAACATGTTCTATTGCGGACTCTGGATCCGCCCCTGACGGGCTTGGGGCGAAATTCGAGAGCCAGGCGCCTTCGTCGAGTCCGTGATCCTGTCGACCCTCTAATCTATCACCTGACGACGAAGAATAGAGGCCATTGCGGCATCGTGACCACCGATAGATAAGCGCTAAAGTGCCGCACGTTCGAGTGCTCACGCGTCAACACCAATTCCCGGAAAGGCAATTCCATTCCCCGGTACAGTGGGCCAGAAGACCGGCGCAGGCGGCCAAAACTCTGGGCGCGTTTTGAGCTCCAAGCAACTATAGCTGAACAAACTCGAACCGAACGCGTGACCCCCACCGGTGAATTCCTCGTTCGGAGAGCAATCTATTGGTGGGGTCACACGTTCGGTTCGAGTCCCGTTCAGCGACGCTGGAGCTCAAAACGCGTCCGGGATTTCGGCCGCCTCCGCCGGTCTTCTGGCCCACTGTGCGGTAGATTCGGGCAGGACACGTGTGTCGAGCACCTGGCACTCACCTCCTTAACCTTATCTCGCTTCTGGCGGATAAGCGGGTCGGGGTCCTCCCCTCCCTTGATGAGGGGGCAGAAGCCGCCGCACTCCCCGGGGGGCACCGTCACGATCTTGCGCGGCGCGCTGGCGGGGCCCTGGCCGTTGGGCCCCTGGCCCTGCCCGTGCGCCCCCAGCGCGGCGGGGGCGGGGCCCTGGCCCGGCACGGCCGCGGGCATGGCGCTGCTGGCGCGGGGCGCCGCCACCTCGGGCCGCTCCAACACCTGGAAGACAGACAGGGATCAGCAGGGGGCTCGGGCTCAGAAAAACCCATTCCGAGAGTCGTTTTCGTCGCCCTGTCGCTCTCGCACTCAAGGGCGTCCCGCCAGGGCGGCGGAAACGACTCTCGGAATCAGTCTGCAGGGGCTGACTGAGTGTCGGAAGGATTTACTACAGTCACGTTTAGACAGGGCATCTCATGGGCATTATTAACACCCCATAAAAATAAAAAATAGGTGAAACTCCCAACAAAATTTGACAACCGTAAACACAACAGGGGGTCATGAGGAGCCTCAATTAAATTCAAGAGAGAGACGATGGTCTCTCAGAATGACAATACCAATTACGCAACAGTGAAGTACAACTTTACAATAAAGCAAATAAATTCAAAATTGAAAAAAATAAAACAACAGAAAAACAACTGAGTAGAAAAGATTAATAGCTCTTTGATCTGAAGCTCTGCCTTCAAAGTCTATACCGCTTTGATTAAGTAAACAAACTCAGATAACCAATATTTACATTTCAACTGAAAGGTAAGATATACATCAAGGAAGATAAGTTCCTTAACTAAGATAAAACCTGGCCTTAATTTAGAAATGACAATCTATTATGCGCATAAAACTTGATAAAAATATTAACGGCTGCACATAGCCGAACATCAAAAACAAACTTCACGGTCCCACCTAAAATCACTGGTGTCTCCGATTCACACAAGTGACTCACTGGCCTTGGATCGGCCCTGCCTACCGCCATGCTGGAGCGGCTGGACAATCTTCCAGGCATTGTCCAGGCTCCCTGACTCCAGCTGGACCAGTGGCTGACCCCTTACATAACCTCAACGCGCGCACTGTTTTGATTCCCCGGTGGTGTACCTTGGGGTTCTTGAGCTTGTCCAGCTCGGCGTCCTCCTTCATCTTGGCCTGCAGCTTGGCCCTGTCGCCAGCCGAGTGCGGGTCCTGGTGCATCAGCCCGTGCCCCACATCCAGATCGTGGCGGACGACTCCGGAGTGCGAGCCCGCGGCGGCTGGCATCAGCAGGTCGGGCCCTGCCTTCTGCACGCTCTCCAGCACCTTGCCGTAGACGCGGTGCGCCGGGCCCGCGCCCGAGTACTCGGGCAGGTAGAAGAAGGCCCCGAAGCAGACCAGGACGAAGGTGCCGAACACCAGGGCGATGAGGAAGCGCTCCCTGGGCCGGAACGAGCGCCGAGCCACGGACCCGAGGGGGTTGCCATTGCTGTGCGAGAATCGCTGGTGAAATGTCGGCAGGATTTGCGGTGCTGCCGCGGCGGCCATGGCGAATGCGAAGGCAGCGAATGCGGGCCGAGCCTCGGCGGGCTGGGCGACGTCGTCAACAAGCTGGTTTCGCGGACACGGGGGTGCGGATGGACCTCTTGACAGAGCACGGGCTGGGCCCCTCCGTCCTCCTCGCCATCACCAAGACACTGCACTGACGAGTCGAGCCGAGCCGAGCCGAGAACTGCCAGGCAGGCCAGGGCACTACCGTCCCGTTGCCCGCACTCCCTTCACGTTCACGGACCGCCGTCCCCTTTCGCCTCGTCTTCGTCTCCGTCGCTCCACTCCTTTCTACCTTACGCCCTATCTGCTCTCACCGCCATTCTCCGTTCCCTTCCCTTTTTACGTCCTCCGCCTCTCTCTTTTTCGTCGCTTCTTCTCCTCTTCTTCTTCTTCTTCTGTCTAACGGCTGCCGAAAAAAAAAATCCCTCGGTTTCATTGCATTTTTCGGTGGCACGTGTCGAACCGCAGTTTGCGGTAGGTACATTTCCATTGATTTTGAGTTCAAACGCGCTAGAGTTGGCTTCTTTTTTTGACTTTCTGTGATGAATACGCAGAACGCCCACGTCGCTTTGGATGGAAGGGAAAAACTGTGGGAAGGTTGGCAATGGTACCAGCTGAGCTACAGGACTGCCAACACTACCACACTAAAGCAACATACACGCGAAACTTACTGTCCGCCTAATCCCTAGAAACGCCCACGAACGTTTTCAAGGAAACACATGTGTCTCAATGAATTTCATAAGAATCAACTCAAAGCCTTTGTTGCCAGGGCATTCACAGTTTTCATCCACAGAGGTGTCCCACTCCGGCGGGCAGACGAACCCCGTTTGGCGCCAAAATCTGAAACTCGACCCGTTTCGTCTCGCGCACGCTGTCGTCCACGTCCAAGCTCATTAGAATGTTATCGTCCGCCCCACTGTGCGATGTGAACCATCAGATAACGCTCACGTTGCGCAAGATGCGGTCGCGCTCCAAGCAAGACAACACAAATAGAAAGAACAGGGGGAGGGGGATTATCTAAACGGCTTCCTGTGATGTGTGTCCACATGGGGCGATGTTCCCCAGTGAATGCGTGAATCGTGGTAACTAACTCCTCACCTGTCCACCGGGCGGCGGCGTTGGGCGCCGTTCTATCGTGCAGCCCGAGACTGCGCCAAGCAGGAGACACAACGTGCACAGCGTGACCAGGGACATGCTTATCCCGGAAGGGTTGAGGACGCTGCGAAAATCCCACAAAATCCACTTAATTTCTCAAGCAAAATAGCAAATCAAGTTCCGCCTCAGAGCACAATCCTGTCATCAATCGCATATCGAAGCAGGATTATCGCCATCTTTCATTTCAACCCGACCCAAAAATGAAACAGGGCACGGCGAGAAAAAGACAGTGGCGGATCCAGAGCCGGCCTGACGGGAGGCAAAGTAGCACTTTTCACCCACTTACAGTGCAGGGGGGTAAAGTGTGGCTTTTTGCCTGCCTTTCAGGCGGCTATCTAGCGCTTCGGCCCCCTACTGGATCCGCGCTTGGGCAAGAGAGCAGCCTTGTTGTGGTACGGACCTGGGCTGCACGTGCATGGCGCTTGCGCTCCTTGGCTGCGGCGTGGTGGCTTCGGCTGGGAGAGAGAGAGAGACGGCAAGTCGGCGCGTTCGCGGCGCGTGGCGACGGGGACTTCCCGCCGACGACTGGCCCGTGCTGGCGGTGCTGGCGCTGCGCGGCTCTGGCGGCCTCCTCGCGGAAATGGACCCAAATCGGCGCGACCGAAGACGAAGACCAAGACCGACCGGCCGAACGAATGCTGCTATGCAACGTCGTCAAAGACGACGCCGATGACGGGATGCGATGGGATGGGACGGGACGAGGGGAAAGTGCCGTGCCGTCGAGGAGGAGGGGACCGGAAACACCTCGACGGCACCGATGCGATACGGATGGTCGATGTGATGGCCGGGCCAAATCGGCGTTCCAAAATCGAGGTACTTCCCTCGTCAGGTGTGATTCGGGTTCACAAATGTTGCTGCCAAATCCACCTCCCCAACTTAAAAAAAGAAAAAAAATTGGGTGACTTGACAATTGCTGACAATGCACACATGCTGCTTGTACAGTACACAGACCATATTCATACAGATTGAACAACAATGATGGGGCACGAATTGGCAAAACAGTCAACACAAGTGGTCTGAAGCTACAGGTTTCTCAGAAAGGCATGTGTTTGCTTTACAATCGAAACTGATGAGTTGTGTGGAATGAGCGGCCAGCTGCTGCTGTTGTGGTCGGGGTTTCGTTGACTCAACATTATTTGGTATCAGAACTGACCTGGCAGATTTGAATTGCAAATATTGAAAACGAATGTGGTGGTGATAACAACCTCCACTGCGTAGAGAATAATTGAAAACGAAGATATGTAAAAGTCAACTTTACTATCAAAATATACATCAGGTTGCATCAATATGACGTGCCATCAAGCAATGAATTAAGACATACAGTTAATTATTATAATTTCATGTTGAATTGAAGGTGATTTTACAGTCAAAGATAAATGTACAGATTACTTCACTATGATACATTAAAAAAAAAACACATTTACTCGCTATCACTTCCACTGTCACTTTCATAATCCCCAACATCAATGGAGAACTTGTACTCTTGATCACAGCCAAGGTAAGCATCACTCATGAAGTACAATGTGTAGGAATGATGGCCTGTAAAATAAAATCAAGTTGATATTTTTTTTTAAAAGGAGAAGGGGAGAGGTAAAAACAGGGTGAATAAGAAGTGTACATACCAGGTGAAGGAGCAACAAAGTCCAACTTGACATTGGCTCTTTGTTGGAGAGTCAACCTCTTGATAGAAAGCAGGGAGTTTGTCTTTGGGTCTCCAATAACAACCCACCAGCCCTCTTCTCTCTTCTGAGGGAAGAATGGGGCAATGACAGGCCCAGTGACATCGTCTTCACGTTCAAGGCTAACATTGACATTGACTGGAGAGCCTGATTGCAATTGATCTTTATCAACGACTTCATAGCTCAGTTCAATGTTGGGGTAACGGTTGCAGAACCGTGCAACATCAGCCATCTCAGTATCACTTAGCTGAAGAAGCTTGGAACGGTCATCATCCTCAAGTTCCATGATGTCAAACACGGTCTCCACATTCTACAGCAAAAAAATAAACACAAATTAATATTTGCACAAGGAATAACCACGTGCTACACAACAAAACTAATTTGGAAAGTACCTTTTCGGAACAGCGCTTGATCATGTCAGTGGTAAAGTGAGGCAGTTGCTTCAGGTAAGAGTCCTTACTCCACATGGCCTGGGTGGCCATCTGCGCCAGCTCCATGGCAGCCACGGCCGGTGCCAGCCACCCGTTAGAACTGAGTACGTCCACACAGGCTTGGATCAGACGAATAGCCTGGAAACAAAACAGAAAACACTAATCAGATCCGAACGCTTACCAACAGAGCAACAGTCCAGCAAATTCACGAGGAAAGTTACCCTGGAAAGGATGAGTTCTGTGTCACCCTGCAACTCAGCACTGAGTTGTATTCTGCTCAGGTGAGCTTGGATCAGTAAGTTGGTCTTGACATGTGGGTCATTGTAGCGGACTGGAGCTCCACCAGATCCAGAGGGCTTGTTAGGCAACTTGCTTGCCAACTGACGAAGAACAGCATCTTCATGATGTCTCACAGGAACATCCTCGTACTCAGCAGCAGAGGAGATAATTTCTAGGAGACCTCGGATTTTGGTCTTGCTGTTCAGTGAAAGACTGAATAATTCTGAAAGATGATGATTAAAATGAGTAAGGATAGCAAAATTTGCTGAAACACAGCTGAGTGAACATTTTAAAATGAACGACTGATTGATTCTTGTTGCTCACCTATAGTTGTGTAGTTGATATAATAGTAAGCTGCAATCATTCCCAAGTTGAGTGGCAGACAATCCATTTCATCCTCAACACTAATACACTGTAACAGAAGAAGGTAACAATTCAGACGAACAATTCACGTAAACAACTGACACATTTCATATCTGTTCACAACTTACCTTAGATTGCTCCAATTCTTTGAGCGTGTTCTCTACTAGTTCTGAAAGATGATCTGACAAGTGCCTGTGAGACACTCCTTGCAGATTATAGTAGTTAGGGTTCTGTGTAAGGCGCCTATAGATAAACGTCCATGTAAGATAGTCCACAGCATCCTGCTTATTTTCAATTGTTTTTGTTACAATTTCTGCATTGAAATGATCATGCAATCTGTGGTCCAGATGGCTCTGAAAAATAAAAATAAATATTCATGAGCCAAAGTTCAATCATAGGCTAATAACACATCACACAAATAACAGATATTATTACCTCAACAGGGAGGGGCTCATTCAGGAATTTCTTGAAGAAGTCTTTCTTTGAGGTCTGGCACATAAGGACGCATTTTGCATCATCATCCTCAAGAGGTCTGTTGGCAAAGCCAATCATCTGAAGTACATCAGTAACTGGGTAGTCTTCATAGGCGTGGATCTAGAAAAATAAAACCGACAATATAGCAAACAAAAGCAGCAAATCACAAAGTCAAAGAGTCCATTTGAAAACTGAAGTCAACTTACCTTGCCATTGTACAGCTGTGTATCCATGATGACAACAAGATGTGCTGCCATGCTCACACCCCAGCATAAGTTGCGAGTCACAACAGCAACCTGGATAGCCCCAGACTCAAACAGCTGTTCAACCAGCCGATGGTCACTAGGGGAAAGTCCTTCATGGACATATGCAACACCTTGTCCCAGTGTTTCCTTCAGGGTCTAAAAGAAGACAAGATGAGATGAATTAAAATTAAACACAAACTAATCATACAACACTGAAATTAAAAAATGGTATGCAAACCTTATCTTGCATGCGTTCCAGGAAAGGCTGAATGTCATCCTGTTCGGCATGGAAGAATCTGTCCGGTGTGCCCTCCGACACTGCATATGTGAGAATGTCTATGGCTGTGAGGCGGGCTTGCTTTCTGCTTGGTACGAAGACCACAACTGGTTTGTTGGGGCTGTGCCTCATGATGGCATTGTAGACTGGCTTGCCCATGGCCACAATACGGGAAGCATTGTGAGTCATGTTGAAACCCTGTGAATACAAAATAAATAAGGTAAATACAAATTTTTAAGATTACTTTGAGATGTACTTTTTAATAGGTATATTTACCTGAATGTGCAACTCCAAGGGCAGTGGTCTGACACTAGGGTGGAAGTTAAAAGTGCAGTTTGAATTACAGCCCAGCCACTGTGCAACATCCCTAGCGTCTGCCAGTGATGCAGACAACGCCACAATTCGAATTTGTCGCTCTATTTGGGAAGAGATGTACCGCATTCGTGAGCAGACCACTTCCAGTACAGGGCCATCCTCACCGCCAATCAGCTGCAGCTCGTCAACAACAAACAGGTGAACGTTCTGAACGTTTTTGCGCTGCTTCCAACGACGAGAAAGAACGTCCCACTTCTCTGCTGTGGCCACAATCACCTGGAAAACAGGAAGCAGGGCACATGTAGTATGACTAGCAGCATAGGCATCCCGAACTCTCACCACTCACTAAGAACCAAACTCTTACCTGACCCTTGGCGAGAAGTTTCAGGTCTGTGCCTGTTTCACCAGTCAACATAACCACTTTCTTTCCTAAAGTCAGTCCAAACTTGTTGTGCCAGTCAGCAAAGACTATTTCAGCCAAGGATTCCTTCGCAACAACATACACACACCGACCCTCAGGGTGGTGTTGGAACATCCTCAACACAGCAAACTCGGCAATTGTTGTCTTTCCTGAACCAGTTGGTGCTCCAATGAAGATGTTTTCATCACTGTTGTACACAGCATTGAAAACCTGGGTTTGGATGGGATTGAATTGCTTGAACTTTTCCTGGTAAACTTCTTCTAAGTCTGGGGTACGCAGAGCAGAGACTGGCAGCGGTTGCAAATCTAGCAATTCGGTAGGAGGCACATTCTTCTCAGGGAGAATCAAATGGCGGAAAGAGACAGGAAGTTGAGTCTCTGCACCAATCCAGCGGTCAGAAACAATTCGCAAGAAATACTGAGGAGGCAGTGGCTCAAACACAGGGACAAAGAACTTCACTAAATGTTCATCAGCGGCATACTTGGATTTCAACAAGAAGTATTCATGGTGAAGAACAACTTCAGAATCAACATCCTCAACAAGGATCCAGAAAGCTTCAGATGCGCCATGCAGTTTCTCATCCCACTGGAAATCAGGAGTGATTGTCAACTCAACCCTCAAAGTGGACCTGGTGATAGGCTGAATGTGGGTTGAAAGTTCCAGCTTGGGGAATTGATGAATGTATTTGTGGATTGTTTTGCCCAATCGGGGAACCCTGATCAGTTCACCAATTTCATTTGGTCCCAAGTCATAGAGCCTTTCCCATGGGAAATTTTTCTTCTCAATCTTTTTTACTATTTCTTCTGGCATCTTCCTGAACTGTCGGAGAGGAGACATAGACTGCCACATTCGCCGATCCACCATTTTGCATAGAGAAAGAGTTTTGTCAGCAAGTTGAGCCCATCCTCTATGCAACACAATTTCAAATATGGCTCTCAAAAGTCTTCCAGCAGACTGAGTTACATACACCATGTCTGACATCAAAGCAAAACCCTCAAGTTTCAATTGAGAGATGTAGGCTTGAAGTAAAACGTTTATCTTTGCACTGGGCTCCTCCATACTTTCCTTGATAGGAATAGGAACCCTTTCCATCAGCTTTTGAAGTTCAAGTTTCTCCTCTTCACGGACATTGATGTTGCGGAACTCTCCAGATAGCGAGAAGACTCTGCAAGAAATACAGCAAAATTAACAAAGGAAGACATGACACAGGCAAATTCAGATTATCTGATCAGAAGACCTACCGGAAAAGTTCAATTTCGCTGAGAGTGGGCTTCAACAGTTGGTTGTAAGTTGACATAGTCTGGTGGGTACAGTAATAGTGACTGGCAATCCGACCCAGCTCCGTGACCTGGAAGGCTCCCGATTTCCGATCGTACTTCTGGAGGCCCGATCTTTCCAGGAGCTGTGCTGCAGTGTGGATCAAGTCAGCCCGATGGCGCTCCAGACCTGGATCTTCTTGAAGTTGTTCCGGTGCTATGCCATACAAAGATGGAGACCGAAGCATTCTATCAACAAGAGAAAATTAATTAGTTATCAACATAATAAGCAGGATTTAAAGTAATACGGGAGAAGAGGCATTGAAAACCCACCTAATATAGAGATATGTGAAGCCCAACCAGTTCACAGCATCCCTCATATTTTGAATTGTGCCCAATACTATTTCAGCATTAAGCATGTCTGGAAGTTTGCTGACCATCTGAGACTCTATAGGGAGCTGTTGGTTCAACAGTGACAGGTAGTACTGCAATTCACTGTGATTGGTGATCAAAATACCTTCACCCTTAGTATCATACTGAGGACGACCAGCACGACCCAACATTTGCAACACATCTAAAGCACCTAATTCCACCCATCGACCCTTCTCAGGGTTGTAAACTTGGGTACCCTTGATGATGACAGTGTGTGCGGGCAAGTTGACACCCCAGGCCAGAGTGGCGGTCGAAATGAGAACTTGGATGTGGCGATCAGCAAACAAGTCTTCAACCAAGGTACGGTCAACTCTTGACATACCGGCATGATGGATAGCAAATCCATAGGGCAACAAGTCTCTGAGCTCACTATTTTTCACTTGTTCAGCTTCTGTTCTGAGAACTTCCATAGATGCTGATCCCTCCTTCAAAAACTGTCCAAGAGAATCTTTTTCCAGGCACATATCTCTTATGGCACGAGCTGTTTTACCAGTTTCCTTACGAGAGTGCACAAACACAAGCACTTGATTGCGTCCAGCATGTTCCATAACTTTTTCGTAGACAATTTCATTCATGACCTGAAAACGTTTAAGAGCTTTCTTTTCAGTAACACCAATGTACTGCTGTTCTAGGGAAACAGGACGGAAGCTGTTGTCAAAGTAAAAGAGTCCAGTTTCAGGCTTCACACGAAGGAACGTTGCAACATCTTGGTAATTGGGCAATGTTGCAGATAAACCAACAAGACGGACATCTTCTTGTGTCGTATCAATATTTCTGATGGTTCTGGCAACAAGTGATTCAAGGACAGGTCCTCGTTCATCATGCAGCAAGTGGATTTCATCAATGATAATCAGGCGAACCAGTTGAGTGAATGTCTTTTCACCTCCTTTACGAGTAATGATATCCCACTTCTCAGGTGTACAAACGATGACTTGAGTAGCTTGAATTTGCTCTCGGGTCAGCTGATGATCACCAGTTAATTCTGATACAGTGAGATTGTACGGTTCTAAACGCTTGCCAAAACTTCCCACCATTTCTTGTACCAGAGATCGCATCGGAGCAACATAAATTATTTTGAACTTATCAGAATTGATAGTTCCATCAGGGTTAATATGTTTTCCTATTTCTCTCATCATGGTCAGAAGAGCTACATTTGTTTTACCAGCACCAGTTGGGGCACAAAGCAACAAGTTTTCATCTGAGCCAAGGGCTGCTGCATGTAGACGGCTCTGAATTCGATTCAGTGTTTTGAAATCCTTGAAAGCAGCTTGAGCATATCTGGGTAAATTTGAAATGGGGACAAGTACTTCATCTGCAGCAAAGGGTTTGGGCTTCAGTGCAGGAACATGAACTTCTTCATATCCTTTGCGTTGCTTTCGGAATGACCCATCAGGAAGCTGACACCGTTTGCTTGACATAAAATGAGAGCCTGCAGCAAATGCAAGATCTTCTAGGTCCAACATGACACGAGAGCCAATAACTTGGCCACCTTTTCCTTCGGTGCCTTCACTGGCTTCAGAACCTCGCTTGTGAGCAGCCCTGGCAGCCTGGCTTTCATCCCCATTCAATCTATCGTCATCGCCTTTGCCTGTGTCAAGCTGGCGCAATATTTTTGACAGATTTGGATCTTCATTCATAGTATCCCGGATCTTTTTCCTTTCAGCTTCACTTTGTGAGGAAGCAAGCTCTGTGCAGTATAAAATCATCTGACGATACTTTTTAAGCAGCTTAATAAAATCAAAGCAGTCATAACCCAGTAACAGCACCAATAAATTTTCACACTCTCTGTCATCACCAGCTTCTTTCAAAACTTTTAAGACTTCAGCAGCTTTGGACTGAGAAACAATAGCATCGTCATAGTACTTAGAAAGACGCCTCTGGAGCCAGTAAGCATCGATGTCCAACGGATGCAAAGCTTTCTCTTGTTTTCTTTGTTCTTCAAGTGCAGCAAGCTGAAAAGAAATAGATAAACATAAAGTAAAAAATACAAAACAAGCCAAGTGACAACTCAGATAATTGACAGAGGCAGAAACTTACATTTTCTGATCTGATGGCAGAATCATCTTTAGCTTCTTCACCCTCTTCCTGATCATCATCCTCTGAAATTTCACCATAAGTGTTTTCATTGTCCTCTTCATCGTCAGACTCACCAAATTGTACATTGATACCATATGCTTCATCAATATTTTCTTCTGCAAAGAGAGAACAAGAAATATGAGAATAAGGTTCAAAAACTGAATTATGGGGATAAGCAATCAAAATATTGAAGAGATGCTTACCAGCAATGTGAATTTCCTCTTTGGCACCAAAGTCAGTAATTTTCTTTCCTAAGTTGACTAGCAGAGCAAATCGCTCCTCAGCAAGACCACCAAGAAGAGACTCAGTTTCTTTTTTCTTTTCCTTTTCTTTGAGTTTGTCATTCTTCAGAACAGTCAGAACTTCATCAGCAGCTCCACAGAGAATATCTCGAGGCTAATGGAAAAATGGTTCAATAATTAAGGTGAAAGTAACAAAATAATTTGAGAAAAAGTTCAATGATAAACTTCAAGAGTGTTGAAGTTAATGAATCAATAGAAAAAAATTACCTGGTCTCCTAAGGCCTCCTGAATAAAGCTGAGGAGAACCTCGTATGTTTGGCGTGTTTCCTGTGTTTTGGGGCGGTAGATAATGCCAACCATTTCGTCAACACCTTCTGACAGAAGAGTAGCGCCCTTCATGCGAGCAAAGTCATACTGAGCTTCATCTCGCTTCTGTCGCCTGGAGGAATAAGAATAACACATTTCAGATCAGAAATATGGCAACAAAACTGCACAAAGCTGAAATGAACTTGTTAATAAACATACTTGGCTTTTCGTTCCTCAGCTTTGTCTGGGCGTGAACGCATGAATCGGTCTCCCATTTTGGTTCCGTCCAGCTTGCCCACAAGGGACATGACCTCACCGGTGGCTTCATCTCGACTTCTTCTCTCAATGAGACGTACATCAGCTTGAAGGACAAGGTTGGAGTTCTGTAAAGCAAAATTAGAAAGAAATATTAAAATAGGCAATTTTAATGGCTTAAAGAGACGCTCTATCAACAAAATAAATGCTGTGAGCAAGTGTTCCTTTAAATTACGAAAAATGACGCTAGAGTGTGAGGTTATGGTGTACAGTGGATAAATAAATATGACCGTGTAGACAATCTTGAATGAAAGCAACACAAGCATTAAATGAAAGAAAAATAAATTCGAGTTGAGGGCACTAGTTTTTCGTTCCTGACTAGATTATCTCCAGGAAATAAAACAACGAAATAAAATAACAATACCGCCGGCCGTGGAAGGGTCCGCACAACACGATGCGTCCAAGGCCGTCAAAATGGTTGTCCTCTTGACGGATGTGTTGGAAATTAAAATGTACGACGGGCAAAACACGGTTCGAAGTACGGGAAATGATTTAAAAGACAACTTACCGCTTTGTACTCGTACTGGAGTTGTCGCGCCGCCGCGTCCGCCATGGTGCCGACTCAAAACAAATCTCACTTTTCGGGACGAATATCACTGCATTCCCTCGATTCTTGAAGGAAGAGCGCCGGGAGAGCGCTTTGGACTTCCCCAACACAATCAGGCACCCACTCCTTGCTGTTGTTCCACTGAAAAAATCCAAATTTCACAGCACCACGAAACGAACGATCTCTGAACGAACGCCGTGGGTCTGTGGTGTGTTTACTCGCGCGCACGCTATCCGCAGTCGTGGTTCTGATCCTGCGAATACACAGCGCTATCCGCACGTCGCGTTCCCTCGCCGTTTGTCATTTCTTCGCTTCCGTCTTCCCGAAGTGTTTCCCGCGCTTCTCCGGGACGTTTGAAAGCGGACGGAGAAGTTGTCTCGCCGCTCGTCAACTTGTGAGACTCCTCCAGGTAACAAAGTGTTCGCGAGCACTTCCGCGACAAAATGTTGAGGTGCTTTCGGCAGTCGTGGGTGGCACGACACTGCGAACTGAATTTTGGGCTGGCCGAGTGGGTCGTAATATGGCGAGCCTGTTCGGCGGGCCCAGCCCGACCCGGTGGGTGTCGGTGGGTGTCGGTGGACAGTTTGGCGCGGTGGTGGGTTGTGGACTGATTCCGAGACTCGTTTTCGTCGCTCTGTCTCTCTCGCACCTATACGGGACGCCCCCAGAGTGCGAGAGAGACAGAGCGACGAAAACGGCTCTCGGAATGAGTCAGCTGTTGGGCTGTTGGGCGGCCCCGCGCGATAGGACGCATTGTGCCGGTGCTGCAGACCGGTAGACCGGCGCGGCGCCCCAGGAGCTCGCCGCGGTCGCCGCGCCAGCAGCCCTGCACCAGGCCGCCGAGGCCGTCACCATGCTCAGACGAGGTAAAGCCTCCACCGGTCACACGTTCGGTTCGACTCTGGAGCTCAGATTTTGACACCGCTGCCGGTGTTCTGGCGCACTGTGCGTCGGCTGGATGGTGACGAGGTTGGCGTTGCAGGTGCGGCGTTGATGGTGGGCGTGCTGGTGTTGACGGTGGAGGCTTCGAGCGCCGCCAGCACCGGCCGCGCGGCTGGCTTGGGCATCGGGCTGCCCTTCACCCTGCCCACCTGGCCGCCGTTACCCTTCCCGCACTTGGCGCCCTCGCCGGCCAACCCCGGCCAGCAGGGCCAGCAGGGCCAGCAGCAGCAGGGCCAGCAGCAGCAGGGCCACGTCGTGCCCGGCAACTTCACCGAGGAGGAGCTCGTCGACTCCAAGAAGACCGGTGAGTCCACGCACAGTGGGCCAGAAGACCGGTGGAGGCGGCCAAAACTCGAAACGCGTTTTGAGCTCCAGAGTCGGTGAACAGGGCTCGAACCGAACGACGTGTGACCCCACCAATGGATTGCTCGTTCGGCGGGGCCGCCTGGTCTAGCCCGTAATGGTAATGGCAATGGGAGGTAGGCCAGCCGGCAGCGGCGCGGACGCGCGTGCGTGGCGGGGAAGCCTACCCTGAGATCCGCGGGCGCTCCGCTCCTCTGACGGCGCAGCGCTTCGCAGTTTCAAAACTCGTTTCATAGTGGAGCCGTGGGTTCGAATACCACCCACTCCTTTCGCAACTAAGTTCAATTCATCCCCCCACAATTGTTTTCAAAGTTTTTATTTATTTATTTTTTAAAAGTTTTTTAACCTTTTTATATTTTTAAATTTTTTTAATTTTTTTAAATTTTTAGCTCGGTTGGAGGGCGGGACGTGCCAGACGGAGCAGTGCCAGAGCCACTGCAGGCAGAGGCTGCACGCCTCGGGGCGCTGCGACCAGGACCTGTGCGTGTGCAGGGACCTGAAGGCGCGGGGCCGGTGCCAGCAGTACGGCTACGGCTGCGGCAGCGACGCCGAGGAGGGCGGCGCCGGCCGCAACATCGTCAACAACAATAACAACAACAACGTGCTCGTCATCCACTAGCCGCACACTGGTTCAGAAAACTGTTTCGGCTACTCCACCTGAGTCCGGGCGGGTCAAATTCGCATCACTGTTTGGAAATTTTTGAACTTTAATTCCGTAAGCGGTTGGAGATTAAAAAGGAAGTTATACAAGATAACCGCAAATCAGATTTCAATTTTAAACTGATCCCGTGTATAAGTTTAGCGCACCCTGCACGTGATGTTTCGTGTGACGCTTGTTGTGGTGGGGAAGGTTGGGGAAAGTGATAAAAGTTTGCAGTAGAAAAAATTGCTAGTTTATTTCCCTGGTTTGGGGTGAACACGAACAAACACAAGACACGATTGAGCAAGATAATCACTGGGAGTATATACACAGTCGCTTTCGTACCAAATTAGCGCAGGGCTGTCATATTCTGTTAGCACTTCTGCCAACCAAGGCACGCGGTATTCAATTAAGGCACAAATATTTCAATTAATTATATTAAAAAAATCGAAGCGTTGAGGACTAGACCCTCACGTTAAAATAAATAAGACTAATGGCCTTATGCTCACACTTACAGCTTATTATGTCACTGATTTTCATTCACAGCCTAGTAAGAATAAAAGTCACAGCAAAAATTCTTAAGTAGTAAAATAATAATAACATAGCAGTACAGACGGACCTCGAGACGCGGGTCCCATTTTACACTAACAACCAATTTCTGAGGCAAACGGAACAAGAGTGTGGAAAATTTTGATTTCCTAGAGGTTCTGATCTGGGGCAACAAAAAAAGGCAAAGAAAATGTGAAAGACTTCAGATTGAGACGAGTGAAACAGTGTGAGAACACGCGAAAACAGTGACCGCGGGTTGGGGCCCTAAAAAACCAATCATGCTGGGTCAATCGAGAAGCAGTCGCGTCGCTATCATCGACGAAGGCTTCGAACAGCCGGGCGAAATCGCACGGCTGCCTCCAGAAACAATACTTGCAGTGCACGTGCACGCGCGTGACCTCGACGATCAGCTGTTCGGCCGGTATCCGTGCGTGCTCCCTCGCGTCTTTAACAGGATTTAAAAAAACAAAAGATTTTTTTGGTGTATTTTTTTGAGTAGGCGCGAGGCAGCCTGCTGCAAGTCCCAGCGACGTCAACAAGGCAGCCGCTGCAAGTGCACTAATAAATTAGAAATGAGTCTTGGAGCGCCTGTCGAGCGAAGAGGGGGGGAGAAAGACCGGGAGGGAGCGAGCGAGAAAGACGAGGAGAGAGAAAAAGAGAGAGCGAGAGAGGAAGCCCTCCTGACACCTGACGGTCAGGGTCGCGCGGCGCGGTGCAGGCTGTCTGCTGATCAAGGCAGTCGATATTTGATTCGATACAGTCGATACGTTGATTCAGTTCAATTCAAGCCGAGCCTTGCAAGTACACACATACACACACACACACACACACACACGTCACATTACGCGCGGTCCGACCATGGCTACATAAGTGCGGCCTCCAGAACAGAACCCTGAAAAATTTCGAAAGTGATTGCTAACGAGTGCGCTGCCGTTCTGCGGTCGGCCGGTCGGCGGCGCGAGCTCCTCCACACCGCGCGCGCCGTGCGTCCGGGAAATGCCTCTTCTCGGCCTCCCGCAGAGGCCTGCAGTGGCATAGGGAGGCGGCCCACACGCGCGCCGCGGGGGCGCTTCGAACTTGGAACCGTTTTCGAGGCAGACGGTCGACTCGCGCGGGAAAAGGCCGGCCCGTCTCTACTCCGCGCGCGAGAGACTATGCCGCGCACGTGGGGTATTGACAGGGTCGTTAATTTTTCCACCGATATTGCGTCCGCGCGCTTCGCCTCGCGCTTCGCCTGTTTACTGCCAGCCGGCCAGCCTCCGCGGCGGCCTTGCCGGGACGCCTGGACGCCGCCAGGACGTCGACGGCGAGCTCTCCGACTCCGCGAGAGCCTAGAGCGCCTTGCGGCCGCTCGCGGCGCCTCGGTTCGGGACTCGGCCAAATAGACGAGTGCGAGGCGAGCAACACAATTGGTCGTTACAATTAGAAAAATGAAATGGCAGCGTCAACCCGGCCGCGCTCGACGACCACAAACAACAACAACAACAATAATTACTCCGTGCATTTATTCTGCAGCGGAGTGGCACGGAGCCCCTGGACAAGTGAGGTCCGCTCCAGGAAACGACGTGAGAGGTGAGGCGAGGCGAGCTCCTGGAATGTGCCCCGTCTGTGTGCACAACACAACGCTAGGCTGCGCTAGGCTGCGCTAGGCTACGCGGGCGGTTTCGAGATATCGAGTTCCTTTATGGGCACGTTCCAGGAGCCGGCCATGCGCCAGGCGGCCTCAGTTATCACGGGGGCGGTGCGTTGCCTCCAAGGCGGTGCCTGAGACGGCGCCTTGGGCGCGTTCAACGCGTTCAACGCGGACTAAACGGCTCTATCACGCGCCGCGGATGCAGTGACCGAGCTGTGACCGCGGGTAAAAATTGTCTGGTGGTCACACTGGTCCAACCGGGCTGGAAACTTGTCACACAGTGCTGAGCACGCCGAGCGCGGCGCCTACAGGGACAGGAACTTGACCAGGGCGTCGTAGATGAGCCGGGGGTTGATGGTGGAGTCGGCGGTGTAGCGCACGCCCCGCAGCGAGCCGTCCTGGTGCGACACCACGCCGTACTCGCCGACGATGAAGCCGTCGGGGGTCTTCTCCTCGACGCGGTACTTGCGGTAGTTGCGGCCCTCCACGACGTACCCGGACGGCGACGGCTTGGCGGCGCCGCCGTCCTGGTGGCCGTCCTGGTGGCCGTCCTGGTGCCCTTCTTGGCGGCCCTCCGGCCGCGCCTCGCTGCCCGCGGCCGGCGGCGGAGGGTTGCTGGGACTCTGCGCGGGTGGCGGGGCCGCCGTCGACGGCGCGCTGCTCAGCTGCTGCGGCGGCTCGCTGACGCTCTCGGCCGCCGGCAGGGTGCCCGTCGGCTCCGGCGGCGGCGTCGACGGCGTGGTACCGGGCTGCCTGCCGTGCGCCCTGCCGTTGGTGAGCACGCTCAGGGCCTCGTCCACCTCGTAGTTCTCCTCCGGCATGCCGTACACGTGCGGCAGCAGCGCCTGCGGCGTCGTGGCCGTCGTGGCCGTCGGCGCCTCCCACTCCGGCCGGAAGCGCACCGGGCCGCTGGACGGCGGCACCAGGACGGGTCGGATGACGGACGCCGAGCCGGGGGAGTCGACGCCGTCCGCCGGGGCCTCGTCGTCGCCGCCCTTCTTGACGGACGTAGACACGCTCATGGCCACCACGTGCACGTCGGGCCGTGGCGTCGTGGTGGTCGTGGAGGCCGTGAAGGCGGCGGCGGCCGGCGGGTAGAAGGACTTGAAGAACGCGTGCCGCGGCCCGCCCTGCTGCAGCTGCGGGGGCTGCGGGGGCTCCGGGGCGCCGCCCTGTCGGAGCTGCCGTGGCCTGGTCGACGTGCGGAGGAACCCCGGCAGGCTGGGCACCGTGCGCCGGTACATCGGCCTGCGCGTTGGCTGCGGTGATGGTGTCTCCGGAGGGTGAGCGTACTGGGGCTGCGACTCCGGGGGGTGAGCGTACTGGGGCTGCGACTCCGGGGGGTGAGCATACTGGGGCTGCGACTCCGGAGGGTGAGCGTACTGCGGCTGCAACTCCGGAGGGTGAGCGTACTGAGGTGGCGACTCCGGAGGGTGAGCGTACTGGGGCTGCGACTCTGGGGGGTGAGCGTACTGGGACCGGGAGTCCGGAGGGTGAGCGTACTGGGGTTGCCAAGGCGCGGCCGCCGCCCCGTCCAGCGCGTGAAGGGCGTGTAGCGCCACGAACATCTGCAACAATGAGAAGGACGACATGAACATCGCGAGCATCGAGTCTTGGCAGCGGCGGCCGAGGCGGTGGCGCGAGTGCTGCGATGCTGCGTCCGGCGGGGCTGGCGGGGCTGGCACTGGAGCGGCGCGCGTGCGTCAGACGCTTCCTGAGCAGGTCCAGAGCACGCCGGGCACGGGCAGCGACCGGTGGAGTCCGGTGGAGCCCCAGCCCTGCCAAAGCCCTGGCCAGCCATGGGGTGGGGTCAGCCGCAGTGCTGGCACGCCATGGCAGGCTCGTCGCGCACCTTGTGGCACGCCAAGCCGCCAAGCCGCGCCAGCGCACGGTTCAATACCCCCAGCCCGGCCGGCCTGCAGCCCGACACCGCCACGGCACGCCACGGCACGCCAGGGCACGCCAGGGCGCCCCGCCCCGCCCTTCCTAAAACGCCCCTCTCCTGGCCTGGCCGCCCGATCTGGATTGCTAAATATAGCAGGCTGGCCTGGCACACGCTTTGATTGTCTGGTACAGGTACTGCAGGCGCGCAGTGCTCCCGACCTAGGACGCCGACCGGGCGGCCTTGGTGCGCCCCGCCCCGCCCCGCCCCGCGCGGATCGGCGCGCCTGGTCCACGCCGACCACGCCCTGGCGGCGAGGCGAGGCGCGGCGAAGCGCGGCGACGCGCTCCAGGGCGGAGCAGGGAGCAGCCGCGAATCCCAGCGTGCCTCGCCTCGCCTCCTCCACTCGCAAATCCAGGCGCCGAGCCGAAACGCAACGCGAGCGGCGCGACGCCGGCGCGGCATGTCCAGGCGCGAGCGATCCTGATTGCAGGGCGTGGCGGGGCGTGGTGGGGCGTGGTGGGGCGGGGCGGGTGCCACCGTGCATTCCGCAAGCGGCTGCTGTGTGTGTTCCTGTGCGCCGTAAAGGTGAAGGTCGGACCCACTCCCTCATCGTCCTGCCCGGCGGGGCGGGGCGGGGCGGGGCGGGGGCAACATCCCTGCGGCGCCACCTGCCGAGCCGACGCAAGACGCAATGCCCCGGCCAGGCTCCGTCAGCTCGCCGCCGGGCTGCGGGCTGCAAAGGACACGGACCGACACGGACTCGAGGGGCATCGCGTCCTCCAGGCTCGGCCCCGCCGGGCACCGCCATGGCCCCGCCCGAAGCCGGGCAGCAGCGCAAAGCAGGGCGTGGCCGGCGTGGCATCCCCGGGACTCTCCGTGAGCTCTTTTCTTTCTCAATTCTTATTCCCTCTCTTTTTGTTGTTCCGGTTTGATAGCGCAGCTGCTGCTTGGGCGCGGAGCCGTGGCTGCAGACTGATCCCGAGATTGTCGCTCTGTCTCTCTCGCACTCATGGGGCGTGTCGTATGGGTGCGAGTGAGACAGAGCGACGAGAACGACTTTGGGAATCGGTCCACTGTCTGTAGCGCGGCCACGGAAACTTGCTTACGCACTCCGCCGTCCGGGCGGTCCGGGCACAGGCGCCGTCCAGGTCAAGAGCACCGGACCAATCAGGACCCTCGGCCGGCGCCGCGGCCGGCGCCGCGGCCGGCCAATCGCAGCGCGAGACACATCACTCACGGCGCCACCGGGACGACCGGGACGACGCCGAGGTGGTGGGCGGCGACCATCGTCTATCCGCGCGCCGTTCAGACGACCGGTTCCTAGAAGCCCGTCGGCATGCCCTTAGTTCGCCCTCGCGTCCCGCGTTGCGCGCGTTGCGTCGCCGTGGAATACCCCGCCCGGGGCGCGGCCCGCCACGCCGCCACGCCGCCAACGCCACTACACCGTCATTACAACGATGCGGCCGGAGATAAGAACTCGTCCGCATGCAGCGCTTGCAGTGGCGCGGCGATTCTGCAGGGCGATGCCGGTCGCTCCGTCTCTCTCGCACCCCCGCCGCGCCTAGCCGCGCCCCGAGGGATGCGCAGGGGTGCGAGAGAGACGGATCGGCAGCGCCCTCTGGCGACGGACGTAAACCGCATAGCAAATCGGAAAGACCATTCCGGGCGCAAAACTTGCGCAGCCGCTGCACACACACAGACACACACACACACACACACACACACACACACACACACACACGCACACGCATGCGTTCATGCATTGTCAGCTTGGAGTGCACTAAACCTCTTATTTCACCTGCTTTTATCCAGGATAATCGCGGCCGACCACGACGGGCGAATGCCGGCGCCAAGAAGGTGCCTCAATAAATTTAGCTATCACACACACACACACACACACACACACACACACACACACACACACGACGTGCCCGCGAAATGTGTGCGTTGTATCGCATCGTGCGCGGTCCCTGTGTGTGTGTGTGTGTGTGCGTGGGGGTCACTGTCACTGGCACTCTTTGTGGTCTTTCGGAGGGAAACGGAGGGATAAAAGCAGACAAATGAGAGAGAAAAAATAAAAATAAGACGCGGTTTATCTGCTTGCCTCTTTTTCTCTCCAGGCCACTTGAAGTGGCACTTGAATTCAACATGACGGATTCGGCGATGTTGGTCGGCTACGGGATGATGTGGGTGTCTCTCTCTCTCTCTCTCTCTCTCCGTCTCCCAGGCTCTCAGTCCCGGCAAATTTTGTGCCTCGCGGTTCCCACGCGGAGACGGGAGTCCTGCTGGGCGGGCCGCGGTGGCCGGACCCGAGTCCCCGTCGTGACGGACGTCATCCTGGAGGACTCTAAAAGCGGAGACGGCGGAGTCTCGGGACGCTGGGCGCTTGGCGGGGCGAGCGGGGTGCGGTCCAGGCGGACCTCTCTCATCCGAATTCTGTGCAAATTTGAAGCGTTTTTCATGACGAAAGAAGTGGCGTAGGTTGCCTACTTGGCAGCCCGCACTGCTGCGGGACGAGCCAGGAACAACCAGGAACGTCCAGGAACAACCAGGAACGACCAGGAACGCTCAGGAACGACCAGGAGCCAGAAGGCGAAACACGGCGCGGCCGTCGGTCTATCTCTGTCGCACCTGCACGGGACGCTGTGTGCGTGGGAGGGAGAGGGAAGGACTTCCTCCTCGTGAATGGACCACGGCGGGCGGCGCGGGGCGGCGCGGGGCTGCGGGTCCAGCGGCAAGGGCAGGGAGAGACTCCCGGTGAGGGGCAGGGCCGGCAGGGCCGGCAGGGCCAGCACTGCGGTCGGCACTGTACACTCATGCCGGACGCAGCGCCGTCTCCCTCGCACCCCTACGGGACGCCCCGCGAGTGCGAGAGGGACGGAGCGCCCCGGCGGGTCACGTTGGCTTCTGCGGTCGGACGGTCGGATTAGGAGGCGCGGCGGGCCAGCGCGGCTTTCTTCCGGGACCACTGGCAAACAATGATGTCCGGGGGCGTACGTCGTGGCACGTGTGTGCGTGTGTGTGTGTGCGAGCGGTGTCACCCACCGAGGCACGCGCTTTGCGCTAGAGCAGTGGCTATCCGCCCGGGCCACCTAAAAATAGGCGGAACCACTTTTGTTGGTCCGACACCAGACATCTCGTGATCACGCGCGTGCTGCATGTACCCCCCCCCCCCCACACACACACACGAGTCGATCATCTGGAGCGGCAGGGCGGGGGCCATAATTGCAGGTGTCTGGACTTCGGGACCAATTTGGGCTGGACACGCGCGCGTCCAGGATGTCCAGGACCTGCGTCGCACGGCGGCGCCAGCGACGCCAAACGCCGAAAACGACGCCGCCCCGCCCCGCCCCACCCCGCCCCCCCCGCCCCGCCCCGCCCCACCCCGCCCCGCCAGTGCGGCTCTACATTCCACGGACATTCCAGAGGCGCCGCGGCGCCGTCGGACGGCTGGGCCCCGCGATGGCCCCGCCCCGCCCCGCCCCCGCCCCGCCCCGCCCTGCGAATAGCGTCCAGACGGGCGTGGAAATAGCCGCCCGGACGCCGCCGGGCGACGAATTGGACGAATTGGACCGGCCGCCACTAAAGCGTGTGATGTGCGAGCTCGCCGAATATAGGAAGCCGATTCAGTTTCGGTATCGGACCGGCCATCGCCGTCGCACGAGCGTGCACGCTGCCTGGCTCGCCTGGCTCGCCTGACACGCCGGGCTTCGGGAGTCGCCCTCCATGTTGTATGATCCGCGTCAACTAGCACGACAAGAGTCAAAAAGCAAAAGTGTCGCGAATTTTATTTTCTTCATGCGGTATATCGTTTTGGGATTTCTTTTAAAATGGTCATCTCGTCGCCCGAGGCCGTATCACCGCTGCGGCCACCCCGCCCCGCCCCCCCACCCCCCCACCCCCCCCGCCCCGCCCCACCTCGCTGCGACAGACGGATCCCCGCGATAGTCCGCGCACCCTGTTCCTGATTTAGCCGCCACTGCGACACCCTCGTCGGCCTGGTCGGCCTGGTCGGCCTGGGCGGCCACACCGCAAATGACTGCGCCTTGTCGGGCCCGTCCTCCGCGACGCTCCAGCAGGGCTTCGTTTTAGGGGGCAGGGCGGCCGACCCGGGCCCACGGCCGCTGCTGCATCCTGCTCCCCCCCCTCTTTTTGCGCGGCGAGTGCAGTTGCTTGTCGCGCCGAGATGTGCCGCGCAGATTAGATCGGACGCAATACTAATGGCTTTATATTTTTACGCGACCGATCCGCATTGTTGCGGCTCGGTTAGTCTCGGCTCGGGGAAACCGCCGCCGCCGCCGCCACACTGCACTGGACTGCACTGGTCTGAGAGAGAGGGAAGACCAGTTTGGCCCGGCACGGCATACCTCTCGTTCGGGACAGCACCGTCTTTAAATAGGATGCCTATTGGTGTTATTTCCCAGGGGTTTGAGTGAATTTTCAAAGCTGTCCAAATCGGACATTGGCTCCCGTTGCGTTGTCTCTGTCGCACCCCCTGCCGCACCCCCTCGATGAGTGCGAGAGGGACAGGGCGACGAAACCACGGTTCGGCATCATCGGACTGCATCGCAGGGCGGCGCAGAGCGGCGCGGCCGAGGTCGCCCGGCTCCAAAATAACGCTATACGCGCCGCGGGAGGGGCCGCGCGCCCCGCGCCGGCCGCGCCGTTGCAATGGCTCTCAGTAACAAACATGTATGCCAATCCACAATCCCGGCCGGCCCGGCGGCACGCCCGCCCCGCCGTGGCCGAGGTGGAGGTGGCCGAGGTGGAGGTGGCCGAGGTGGAGGTGGCCGAGGTGGAGGTGGCCGAGGCGGAGGTGGCCGAGGTGGAGGTGGCCGAGGTGGAGGTGGCCGAGGTGGAGGTGGCGAGTGGGTGGCCGAGGTGGAGGTGGCCGAGGTGGAGGTGGCCGAGGTGGTGGTGGCCGAGGTGGAGGTGGCCGAGGTGGAGGTGGCCGAGGCGGCGGTGGCCGAGGCGAGGGGTATAATGGGGTTTCGCATTCCAGCCGGGATTAAAAACAAACCGACGACGGCCGGCCGGACGACGGGCACGGGCAAGCCCTGCAGCAGCGGCAGCAGCGGCAGTGCAGCGCGCGCGACGCTCGACCAATTTACTACAAAGGCCGTGTGCGCTCGCGTTCCTTAAGTCCTGACAATAAGCCTATCGCATTATTTTACATTACGTCCTCGTGCGAGTGTGAGTGCGCGTGCATGCGTGCGCGCGCGCGCGCGTGTGTGTGTATGAGCGTGCGCGGTGGTCGGTGTGAGTGTGTGAGATAGTAATTTTTATTTTTTTCTACCCATCCGCTTTTGCGTTATTGGCGTTAAGCGTTTTCCGCACTCAGCTGTAGCAACGTCGCTCTCTACCTCACTCTGTCTCTCTCTCTCCCTCTCTCACTCACACACACTCCCGCACACTCACACACACACAGCCAAGACAAAAAGCCGACCCGACCAGCATGCAAGCCAGAGGAAACGCCTTCGATCTTTCCCTCACAAACGCTCATCTCATTGATGGATAGCGGAAACTGTTGGGGGCTCCATTGTTGTACTACATCCTTTTTTCCCCCTCCTCCTTAATTAATTTACCGCAATTTTCTATTTTTTTCCATCCCTCTCCATTTTTTTTAGCCCCGCGTTGCCCGCGGCGGCGGCGGCGCGGTCTTTGCTGGCTCGGTGACACGTGCCGCGTGGCTCTCACAGTGGCCGTGCCAATGCCTGTCGGCTCGCGACACCGCCACACTGCCACACCGCCACACCGCGACACCTGTCCTCCCTCCTCCAGGCCGTCCAGCAGACTTCTGTCTCTCTCGCACTCACGGGGCGTCCCTTGCGGGTGCGAGAGAGACAGAGCGACGAAAACGACTCGCGGAATCATGTCTGCAGGCCGACACGCTGGAGGCCGAGGCCGAGCATGGCTTTGAGCTTCGTGCCGGGTTAGCCTAGTCGGCAAGCGTAGTTTAGCCTTTGCACCCGGGTGCGTGGCCCGCAGCCTCTCGCCTGCGTCACCTTGCTGCACGCTGACGGACAGACGGACAGACGGGTGGACAGGCAGACGGACAGGCGGGCAGGGGCACGGACATGCAGAAAGACACGCAAACACTGCGTCGATAAAGGCACTGAATAAATGAATGTGGCGCCTGTCCCGTTCATTCGACGCGCGAGAAGTATCGAGCGACCGCATCGCTCTGTCTCTCTCGCACTCGCGGGGCGGCCCGTGGGGCTGCGGGGGTGCGACAGAGACAGCGCGGCGTCCCCGCGGCCCGCGGACGGGCACGGATGACCCGGTTCAACAAACGGTATCGCCCGGAAAAGCGGTGTTCGCGGGTCCCTGTCGGTCCTGGGGCTTTGGGCCGGCGTGGGCCGGGTCAGTGACTGGCCGGCCAAAGCCCAAAACGGCCACGCCTAAAACTATTAAACAGCAGAGCCGCTCCGGTGACAGCCGCATGGTCGGGCCTGCGTCAACGCTTGGTCAACGCCGCCATCCGTCCGACAGGGACCGCAGTCGTCTTCGTCGCTCTGTCTCTCTCGCACTCGTGGGGCGTCCCGTGCAGGTGCGAGGGAGACAGAGCGACGACTCTCGGAATGAGTCTGCAGGAGCAGCGCGCCAGAGAGGAGCGCGCCAAGAGCCGCGAGGTCCGCGAGGTTGACGTCTCGTCTCGTCGACTCGGACTCATCGGCATCGGCATCCGGTGGCGAGGCGTGGCACGGCACGGCACGGCACGGCACCACGGCGAGGGCACCGGCACCGCGCCGCGCGTCACACTATCACAGCGCGGAACTTCCGCGAGGCAAACGGCCAGCACACTGATTCCCTCTGCCTCTCTGTCTCTCTCGCACTCGTGGTGGGACGTCGCGTGTGGGTGCGAGAGAGACGCACCGGCAACAGCCGCACTACTATGAATGGAAGTGCAACAGACTGCATAGTTCTTCATAATATTGTAGTGTGCCTGCAAGCAAACTACGTACGTTTTGTGATGTATACCTGCAAGTACACAATGATCCATAGTGCGCCTGCAAGTACACCTGCAGTGTGCCTCCAAGTACAGTCCAATACGAGTGCACCCTGCAGCCTGTCGCGTTCCCAGTGCACCTGTCTGTCCCTTGAACTTGAACTACCGCGGCGCGGCACACTGCACGACACTGCACTCACCAGGACGAGGAGGCGGATGCGGCCGTGGGCCGTCGGCTTCATGGCTCGGCGCCCTGGGGACCCTGGGCGTCGTCCTGGGCTTGGGCCGCTGGGGCCGCTAGGGCTCGGGCGTGCCTGGGGGCCGCGACGGCGCGCGGCGTCCCCACTGCACTGGCCGCTCTGGCCGCTGTGGCCGCCGCCCTCGGCTCGGGGCTGCCGGGGCTGCCAGGGCTGCCGCTGGGACCGCTAAGGGCTGCAACTGCAAGGGCCGACACACTGGTCTCAGCCTCTCGCGCGCCGCCGCTGCCGCTACGCCGCTTCGCCGCTACCACAACCCGACCCGCCTTCCACGCATGCTCGGCACCGACTGGACGAGACCGCTGGACCATCCGCGGAGCACCGCCGAGCACCGCGGGGCCGAGCCGCTCCAGCAACGCTCCAGTCGACCCCCTCCCCCCGCCCCCCGCCCCGCCCCGCCCCGCCCCGGGCTTGCGCGCAAAATTAAGAAAGGCACTTTCGTCTTGAGAATAAAAGAGCAAACTTTTTCTTCATTTCGAAATCAAAGGTCCCCGCTTTCATTCATCCAACTAAATAAACCACGTTCATTCTAGATTCTTTGGTAACTTCGCCAATCGATAAAATCACACGTAACTAACTGCATCACCGGCCGCTAAGACGAATCTTCGCCCATTACGCCGCGTTTCCCCGAATGTCCTGACAGAGATACACAAGTCTATCCGTGTCTAGCATCGATTCTACACCCGTGGTCATCAATAGGAAAGATTTTGTGGGATTTTTTTTATTAAGGCTAAAACAGATGATGGGATGTCTGGGCGCGCTGCCAAACAACCCCCTCCCCTCCCCCACAGTGGAGCGGCGGCTTCTGCTGTTCGCTGGAACGCTAATCGTTATACTTCGCATTCACGCCCTCGGTTTGGTGTGTCACCTCACACCTCTGACTCTGTGTGTGTGTGTGATTCAATCGCGATCATTTCTGGAATGACACGAGCCCTGCGGCGCCAGGCTGGCTGCATCGCCCTCCGCTGCCATCCGCGTGTTCGTTCGGTGCAGTTGGATGTCGCTGCTTCGCTGCTTGGCGCTTCTATTTCGTTCGGTCCGCATTAAAAGCCGCTTAAGCTCTGCCACTTCGGGCTCGGCAGCGCGGCGCTGCTGGAAAAGGCTTTGGCACGCCACTGTCGGACGGACGGACGGACCGGCGGGGAAGTACCTGCCGCCGCTGCAGCTCTCTTATCACGCTGCCTCCCTCGTCAGCCCCGGGCGGCGGACCGCTGCCTCCGAGCGGTGCGCCGCGCTGTCTCTCTCGCACTCACGGCGCCCCGCAGGGCCGCAGGGGTGCGAGAGAGACAGCGCTGTTTGGAGGCAGCTCGCTGGTACGCCCGAGTCGCGCTTCGAGTGTCCCGGGGGCACTGGCCGTCATCTTTCCGCATTCTGATATATGCGGCTCCAAAAGAAATAAGCCGTAAAATCACAAATGCCAATGTTCCCATTGTACACTGATAAAACATTTACACAATTCAAATCTGTCATTAAAAACTTCACAGCAGAAAAGACAGAATAAATAGATTTCCGCAGTTGGCAACAATTTTCTCGGCGTCTGCGCCTTTCGAAAATCGCGAGCTGAAAAAGAGTAGTCGCGCATTGAAACTGCCTCCATTGTTGCTGAGGTTGGATGCTTGGCTTGCTTTTAAAGGCTGCGGTTCTCGTCTCATGTTTTCCTCAATTCTATCCAGCACGACGGTTGGTTTGACAAACTTTAACTGGGGGGGTGCTTTCGGAACGCGGATGACTTTCGGTTGACGAATGAGCGAGCACTGTAAATCGCGAGATCGCGAGATGGACTAGATGGTCATTGTGTTAACTGAATCACTTTTGAAATGTAAAATATCGGTAGGATTCAAAGTTACTAAAAACGGTAAAATTAACGTAATTAACGTTTAAATGACAGATTTCAAATGTTTCACAACCGACCGTGCAATGCGTAAGCATTGGAATTTTTTTTATTAAGGCTAAAACAGATGATGGGATGTCTGGGCGCTGCCAACCCCCTCCCCCCCCCACAGTGGAGCGGCGGCTTCTGCTGTTCGCTGGAACGCTAATCGTTATACTTCGCATTCACGCCCTCGGTTTGGTGTGTCACCTCACACCTCTGACTCTGTGTGTGTGTGTGATTGAATCGCGATCATTTCTGGAATGACACGAGCCCTGCGGCGCCAGGCTGGCTGCCTGGCTGGCTGCCTGGCTGCATCGCCCTCCGCGGCCATCCGCGTGTTCGTTCGGTGCAGTTGGATGTCGCTGCTTGGCGCTTCTATTTCGTTCGGTCCGCATTAAAAGCCGCTTAAGCTCTGCCACTTCGGGCTCGGCAGCGCGGCGCTGCTGGAAAAGGCTTTGGCACGCCACTGTCGGACGGACGGACGGACCGGCGGGGAAGTACCTGCCGCCGCTGCAGCTCTCTTATCACGCTGCCTCCCTCGTCAGCCCCGGGCGGCGGACCGCTGCCTCCGAGCGGTGCGCCGCGCTGTCTCTCTCGCACTCACGGGGCGCCCCGCAGGGCCGCAGGGGTGCGAGAGAGACAGCGCTGTTTGGAGGCAGCTCGCTGGCTTACCCGGCCGCGAGTCGCGCTTCGAGTGTCGCCGGGGGCACTGGCCGTCATCTTTCCGCATTCTGATATATGCGGCAACCGTCCCGCCTCTCTCTCTCTCTCTCTCTCTCTCTCTCTCTCTCTCTCTCTCTCTCTCTCTCTCTCCTCTCTCTCTCTCTCTCTCTCTCGCTCTCTCCCCCTCGCTCTCGCTCCCTCGCTCCTCGGGCGCCATGGCCGAGAGGCGGAATGGTGTGTATTTCGGTGGCCCCTGGTCGAGGGCCCCTGGCTATCGAAGGGGTAGTTCCACTTGTCACCTTGCAGATCGAGAGATCGAAGGCTACCTGCGTCAGGCCGCCGGGTCGTGGGCGATGTCCCGAGCCGGCAAGGGGCTCCGCGAAGCGCTCGCGTATCCGGGAACTAGAACCCACTCGAGGACTGCACTCTATACGTGTCTCACAATGTGAAAAATTTGACTTGTTATACCGTACTTTGCCCCATCGGCTAAAAGTTCGATTTATGTCGTACTAATTACGTAGGTCTCATTTTTGTAGACGGTTAAGGGGATTTCTGAGTCGGTATCGCCTTCGCCGCACGCCCCCCCCCCCCCCACACACACACACACACCGCTCACGTGCGCCGTCCCGGATCCGGGGAAGCACCCCGGCTGCAGCTGCCCGCCGGCACTCGTTCCGTTTTTCCCCGCCTTCTTCTCTTCTTTTTCCGTCATTTTGGGCCGTTTTCGGACGCGATCGCCGGAGCCACCGATCCGCGGCGTGTCCGCGGCCCGCAGCCTTCATTCCGAGAGTCGTTTTCGTCGCTCCGTCTCTCTCGCACTCCTGCGGCGTCCCGTGTGGGTGCGAGGGAGACAGAGCGAGACCCTCGGCATCAGTCTGCTGGCCGTCGGGCCGTCGGCGACGTGAGGTGTGCCAGTGTGTCGCCGAGACCGAGACGATGTACATGACGCAAACGGCAGCGGTAATGACAGCCGCCCATCCGGCCGGCGACAAAAAAAATGGGAAAAATGAACAAATACGCTCTTTGCGCTGCGGAATGGGACCCCAGGCGGTGAGTAGCGGTGAGTCCGCCGTCGGAAAATTGTGACAAGACAAAACACGTGTCTGTTGTTCGGTACAGTCACGCGACAGACAAGAAGCTGGCCGCCCTGACCCAAATACCGTCAAATGGGGTGACTTCGGCACTGTTGCCGAAGTCGCCCCATTTGACGGCGGTACTCAAGTACGCAGTGTGGTGGCTGTCGTGACCCAAACACCGTCAAATGGGGTGACTTCGGCACTGTTGCCGAAGTCGCCCCATTTGACGGCGGTACTCAAGTACGCAGTGTGGTGGCTGTCGTGACCCAAACACCGTCAAATGGGGTGACTTCGACACTGTTGCCGAAGTCGCCCCATTTGACGGCGGTACTCAAGTCCGCAGTGTGGTGGCTGTCCCGGAAAAAGACGCCCGAGTTTCTATCGGCCGCTCTATCCTCGTAATAAGACCCCCCATGACGGGCCGGGCCGCCACTCTGCCGCGCGGTTCACAAGATCGGTTTGTCGCTCCGTCTCTCTCGCGGCCTTACGGAGCGCCCCGTGAGTGCGACAGGGACAGGGCGACGAGTCGCTCGGGCGGCGCGGTGGGTGGGGGAGAGAGAGGGTCCTTCATTGAGGCGGCGCGGCCCGCCGAGTGGCCGGCGTGCTGCGATGCTGCGACCACATCGGCCAGCAGGGCCGCCAGGCCAGGCCGAAGGCCCGGGGCCCCGCGGCCACAGCGTCGCAGCGTCGCAGCGGCCAGTCCTGTGCGTTTGGCCCTCAAAGCGAGTCCAGTGCCTGCCAGTGCCTCCCAGTGCCCCGCTGCTCTATTCCCGTCCAGTGGCTGGTCGACAAGCAAGTCGAGTCGACGACCACGGCGAGGCCGGCCGGCCGACGCACCAGCTCACTCCACGCCGAGGACTAAAACGTTGTGGAGGAACAAAAATTTTCATCTGCCGCTGCCGCCGGTAGTCGAACCGCGGCCGGTGAGGTGGACTAGAGTGGACTGGAGATGAAGCAGTACGTGACAAAGGTCGCCGCCCCCGGCGAGGCGCGCGACGGCCAGGAGCACGGCCAGGACGCCCCGGCGCGCGACGCCGTGCTGCGGTGGGGGCTCGGGGGGCTGTTCGTCCTGCAGGTGAGCTAGAATGTGTGTTGTTGTTTTTGTTGTTGAGAGGGAGAGAGAGGGGGGGTGTGAGTGTGAGACACACGGAGTGACTCACTGATAGCGCCACTGCCAGGGGGCAGATGCCGATCTGGCGAGACACCGGGGGATACGGTGGCCAGTCGGCATAGGCTCTGGAGCTCAAAACACGTGCGGGATTTTGACCACCTCCACCGGTCTTCTGGCCCACTGTTCGAGGGAGGTAGTTTACTGTTGTCGCGGTGTGCTCCCCGAGGTGGCGCTGTCGCTGTCGCTGTACTCGTGCATCCGCACGCTGCAGCTGGAGGTGCGTGAGGCCACGCTGATCGAGCTGCGCGCCCGCCCCCCGCTGGAGCGCTGGCGCCGGCCGGCCTACGACGCCGACCTGGACCTGTGGGGGGCGCCCATGCCGCCGGCGCGCACCTTCGCCGAGGCGCCGCCCTTCCCGCCGACGGGCTCGGCGCCGAGGTCCTCGAGGTCCAAGCGGCGCACGGAGGCCGCGCCGCCCTACAAGCCCACCCACGAGCTGATGGAGGACAACGCGCTGCCCTCCAGCTTCGGCACCACCATCACCCCGAACGGCGCCACCACGGACAAGGGCTCCTGGATCGTGTCCATGTCCAAGATCCCGGTGAGCGACCCGGCCGGCCGTCGGGGACGTGCAGTGTGGCGGCAACGCCCCTCGTAGCCCAGTGTCATCCGAGAGTCGTTTTGTCTCTCTCGCACTCATGGAGCGCTCCGCTGCGCGCGCTGCGCGGCTGCCCACAGGTGGACACGGTGCAGTCCTTCTGCCGCCAGCACTGCCTGCCCGGCTCCAAGGGCGAGGCCGGCGCCATGGGCCCCCCCGGGGTGCGGGGCGTGGAGGGCCCGCGCGGCGAGCGGGGCGACCGCGGCTACCCCGGGGAGCAGGGTCCCAAGGGACCCAAGGGGGACCTGGGCCGCGAAGGTAAGCCGCACGCCACCACACTCATTCCGAGAGTCGTCGCTCTGTCTCTCTCGCACTCATGGGGCGTCCCGTGTCGCTGCGAGAGAGACAGAGCGACGACTCTCGGAACCAGCCGTGGCGCTACTGCCGCGTGTCACGCCACTGTACTGCCGGCCACCGCTTCAGAGATGAGAAAAGTGACCCGCCCCCGACTCGCCGTAAGGCCGTAACCCACCACGCAGTGCAGGTGTCCGTTCCTCGTAAACGGTGGCCACTGAGTGCCGTATGCACTAGGTAGCTCATTTTGAAAATTTCATTTCCTTTCCATGCCGTCGTGCTCTGTGTGGCCCGCAGGCCGCGCGGGGCTGGACGGCAACGACGGCGTCCCCGGGGAGCCCGGCCTGGACGGCGTGCCCGGCAGGAACGGCAACGACGGCTCGCCCGGCACGGACGGCAAGCCCGGCACGGACGGCATCCCCGGCAAGCCCGGCGTCGACGGCAAGGACGGTGCGTCCCAGTTGGCCTCCACCGCACAGTGGCCCGGAAGACCGGTGGAGGCGGTCAAAACCCCGGACGCGTTTTGAGCTCCAGAGTCGCTAAATGAGACTCGAACTGAACGTGTGACCCCACTGCTGGATTGCTCTCCGAACGAGGAATCCATTGATGGGGATACACGCTCGGTTCGAGTCCAAGTGACTGTTTTCCTCTGTGTTCCACAATAAACGCGTGTGTTGATTGGTCCGCAGGTCGGCCCGGCCTGGGAGGCCCTCCGGGGGCGTCGGGGCCGCCCGGGGTGCGAGGTGAGTCCACTCCACTCTCCACGCAAGGACACTGTTAATGCCGTTGCATTAACGCGGTGTGGCGGTCTGGTCCGCAGGGCTGCCCGGGCCGCGAGGGAAGGCGGGCACCAACGGCACCCCGGGGCACCCCGGCACGCCGGGCATCTGCGTGTACCGGTACAAAGTGAACGGCCAGTACGCCAACGCCAGCGAGTTCCTCATCCCGCCCTCCATACCCGGTAACGACGTGCACTGGTAAAACCAAAGCGCAGTCGCTGTCAGGCCTAAACAGTGTGCCCGATGTGCTGCAGGCTCCGGGCTGCTGGCCCCGCAGAGGCCCATCATCGTGGAGGAGGGCAAGAACGTGCGTCTGCGGTGCGCGGCCACGGGGCACCCCATCCCCACCGTGGTCTGGAGCAAGGTGCCCGGCGGCGTCATCCCGCTGGGCTCCTGGCAGGGTGAGGACCAGCACACTCATAGTCGCACAGTGGGCCAGAAGACCAGCGCGGCCGGCCAGAACTCCAGACGCGTTTTGAGCTCCAGAGTCCCATTTAGCGACTCTGGCGCTTGAAGCGCGTCCGGGATTTTGACCACCTCCACCGGTCTTCTGGCCCACGACTCTCGGAATCAGTCACTCTGCGTCGTCCCGGAGCGGACGAGCGGATCCTGCACTGCAGAAGGCTTCAGGAAGAAACGCGCGCAGGATAGAGCACAGCGCAAGCGGATCGCCAAGCCGTTCGCCGCAAGGCGCACTCTAACGGGCATTTCTATTTCTGTCCGTCGCTGCGCCGCGCCGCCGCAGTCAACTACGTCACCAGCCACACACTCAACATCACCAGGATAACGCGCGAGCACATGGGCGAGTACATGTGCATCGCCAGCAACGGCGTCCCGCCCGCCGCCAACCAGACCTTCAGGCTGGAGGTGCACTGTGAGTCCGACCGAAAAGATGAAATGGAGTCGATTTTAGAAATTGTAATAATGTGTCAGTGCGAGGCGCGCTTTGGAAAATGTAAAGTGGTGTCTCTGACGCTGTCTCCTTGTCGCGCGCGTCGCGGGCAGTCTCGCCGTTCATCCACATCCACCAGCAGGTGCTCGGCGTCATCCTGGGCTCCACGGCGCGCCTCGAGTGCGAGGTGGAGGCCTTCCCGGAGCCCGTGCTGTACTGGGAGGGCCCCGGCGGCAGGGCCATCGAGGCCGGCGACAAGTACCGCGTGGACAGCACCGACCCCGACGGCTACAAGGTACTCGCGGTGTACCAGACGCCGCACAGTGGACCTGCCAGAAGACCGGCGGAGGCGGCCAAAACTCTAGACGCGTTTCGAGCTTCAGAGTCGCTAAACAGGACTTGAACCAAACTTGTGACCCCACCAATGGATTCCTCGTTCGGAGAGCAATCCATTGGTGGGGTCACACGTTCGGTTCGAGTCCTATTTATAGTGACTCTGGAGCACGAAACGCGTCTAGAGTTTTGGCCGCCTCCTCCGGTCTTCTGGCCCACTGTGCACTGCCGTCTGGAGACACCAAAACTGCCGAATGTTGCCTGGCCAACACGTGGCGGATGTCCCAGATCACGATGCGGCTCAACGTGACGCGCATGGGTAGCGCGGACTTCGGCCAGTACAAGTGCTACGCCAAGAACAGCATGGGGCTGGTCATCGGCGACTTCCACGTGCACGAGAGGGACCCGCGCCTGGCCACGCCGCCGCCCCTGCAGGTGACGGGAGGGCTGAGGCACTGTGAAATTGGTGAAATGAAAGAGAAAATCGCAGTCGGTTCGAACCGTTTATTTGCTTCGTTCGTTGTGGGCAGGGAGGCCGCGGCGCCGGGGTGTCCTTCGGCAACCAGTCCCCCAAGCTGCAGTCCGAGGAGGACCTGTGCCCGCCGCAGCCCCAGTGCCCCACGTGCCCCGCCAACGGCACGGCGCACGGCGGCCACGTGACCGAGATGCGCTGCAGCAGCGCGGCGCACGACTGGAGCAGGAACCTGCACTCGGACGGCCTGGAGCTGCCCAACGGCACCAAGTGGCTGGGCTACCCCAGCAACAGGACGCTCAGTGAGTACGCGCAGCACTGCACGCAGGACGCAGCAGTGTACCCAGCACTGCACGCAGCACGCCTCCTGCAGCAGAGAAACAGAGGCGAGGGGCGACCCACTGTAAAATTGTGGGTGTCGGTTGCAGACTGCAAGCTGTACGTGGTGGGCAAGGCCGTGTACTTGGTGTACACCAACGAGGCGCTGGGCGCGTGGATGCGCGACCCGATGCCCGTGACGGAGGCGGCCGGCGAGCAGTTCTGGGTGACCAGCCAGCACAACACCCAGGTCCTGTACGAGTACGCCAACAAGACGGCCTTCAGGGAGAGGTCGGGCGCCAAGGAGATCCGGCTGCCACAGCCCTTCGTGGTGAGTGAGCCCCGCCGGGAAGTCGTCGCCAAGGGGTAAACCGTTTTCGAAAATTTTGAACGCCGTTACTTCAAATTTGGTCCGCAGGGCAACTCCCACGTGGTGTACAACGGCAAGTTCTTCTACGCGTCCACCAGCGGCAAGCTGGTGCGGCTGGACCTGCAGAAGGGCGACTGGAAGGAGATGCAGGTGCCGTCGCTGGGCGAGAAGCTGTACAAGGGCAAGTACAACTCGATGGACCTCAACGTGGACGACAACGGCCTGTGGGTCATCTACAGCCTCAAGGACTCCAACAACACCGTCGTCATGAAGGTAGCCTCCGTCGCCGCGCCCGCCCTCACTGTTGTTCCACCAAGTGACGTCATATCCGTCAGAATGTGAATTCGTTTTGAATACGACGCCACATTCACATTCAAAGTCAAACAAACGTGACAAAATTCACGAATATGACGTCATATCGGCTGAATAACAACAACAAAACAACAGTGCGGTCGCTGCAAGTGCATTGTTTGTTGAGTACAGATGGACGCGTTCAGCCCGGACCTGAACGCGCAGTACGCCTGGAACATCAGCATCAACAACCACCTCGTGGGCGAGATGTTCATCGTCTGCGGGGTGCTGTACGTGGTGGACAGCGCCGAGGACAACAACTCCAACATCAGGTGGGTGCCCGTGGGTGCACGCCGCCAGTGGGGTGGTGGGTGGAGGCAAGGCTTGAGGGGAGCAGGCTCGGACTGGCTCCCAAGAGGCCCCAGCGGATAAGACCGCAAAAGGCCCCCGATCATCATTATGTTTTTACCCTTCATGACCAACTTTGTGAGGCTACCGCTCCCAAACTATTTGCGGTCAATATCCCTCCCGATACAGGGCATGAAAGAGTAGAGTCTTAAGAATACTAGGGCGTCGAGGGAAGCCTTTTACGGCAACTAGATTGGACACAGTGGCCGCCCAAAGTCAGCAAAATCAGCAAATTTCAGAGATTCGACCACTTTTTGACCAACTTGGTCGGAAAATCGTTGCGGTCAAAGCCAAAATCGTTGTGGTCAACGTCTTCCCGATACAGGGCATGAAAGAGTAGGGTCTTAAGAATACTAGGACGTTGAGGGAGGCCTTTTACGGCGACTAGATTGGACACAGTGGCCACCCAAAGTCAGCAAAATCAGCAAATTTCCGAGATTCGACCACTTTTTGACCAACTTGGTCGGAAAATCGTTGCGGTCAAAGCCAAAATCGTTGTGGTCAACGTCTTCCCGATACAGGGCATGAAAGAGTAGGGTCTTAAGAATACTAGGACGTTGAGGGAGGCCTTTTACGGCGACTAGATTGGACACAGTGGCCACCCAAAGTCAGCAAAATCAGCAAATTTCCGAGATTCGACCACTTTTTGACCAACTTGGTCGGAAAATCGTTGCGGTCAAAGCCAAAATCGTTGTGGTCAACGTCTTCCCGATACAGGGCATGAAAGAGTAGGGTCTTAAGAATACTAGGACGTTGAGGGAGGCCTTTTACGGCGACTAGATTGGACACAGTGGCCACCCAAAGTCAGCAAAATCAGCAAATTTCCGAGATTCGACCACTTTTTGACCAACTTGGTCGGAAAATCGTTGCGGTCAAAGCCTAAATCGTTGTGGTCAACGTCTTCTCGATACAGGGCATGAAACAGTAGGGTCTTAAGAATACTATGGCGTCGAGGGACGCTGTTGGCCGCTCTAGATCGGACGCATTGGCTGCCCAAATTCAGCAAAAACGTGTACTTTCGGAGATTCGATCGCTTTTTGACCTACTTTGTGGCGTTACTGGCCCTGGATTCCGGAGTCTGGATCCACCCTCACTGCTCGCTGCCCGGCTGCGCTTCACCGGCCTGCTTCCCGGTTCCAGGTTCGCCCTCGACCTGTACCGCAACATGGTCCTCAAGGACGTGGAGCTGTCCTTCACCAACCCCTTCGGCAACACCACCATGCTGGGCTACAACCACCGCCACAAGGCAAGTAGCAGAGCGTGCCGCGTCCCCGGCCGCAGGAACCTCCCTATGCTCCTCTCTCTCGCACTCTTAGGGCGCTCCGTAGGCGTGCGAGAGAGAGGAGCGACTGCCGGATGGGCTGGATCGATGCGCTAACGACGTGCAGGGGATCGGAAAGGCCGGAGAACACAAACTAATCTCGGCGTGGCCGTGCAATGCGTCCGCAGGAGCTGTTCTCGTGGGACAAGGGCAACCAGCTCACCTACCCCGTGCGCTACCACGAGATCGACGACGACAAGGCCGGCAAGGAGGACAAGGGCGAGCCGGAGGCCAGCGCGCGCGTCGAGACGGGGGTGGACGTCCTGGACTCCAACTAGCGCACGCACCTCGTCACAGCAGCGCCGTGTTCTCGGCCTCGTCGTCGTCGTCCAGGTCGTCGTCGTCCAGGTCGTCCCACAGGTCCATGAGCGTGCTGGCGGCGCGGCCGTCGGCGCCCCGCGCGTCCGCCACGGCGGCGTCCTCGACGTCCTCGGCGTGCAGGTCGCTCATCACCTGCTGCAGCGACGCGGACCGACTGCCGGCGGAACCGGACGCGTCGATGTTGAGCAGACTGGCGGACGGGGTTGCCGCCGTCGAGGTGGACGCCCTCGGCGACGAGCAGGGCGCCGACGCGCCGGAAGGGCCCGCCACCGCCAGCTGCTCCGCGTCACTGGAAAAGGCGAGGACGCCGTCGATCAAACATCCACTGCGCACGTCGAACCGCAAGGCGACGACCGCCTACCCGTCATCGTCCTTGAAGAGCGACACGCAGATGAGGCGGGAGGGCACGTCCCGCGGCGACGGCCGGTTCCCCAACAACTGCGCCATCAGCATGTTGAGCTCCTCGCGGCCCACGTACAGCGGCCGGCCCGCCGCGTCCTGCTGCAGCACCGACGACCGGCGCCGCCTGCGCGCCGCGGCCGCGGCCGTGGCCACGCCGCCGGGGTCCTCGAACTCGGAGTACAGGTTGCAGCCCAGCTCCGTGTTGCCGCCGGGCCCCGCGTCCCTGGCCGGACTCGTGAACTGCCCCCCGGCGGGGAAGTGCAGCACCTGCAACAGTGGAGTGGTTCCGGTGACTGCCGCCAGAGCGCGCCGCCGGCCGGCCGACCGCCGACGCCGCCCTCACCTGCACCACGGTGTCCACCTCCCTGCCGCCGCCGTCCATGATCCGCATCGTCCCCGGCGGCTCGCACCCTGCGCACACCAACAAGGTCACGGCCACGTCTCGGGGTACTAGCTTCGCACAGTGGGCCAGAAGACCGGTGCAGGCGGCCAAATCTCTAGACGCGTTTTGAGCTCCAGAGTCACTCGGACCGAACGTGACACCCACCAATGGATAGCTCTCCCAATGAGGGTGGGTGTCACATGTTCGGTCTGAGTCCCATTCAGTGACTCTGGAGCTCAGAACGCGTCCGAGGATTAAACCGCCGCCACTGGTCTTCTGGCCCACTGTGCCTCGGCAACCCTACCGACCTGGCGGCACGGGGCCGTCCTTGGGCACCAGGAGGCGGCCGTGCATGTCCTGCAGGCCGTGCTTGAGGTACAGCGACACCCTCACGGCCAGGCCCTGCAGGTAGTTGAGCACGCCGTAGCGCACGGCCTGCAGCTCCCCGGACGGCATGCGCGAGTAGAACTGTGGAGGGAGCGAAGCGGAGGTTGAGCGGGTTGCCTACCTCGGACTCCTCGGGCGCCCGAAGCGCCTGCGAACCTCAGATAGGCAGCCCGTGGCACAGCGAGCCGAAGCGGGTTGCCTACCTCGGACTCGTCGGGCGCCCGAAGCGCCTGCGAACCTCGGATAGGCAACCCGCCGGCACTGCTGTTCGACGGGCCGGCCTACTGACTCACGTCAGGCGCTAAAAAGAACTTCAACTCTTTGATGATGACTACTTTCCCCCAGCCGTGTATGTACTTTGTATTTTTCTAAATAAAAACATGGAAACGGACGCCGACTGTGTACTGACCGCCAGCAGCCCTTGCCGCGCCTGCTCCGCCTCGGCCGCCACGCCCGGCACGTGCTCGCCCATGTACTCGATGTGGTTGAGCGTGGCCTGCAGCAGCTCGCCGGGCGAGTCGGCGCGCAGGGCCTGCTGCTTCACCGCCATGGTCATGAGGTCCCACATCTTGGACATGGAGTCGTCGTCCAGGCGCATGATGGAGGCGTGCGCCAGGTCGCGGAAGAAGGTGCGCAGCGCCGCCACGTGGCCGAGGGGCTGCGGCACGAGGAGCTCCACCATGAAGCGGTCGTGCAGCAGCAGCCGGCAGATGTCCAGCAGCACTGCGGCAGCAGCAGAGAAGAGTAAGACGTCGGCCACCACCATCAAGGGCCCCATCCTCTCCAGCAGACGCGGATCTAGTTCTAGGTCTAGTTCCGGGGGCAGCAGGTCTAGTATCTGGGTTACTGGGCCTAGTTCCTGGGGTGCTAGGTGCAGTACCTGGGGTACTCGATGGGCCGCCTGGAAGGTAGGCAAAAAGCACTGCTGTGCCACTGTAAGTTGACCGCGGTTCACCCGCTTGCTGCTTCCCCTCACATCAGGGCGCGCGATCCGGAAAGGCCACAGAAAATGCGTGAGTGCGAGAGAAAGGGGCGGGGGTGGGTAGGTCGGCGTATTGATTGTCAATCCAGCCCGATGCTGACACACTGTTCTCTGACACGGCAGTGCCATGGCAGTGCAGTGCACGCGTGCTGGCACTGACAAATGACAATGCAATCGTGTTTTTTTTTTGTATTTTCTACCGAAACCTCTGCGTGGATCGATGAGGCCAAAGGAACCTCAGTGTGGGTACCACCGCGGGGAAAGCCTGGCTTCTTTCACACCTTGATGCATGCAAGGCAGTTTGAATGTAATTTTGGCGCCACGTATCAAGATCGCGTTTTTATGTCGGGGGTGTAAAGCAGCGGCACAAACGCGTCCACATTCCACACCCCGCCGGTTCTCGACTGTTTCGTGTGCTTTGGGATGCGTTTCCGAGCGTGGGATCTCGCCGCCGGGCGTCTTCGTCCAGTCTTCCTCCGCACACTGATTCCGAGAGTCGTCTTCGTCGCTCTGTCTCTCTCGCACTCGTGGGGTGTCCCGTTTCGGTGCGAGAGAGACAGAGACAGCCTGCCGCTCCGCTCCTCACCCTTGTCCGCCTTCTCCTGCGGCACGCGCTGGGCCTGCAGCCGCTGCTCCAGGATGTACACCATCTCGCCGCCCAGGTTGAGCAGGAGCATGGGCAGGGTGCGTTCGTTCGCCATGCCATGTCCGCTCGGCGTCCAGCGCCGCGTCTTCGTCGTGGAGCCCGCGCTGTGCGTCGTCAGCGCGGCGAGGTGGACGCGGTGCGGCGGTGCGCGGCAGCCCCCACGACGCCGACGTGCCTCATGGCCGCGCCGCGGCCGCACTCACACTGACGGCGTCCTCGGCCCTGCCTCGGCCTCGCACTTGTCCGGCCCGTGGCGCCGTGGCGCCGCGGCGGAAGCACCCTTCTGGTGGCGGCCTGTCCGGGCCTGTCCCACCCCCACCCCTTCCACGCCCGCCTGGCCCTGCCCCTCACCGGCGTGCGCCAGCCCCGCCGCACTGGCCAACAAGCATTGGGGCTGCCTTCCCTCTCTCTCTCCCTCCCACGCTCGCGCACCGGCACTGTGTGAAGGACAAGGATGGCGAGAGGCGAGGCCGGCGAGGCCTCCCCCACGCAGGGGCCGTTTGTTTGGTCCCCGTCGCCATGGAGACGGCCCGTTGCTGCCCGTTGCCGAGACCGGAGCGGTTCGGTTCGACGGTCTAGAGGTGCCCTGCCCAGGTAGCGGAGCTCCAAAGGGATGAGTTTTCCTTGCGGTCACTCTACGCCGAGCTTTCGACGGAACCAGGTCGGTTGGGCGAGGCTAGGCGAGACAGCCGACTGAGAGTGGTTTCTCGCTGTCTCCCTTATGGAGAGCCCCATGAGTGCGACACAGAGCGACGAAACGACTTTGCTAAACCACTAGGTTCTCTCGCTGGGGTGCCACTGTGGGGCCAAGCGGCCCAGTACCAGCAGCTTGGTACTTCTGGCTTTGGGATTGTATGGTTGACCATGCATCAAATGCTCAACATATCACACCACTCCTCCATCCTCACCCATGACTAAGAAAAGCAGTGTAGGGCTTGTCAGTCTGTGTGTTTGTGTAAGAGAGGGAGGGGAAAAGCGATAAATACAGCTTCTTTTCTCTCACTTTATTGAAATTTTGTTTCAAAATAACATTTTCCCACTTGCACTTGGTTGATCCCATTACATTGCAAATCAAAAACTTTTTCAATTTTTGAAATTTTCCCTGAATACATTATTATAGAGCAGTTCCAGACTACATCATGCACTGGAGCACCCTGTTCCATCTAACTTAAAAAATACAAGATGAAAACAAACATAAAACAAACCCGGCAGTTTTAAATTCAAACTACACAATTCATCATGCACTGTAGGAAGAAAAGAATCTAAAAAAGTTGACAAAACAAGTTTTAAACAAAATGCCATCTTAAGAGGGAAAGCTAAGCTGAAATTAACAAATTATTATGCTCTTTTGTACTCTAGTTAACAGTCGTATAAAGCCCAGTACAGGCAGTTGAAATCTTTATCATGGAAGCATTATTATCACTATACATCACAGACGAGTATTATTGAGTTTTTCTCTACAGAATGAAGCAAATTGTTCTTTATGAGAGTCCTTGATGAATGTAACAAATCCTGCAGGGACAAAAAAGGAGAAAAAAAAACAAACACAAAACATGAACACTTATTTTAAATTAAAAATAAAACAAGAGGTAAAATAATTAAGACGTTACCGACCTTTTAAACATGTGTGAAGACTGGGATGACTGAATACGCTGCTCAAAGTGGCAATGAGCTGAGGATAATTTGAATGCCTAGAGTACTCCTTGACAGCAGCGTTGAATATTTGCAACTGATCATGTGTCAGACTTCTCTTCACCTGAAGAATACAGTAGTCAACAAATTAGGGTACTCTGAACGTTTTCTTTGAATTGTTGGAGTTATTTCACACTGACAACAATACAACTCACCATTTTTAGGTATTCAAGCATGCGCTCTTTTCTGGACAGCACAGGTGGTGCAGAGGCCAAACTAGATGTGGATGAATAGCCGCTGTCATTCTTTCAATTGAGGAAAGTAAAAATTTCAAAAAAGAGAAATCGATAGATGAAAAAGTTCAGAAACAAAGCAAATATGATATTTTGTGCACTAATGTTTACCTGCTCATAATCTAACTTGACACCCATGACTTTTAACTTCCTACGCTTGGAATCTGGAGGACGTTCCTCATTCTCCGCGCGTACGGGAGTATCAGCCTGGTTGGTGCAATCTTTCAATGTGACAGCAGGACTGTCTTCGGTGGTCAGAGCCACAGAATTAAAATCAATCACCTGCAACATTTACAAGACATTAAGAACAAACGAATAAGCTGAGCAGCACTTCAATACAAATGAAGTCCTCTTTGCTGCAATCACCTGCACAGTCTCCTCCAAGGCTCCAAACATACTCTTGGAACCATTATTTTTCTTCTGTGTTGAGCTGCAACCTTGCTGGGAGTACGAAGACATTGAACTGGAGGGAGTGCTAAGACTCTGGCTCCAATTGAAATTCCCATGCCTTTGAGGTTCAGAGGGTGCCTTGCTGTTGCTGAACCACTTGGAGGTGGAGTCAAAGCTGGCAGGGACCGCCCTGCTTGGTCCAGCAGGCTCAGAGGACGCCTCTCCCCAAGCCACAGACATGTCCTTCTTTGAAGGTTGCGGAAGCTGTGTACATTGCAGAAAGATATAAAATTAAAGAATAATTTGTTTTTTAACCTGTTGATACAGAAAAATTTTGATATTACATACCTGTTGTTTGGCATTCTTGAAGAATTGACAAAGACCTCGAGTAACAGCTCCAAACTGATTTGGAGTCTCTATGTATGGTCGCAACCAGGCAGACATTTGCTGTTTAATTGATGGACCAGCAAATCGATTATCACAAAATAAGACAGCTCCATAATCATGCCGATGGCGAATAACTCTACCAATAGCCTGGTTAACAGCTCGTGTTGCTTCAAGCTGGTACCAACTTTGACCAGTCACCTAGAAAAACAAGGTTATCGTTATGAGAAAAAGTCAGAACAGCCAGTTTAGGCTGCTTCTAGAAGCTGATCTCACGCACCTTTTTCTTATTCCTGTCCAGGTAATCTTTTTTCATAATAACACGTGGATCAAAAGCTGGAGGGTAGGGTAAGCCTGTAAGTATCACAGCCCTTCCGTTTTGATCAGCAAAATCTAGACCCTCAGAAACCTAAACAATGTACCAAATAAGACAATAGAATAAACTTTCGAATGCAGTGCACATTTAAAGAGGACCGGTAACAGATGTGCATAGAGTATAAATAATTGTTACCTTTCCACGGCAGACTGCCAAGAAACAGGCTCCCTTGGATCCTGGCTGAGCAATTCGTGAGTAGTAGGCATTCATAACATCCTTTAGATCCCTTTTGCCTTGTGGTTCTACAAAGATTTCCTGTTAAATAGGAAATAGAACAAATCAGTCAAACTTTTGCACCCTGGAAGAGCTGGGGCCTACTTCAATGTAAAGTCATTAGTTTTTTTTCTTATGAGGGTACCTTTGCTGCAAATATTTGATTCCAGATGCCAGTAATTTCCCAAGACTCTTTACATTGATTCAACACACTGTATGAAGGGAAGAATACCAGCAAACCTTCAGGTATAATTCGTGCAAAATTGACAATTGTCCTTCCCAGCGAACTTAAGTAAGAACTATTGGATCTATGAACAGAATTTATGATACCATCTCAAATTAAATCATAATCAGACCAAGCAATATCTGAACATGAAAGCCATTAACTTAGTTACCGATTTTGAAAGGACGAATTCAGTGGTTCATTGTCCGGACCACAGCTTACTACACTGACAAATACCTAAAAAAGGAAAAATTGGAACATACATATCTACCGATTAAAAGTCAACATTTACAAAACAATATATCTCTCACCTGATCTCTGGTGATGACATGCTTATTTTCCAGAGTTATATTAATTGGGATACCCAATTCAGAAATCAGTGGAGGCAGAGGAGACAAAGTACCACTTGTCACAATTATAGAGTGAACTCCCAAATTCAATAGGCCTTTCATACCATATCCAGGATTGAAGCACCAGAAATTAACAACTTTCCCACCTGGTTTAGTGTCGTCTTTAGTAGTATTCCAGGAATTTTTCTTGTAGGTGGGCTTTGGTTTCTCAAGAGCAACAAACACTTTATAACATTCTTTCACAGAATTTATATGGTCTTGACAGGTCTTCTTTTCAAAATGATAAACTGTTTTGAAGAAATTAGCAAGTTTTTCTAAGTTTCCACCAGTTTTCTGAAAGGGACCAGCACCTTGACTGCTTTTCAAGGCATTCAGATACTGAACAATTAGCTCCACAAGTGTTGCATAAAGATTGTATGTATCAAATGATACATTAGCTTTGTTGAGTAACTCAAAAATATACTCTCCAGGAAATGAAGATTCTGTATTTGTTTTTTGAGTCAGTGGAATTTCATCAATCGCTTTCTCCAATTTTAACAGCATTTCCTTAAGCATCATCAAATCATGTTCACTGAAGTCTCTCTTTTTCTCAGAATCGTCATTAAAGTCCATAATGGGATTTTCAGAAACAATCTTCATTACCTGAAAAATGTAAAACCATTTTTGAGACTGCGCCAACTGTAAAAGTAAAAGTGTAAAATATTCTTAGAAGCTGAAGCACTTACTTCCGTCACTTCCCCAATACATAAGGCAACATCTGTGTTACAGAGACTGAAAGATGCAGAATCTTCACAAATTTTCTCCACATTGTGACCTTCATCTAAAATTACAATGCTATTCTGTAAAGGAAAACAACAAGCAGTGTTTTAAAATTTTAAAAGTGCATATTATTTTAAAACACTTCACAGGGACTGAGTACACACATTCATATCCACATCTTGCTGTCTGCGAGTGCGAGGGTCCAACAAATAGTTGTAGGGCATGAAGACAATATCAGCAGCCTGCTTAAGTTCTCGAGACATATAGTATGGACAAACCCTGGTTGCAGCGCTAACTTTGATCAAATCTTCAATATCCATTACACCTGCTTCAGTGAAGGCAGGATCATCTCTCCTTCTTTCAACATTTCTGTGCAAGTAGCATGCACGGTTAGCCAGTAGAGTTTGACACATTGCTGTCTGAAAAGCAGAAATGGACATTTTAGTCATTGAATTAAGCCCGAAATGTAACAGAGCCACCCCATTTAGTTTTACCTTTATAGCAGTATTTTCTTCTTTTGATACGTCAGGGTGAGTGCATAACTGATCCCTTGAGCCAATAACTGCCATTCGCATGTGAGCGTAACTGGTGCGCTTCATTTCAGATATAGCTTGAGTGAGTTGTGAATGGGTACGAGATGAATAAATTATTTTAGGACTAAATCTTCCTGAAATTTACAATAAGAGATGAATTAGAAAGAAAAATATTACTGAAGCTAAAGCCATGTTCAGATGTAAAACAACCAACCCCATGACATGGGTTGATTTCCTTCTGCGCCAGCAACACTGTTCAGACTGTCTTTTAATTCATCTAAGAAAGGATTGTCTTCCATTGTCATGCGCATGGCTTGATTTTGGGCCTTCTTCACATTTAACCATGCTAGCGATGCACACAATAAGCTCAAAGTTTTACCAGTCCCAGTAGGAGATTCCAACATGCCATGGGCTCCCTGATGAAAAAGATTCAGTCAGACAAAAGGTGAAAACAAACTGGTTTTTGAACTTTGGGAAAGAAAAGGCTTACCGATTGAAGACAATCTATTACTTTTTCCATGTAAGCGCGCTGAACGTCGTAAGGCTCAAATGGAAATTGCACAGGGATGTTCCTTATCATTACCTCAGGCATCTTGGAAGTGAGATGTTATTATGTTTGACAGAGGAATAAGAAACCTAGATCAACAAATCAAGTCAACGGTTTAAGCATAAATGGGTCAATCGTTTCATGGCTCAAAATTTGGTTAAAAAAAGAGAATGGCTAAAAGTGGTGTGAAAACGACATGAGGTTTATTCAGACTCAAACAGTACCAAGTGAAATAACAACATAGCACAAAGACGTGTGAAACGAGTAAGGTTAGAACCCCTCTCACACGTAAGGCTTAACTTACCAAAATTGGCACAGTTCGACAACAACTTTCAGAGGGAACAAAATCACTGTAAGCCAAGGTCAATGAAATCGAAGCCAGATCGACGAGACAAGAACAAATAGAGCATTTACGAATGAAAACATTGTCTGCCTTCCTGACGTTTTCACCTTTTCCCATCCATCCCTTCCCCGCTTCTCTTTTCCCGCTCTCAAGAACGATGCTCATTTATTGGCAAACTTGTCAACGAAGGCGCGAAAATTCAATTGCAAGTGGGAACTGTGCTCATGGGAAAGGACTTTGGCCGTCTTGTCTAGCCACATTTCCATTATTCCCTGACATAAGGTAAGGTAGAAGAAAATAACCCAAGTGCTTTCTTTCTTTTTTACTAGGTTTATAGGACAGTCGAGAGATGGAATTGCCATCTTCAAAATATCATCAAATACAAAATTGCAAGAGGTAAGTTAAAAAAAAGAAGGAAACACTTTAACTACATTAGCGTTCTGGGCTGTCCATCTTCTCAGCCAATCGAGCTTGTAAAAATTTCAAATAAGGGTCCTTGAAGTGGGCATTTGATGGTATATAATGGCCTCCAGGATGTCGTATAATCTGCTTTTCTTCACAAAATTCTGCAAGAGTTTTGCTCATGTCTGTAAACAGAGCAAAATCACACATAAATGTATCAACTCATAAAGTGCGAGCAATTTTTATTTCTCTCGACAGCTCATCAATCAACTGATATCAACTGAATAATGCTTACCTTCAGGTATCACAGTGTCAGTCTCCCCAAATATATGCAATGTTGGAAGGCCAAGCTTGTCAGTGTACAGATTTTGATGAGCAACACAGCGTGATAAGTAGCCGGAAGAAAAAATTGCAAATTTAAAACTGCCTTGAAGTCCTAAGTAACAAATGTTTAGAGTAAAAAATTAAGCGGTGTCCTACAGGCAAAACAAGGGCCCTCAATGCTGAAATTTTATCTTACGTCCTTGTTGCTGTAAACAGCATAGCAGACTCAAGAAACAGGCTCCTTGTGAAAATCCTAATATACCATCAAATGGTCCTTTTTCTCGGATAACACTTTCTACAAATTTGACACTTTCCTCAAAGCCAAAGCACTTTGATTCAAATTCCTTGGAATCATAGGTGTTCGTCTCTTCGTTTGTGAACCACCATGCGTGAGGATCTGTAATATTAACAATTATAAATCATGCTTGCTTAGTGTTCCCAAAGTACCGAACATGTCGAAAGGCTATTAGCAAACCTCCATCGGCTGGCTCATTGTCTTCATCTGAGTTTATTATGTGAGGGGAGCTGATATATTCAAAATCTGCAGCACTTTTCATAAGTTTCCGGACTCCACCCATTTTTTTTCGGAAATGTTCTCCACTCTGCCTGTATCCATGTAAGCACAGAATCTGTTGAGGAATAAAACCAGGTCAGCTTTATGTATCAAACTGGAGTAATGTCAAGACAGATTTTCAGTGACTAAAACTAACTGCAACAGGTAACCGAACCAAAAAGCTGAAGAGGACCACTGTCTACTCTGACATTTAAGAACTATGGTAATTACTTTTAACTTAGAGGTATCCATTGTTGCTTTAATAGAAAAGAGTAAGGTAGACAATCGTTTCAAGCATATCTTGTGAAGGCTCCTTGTGAACACTGGCATTCACTCTCCAAATTGAAATGATCAGCTTTTCTGCTGTTGGCTTCTGCTAATCGCCCCGCTTGCCAGGGGTGGAGGTGGAGTGGGGGCCGGGGGGAGGCTCATGAACTCATGAATCAAGCGTCAAGCGCATGCAAAATTTCAGAGATGGACCGGAAAAAGAGACAAGAAAACTTTGCGGGATTTTTTGAAAGTCGTTTCATTTCCGGTCAATCTTTCCGAAGCGGGAGATTCCGACGTGGAGGATGACATTCCTCAGGCTGGGCAACCGCTTCTAGAATCGTCTGCTTCGAACTCGTCCTTAAAAATTCTCTGGCACCTTTCCCAAAGCCTTTTCAAAACAAATTTTTCCTCGGAAGCTATCAATAATTACATTTCCCATCGTTTCATTGCCTCTCCCCGTTTAATAGAGCGTCAGTAACCTAATCATATCGCTAAAATATTTCTGTCAATACCCAGGGTGGCCACCAGACGTTGCTGGTGCAGCTGGTAACGAAGTAAACAGTCAGTTTAGTTCAAGAAAAATGGCTCCAACAAGAAGAAACAACGATGGGCTTTTGGCAAGGGTCAATTTTCCTTTGTACACGCTGCAAATGGTCACAAGTAGACACATTTTGGTTGGCGGGGGAGGCGGATCTTCAAAAACTGGCGTAGCCAATGGTTTCGTAAGTAAATTGTCAACATATTTTTCGCTCATTTTTAGGCAAATTTAGTCGTTTATATTCTTTTAAATGACGAGATCACACTCAAATTAATATGTCAATGTTTCTAGATGACCACTAAATCTTTCGTTTGGCTGGGAACGAAGTCATCTAACCTAGTTCCACTTCACATTCTTTTCTGATTGTCATGCCACTTGTCAGCCTTGGCAGTTTTCTCCTCTCAATTAAAGGTCTAGCTGAGTTCTCATGGTGTCAAAACTTACTGATTTTTCACAAAGCGTCGTTTGCAAAGTGGCATTAGATGTGATGTCAGATTCTGTAATTATTTCATTAAGTGTGACATTTGTCCTTGGTTTCATTGTTGTATCATTTTTACTCATGTCTTTTTTATGCATATCCCTTTCTTTGGTCTGAATTTAATTAATTGCCTTTTATGGTTGCAGGAAATTTTTGAGATATCTCACAACGGTGAAACATTTGTTGCCGAAGAAGTCGTTCGCCATGAAACAGGACCCACAGTTGTCATGAACTCAGCTACTCATAACAATGGCAAACACACTTACCTGGTTGCGGGTCAGGAGAGTCACTGTCAGCTATATAATGTTAAGATGTCTGTGGGGACGGAAAAGCGGGGCAGTGTTTCTAACACTGACATTACTAATGAAGGTAACCCAATAATAAACAGTCTTCATACCTTATAAATCATTATTTATGAGATAGTTTCTCACATCATTTTCATTTTGTTAAATCCTCTAGGGAGTGGAGCTCGTCAGCGCAAAAAGAGAAACTCTACGAGTGATGCCAGCAAAAATTCCTCTGAACAAAAGACTCAATCAAATGGCACCATCAAAACACAAAAGCGGTTAAATTTTGAAATAAAACCATCAGACAGTATTCAAACAGACTTTAGGTATGTCCTACTCAAATTGTTGTTAACTGTTCTTGCCCTGCTTCTCAAATGTAATGTTTTTTTTATTTTTTTATCTACTTTACAGTGCAGAGGAACCTCTTCAAAGAGTTGTTCGGATCAGTCGAAATGGTCAAATTATGGTTACTGGTGGAACTGATGGGTTCATTAGAGTGTGGCAGTTTCCATCAATGAATAAAATCCTTAATATTAAAGCCCACTCAAAAGAAATTGATGATCTTGATATTTGTCCTGACAGTGCCTCAGTAAGTCTTTCATACTAGTGACTTATCTGCCATTTGTAGTATTTTGATTTGTGCTATCTTAACTCTTTCCTGTATTCATTTTAGATAGCGAGCATTTCTAAAGATGGCACCTGCTGTTTATGGAATGCTCAGAATGGGAAGAAGACTTCAACTCTAACATGGGAAATCCCTGCTAATTCAAAGTACCTGTATAAGCGCTGCCGGTATGTGATGCTTAGTGCAAGCGTAGTTACTTGCTCTCTCATTAAAGTTGGTGAAATCTCTGATTAATTTTTAAAATTTCTGCTCATAGGTATGGAATAAGAGGAAACGGAACCGATATAGATTCTTTATTCACTCTGGCCAACCCTGTGGGACAAGCTGGAAGTCTAAAATCATATCTTCAGTTATGGGAGCCAGCTAGTGGGAAACTTCGTAAATCCTACCCCTTTGATGAAAGTCTCGCTGCCTTGGCTGTGCGTGACGATGGAATGTTTGTTGCTGTTGGCACTATGTTCAGTGGTAGTGTATCTATTCATGTGGCTTTCAGTCTCCAGGTATGTTAAATTTTCGTTGTTTCTCTTGTTTTTGGTCCCTCAATACAATAATAACTGTCCTCTCACCCTCCTTATTTCAAATGTCTGATTTCTTTTTCTAGAGGATTATGTCCGTTCGCAATGCACATGGTATGTTTGTGACGGGTCTTGAATTCCTGCCAACATCCCTTGATGGTCCAGCTGTCACTTGCCCTTATGAAGCAGCTGTCGTTAGCATTTCTGTTGACAATCGTGTGTGCATTCATCAAGTCCCCTTCAGACGTAAGTACAGCTATTGCAATACAAAATGTGACGTTCCAAGCTTTGTTTGGTCTTACTCTGACCTTTCTTGTTCATTGTTGTTACAGATTCAATGCCTGTGTGGCTGGTTCTAGTTCTGATGGTACTTTTACTGTGCGCATCATTTACTGTGTGTAGTTACGTGGGTTTATAAACTTAAATTATTTACTTACACTATCAGAAAGTCAATGTCGCAAAATTACTGTTTAATGCAGTTTTATGTTATGAGGACAGGTCATGTCATGTGAATTCTGGAACAGGGAATGTTATGCATTAGCTTTGACTGATAAAATTTGATAACTACTGGTGGCGTGTTTTAATGTTGATAAATATAATAAATTTCTACATCTTTTACTTCTAGTTTCTGTCGAGCCTGAGGGTTTCCTTTCTTTTGCTATACCTTTGTAAGAAATTTTAGTTCTAGACCTTCATGAATAATCATGTGTTTTCTATGTTCTGTGCTGCTTTCACTGCATTTACTTCAAGCTTTGAAAATGTGTTTTTATGATCATATCATAAAACTCTGTTTGTAATCTGCGTGTTAGTCAAAAAGAGTCACCTAGTGCAGAGGCATTCATTTTCAAGGCTGAGGGTCAAGTTTTGTGTATCAAGTTTTCAAATGCATTTTCTGTAACTCATCCAACACTTATGAATGTTTACTTGTAAACACAATGCAACACTAGTCACTCCTATCTGGATTGTTTTGTTGCCATTTTTGAAAGTTAGTGAACTGGAGTGTTGACATGTTTTTTGTTAAAGTGACAGTTAAATTCTGTCTTTTGTTGTTTAGCTTCTTATCAGCTTGCTAAAATCAATTTGGTTCTATGATTTGCAAGATTCCTGCTGTTGGACTTGAGTTTATGAATAGATGAACTCAATTAAGTAGTTATATTCTAGAAAGTACTTTTAATTTTATCATCACTGTCTTTGCTCCTACACTTTCATCACTATTACCTCTTAATGTAACTACACTCATTCCTAATAATTTGCTCAATAGGGTGCATTGATTGTGCCTTATTTGTATTGATCATAAAAATGTGTTTCAATGCTTAATTCTGTATATCAGGGCTGAGCATGTGACAAGAGTTTGTTTTAATTATAATTAAGTTTACATGATGAGTGTCCAATTTTAGTGTTTCATAGTATGAAATTGTCTAGACTTTTTTTTGTGAAGTAATAGAAAGAGATTGGCTGAGTTTGGCTGGCCCAGACTGAAACTCGTACAAGCAGGGTTACCTGTCGGGGTTATTCGTTGGTAGTGTTTCTTCTCTCTCTTTTTAATAACCAGAGATAACTTATTACTGAGCTATCTTTGGTTTTCATCTTTGACTTGGGTTTTATGTTCTGCTTCACCATTCTCACCCTTTATGTTTCTACCACATGTTTAGCTTAGGGTAGAAATGGTGTGCATGGAAGTGGGTACCTTATTTAAAAAGAATATATGAAATGGTGTCAGGTGTATGTTAGGCATTGAAGCTGAAGTTCTATGGACTGTTTTATCATGTCTCAATTTTATACTTGTACAACGTGCTAAATTTTAAATTAGTATTTGTAGAATTTTCTCGGGAGGAAATGTCTTTGATTGTCTTTCATGTTTATTTATTGTTGTTTTTTTTCTGTATAGGTCTATTGTGAAAATTAGAATTAGATTTTATTCCAATGTTAAAAGCTTCACTGCAAGTAAACCCCTCACCCATTCGCATTGTACCTCTTGGTTCGGTACTCTTTGTTTCTGTTACTGGATCTTGTTTTACAGAGACTGGTTCAGTTGGGAACTTACAGAATTCCTGGGTCAACTGTTCAGTTTGTTTTATCTCTGTGATAAGTTGTCGGTACGTTTTTGTTGTGTCGTTTGCTGGCATGGAGGCATTGAAGCATAGTGGAGTTCTCGTAAAAGTCACCTCATTTAGTTATATTGTTCATATATTGTGGCTGATAAACAGGGTTTGGTTTGGCAAACAGTTGCTGCTGAACCCTACTACCTCATGACAGGGTTTGCTCTTTACTGTTCAAAAATCTGTATACAAGAGCCTTTTTATACTTAAAAAAAAATACCTACAGAAATTTTGTATCAATGTATCCTAATCTTTGAGGCTGAAGTGAGGCACTGCGTGAGTTGCCGAGTCACACCAACAGCGACTTAATTTTCCTCTTGCCATGCTCTTGTGTTGTAAGCTGTTGGTTTTTCAGCCTCTATCACTAGTGGGTGATTATTTGCTTATTTTTATTTTCAATTACGAGCATTTTTGTTGTTTTTGTTGTAGTTTGCAAATTTTCAAAAATATGTGATTGGCTGTATTGTGTATTTTCTTCACTATCCCTTGACAAACTCAGGAGTAAGTGTCAATGTTTCAATGTAAATATTGATTAATTTTATTTTTCATCAACGAATATTTAAGAATTGTTGGGGCATTCTGCTCATGTTATGGCTTTTGGATGAAGGATTGTCAAAATGTGGAAGGACAAAAGTTACTCAAAACATTGCGGGTCTCTGCCAATAAACGCTGAAGAAGAAAAAACTATATTCAAAATTTGGTTATGTTATGCTTTCTTTTCCCCAACTTTCTATGCACCAGAAAAAGGACAAATTTTACACAAAATCTGATTCCTTTTGCCGTACACTGTCATGAGTGTTGTGGCTTTGTTGAAGCACCTCTGTCTCTGTGGTGAGCATTGTTGAGGAACCAGTCTCTCCTGGCGTCGCTCGCAGCCGCTCGATGTCTCAGTCTGCCGCAAGGTAAGACACTACTTCTTGCGGTGAAAGCTTTTAAAACCCGTCGCTGATTTTTTTTTTCGTTACCCGGCGCTGCATGTCTCGAGTGATCCGGGTCTTCCCCTAGCCGCACGCACACCTCTTGCAGTCACGGGGTATCGCCGGGCGGTCGGCCCTTGCGCTGCCCCGCTCGTTCGGCGCTACCCCACGACTCTCCGGGCCGCTCGGGCCGGCCGGGACAGAGTCCATGTCCGCGCGATCACAACACGAGCCGGCCGCATTGGGTTTCCCGCAGCGCTGCAAGGGCGTGTACCTCGTCGAACGGACGCACTCGAGTTAATAAAAAAGGAGCGAGTATTTGGAAGGGAGAGGGGGAGGGCGCAGGACGGACAGGTATGTTTGGTCTGGCAGGGCAGCAGGCCGAACAGGTAGACCCCCTCCATGTCGGAGAGGAGGGGGCCGCCGCTGGGCCGTCGCTACTCCACTCCACCTCCCTGCCGATGGTCCCGTCGTCCCGTCCCGCTACTGCCTGCCTCTGCCCTCTGCCTCTGCCTCGGCCGCGCCTCCCCCAGTCTCAGTGTGTCAGTGTGTGCGGCCGCGTGGTGTGCTGTAGCTGTCGGGTTCAGTCGAGCGTCGAACCGGTACGCCGCCGCGTCGCCGCGCGTGGAGTGTGCAGCTCTGCCCATCTGCTGGACGCTGCAGAGAACCGTGTGAGTGTGTGTGTCCGGCGATCTGCCGAGGAGGTACCCGGTACCAGTCGGGTACCGGTGGCGTCGGGTAGCGGGCAGCAGCCGCTGCAGCAGGATTCCTCGAACCCCGGAGCAGCGCTTCGAACGCGGGTGAGTGACTGTGTCTTTTGTGCACTTCCGTAGGACTTCCGTCATTCGAGCTCTGGTGCAGTGTTTTTCCGGTGGCGCATTGTCCGTCCGCCTGTCTGTGTGTCCGTGTCGATGTCGGCCTGTCTGCCTGTCCGTCTGCCTGTCACGTACGCTGGGCCTCGTGACCACACCGGGGAAACTGTCTCATTAATGGCGCACGGCGCGCCCTGCTGCCCTTGTCCGTGCCCAGCCATGCCGTCGACAATTGTCATAGAGCTCTGCCTGCTCTGGCGTGCGCGCACATCACGTGTGTGGCGCCAGCCGGCGGCCCACCGACGGGCAGCCAGCTGCAGACTCATTCCGCTCTGTCTCTCTCGCACCTGCAGGGAACGCCTCGCCAGTGCGAGAGAGACAGGGCGACTGCAGCCGTGCCGCCCACCAGGAAGGCGCTCTGCATGCCCTGCTGCAGGGCTGGTCAATGAGCGCCAGTGGCGTGGCTAGAACTGTTCGAAGGAGGGCGTCAGCCAGGCGTTGTGCCGACATTGACGCGGAGTGTGCTGCACTTTGCCTCCCTCGCAGGCGGCTGCATCTACTGGTACAAAAAGGGGGGAGGGTCACGTCCTCCCTGACGTCCCCCCTGGCCGGACGACACCGATGAATTGGCCGCCAACCCTGGCTCGAAAGACCGGTGGGGGCGGCCAAAACTCTAGACGCGTTTTGAGCCCCAGAGTCGCTAATCAGGACTCGAACCGAACGTGTGACCCCACCAATGGATTCCTCGTTTGGAGAGCAATCCATTGGTGGGGTCACACGTTCGGTTCGAGTCCCTTAAGCGACTCTGGAGCTCAACGCGTCCGGGATTTTGACCGCCTCCACCGGTCTTCTGGCCCACTGTGCGGAGGACACTGCGACGTCTCCAGGCCGAAACAACGGCGTCTAGATCGTTTAAAGGGACGCGCGCGGCGTCGCCGTTTTGCAACAACACCGCAGTGGCGGCGACGCGATGCCGCCGAACGCGGTGCTCCGTCTCTCTCGCACCCCTGCGGCCGTGCGGGGCGCCCCGTGAGTGCGAGAGAGACAGAGCGACGCGCTGTTCGGCCTGCCGGCGCTTCTTGCGTGCGCGTCGAGATTGCCTCGCGGTGTTTATGTTGATTATTACTATTATAATGATAATGATGACGCTGCGGTGCGCGAGGTGCGCCCACGCCGCGTCGCGACGCCGCCACGGCGGGTACCTCGGCGGGTACCTCGGCGGAGGAGGATCGCTCCGTCTCTCTCGCACTCGCGGGCCGCCGCGTGGGGGTGCGAGAGAGACGAGAAGATCTCGGCGGGGCAGAGGATCGGCGCGAAGGTTGCTCGGCACTCGTCGAAAAACAGGACGGCGACGCGACGCGGTAAAGCCCCAGAACCGCAATGCACTTGTGGCACAGTGACCTGACGCGTCGCCGTCGTCCTGGAGAGAGGCGAGCTCCTCGCGGACGCGGGGCGCGAAGCAAGCTCTGCAGAGTGACCTATGGACGGTAAAATTAGCAGTGGGCGCTCAAGTCCTTGTATGGCTTCTTAGTAACGAGCCGAGGGAAAAAGACAACTATTGGCAACCTTCCCTGCTGTCGAAGTAACTTTTTTACACTCTGGAAATGTTTTTGTTCGTTTTGTAAGCGAGCGCCCTCTGGTGTGGGCTGACCGTTTTGCAAAGGCCGCGGTTGGCGTGCGGGGGTCCTGCAGAGACTGATTCCGAGAGTCGTTTTCGTCGCTCTGTCTCGCGGGGCGTCCCGTGTGGGTGGGAGGGAGACAGAGCGACGAAAACGACTCGGAATCGGTCTGCTGGTGCACCTTGCGCGACGAGTCCGAGGCGAGGCAGGCTGGTGCCTGACCGTGACCACCACTGACCAAGTGTCTGGCGGCGGGGCGTATACGAGGAGCCTGCGGCGGGCAGGCTGGCTGGTCTTCGGGACGCCTGGCGCGCGGCCGATGCTGTCCCGTCGAGCACGCGTGTGAGGCGGGGCAGTCCAGGCGCTCCGGCCGGGCGGGCCGGCCACTCTGTCTCTCTCGCACTTACACAGGACGCCTCCTGAGTGCGAGAGAGACAGACACACAGTCTCACTCACATCTATACAGGACGCCCTATGAGTGCGAGAGAGACGAAAACGACTCTGGGTTTGCAGTGGCGTAGCGGAGGGGCGAGAGTCCCCCAGAGGACGGCCGCGGTCCCCGCAACGCCAGCGTGGCCGCCAACACAAGTCGTCACGCGAGGCGCGCGGTGCACTGGCAGACCAAACATCCCCCGATTGGATTACTGTCGGCAAGTTGGTGCCACTTGCTCCCTCTTGCGGGTGGCCCGCGCTGCACCCGCGCTGCAGAGCGAGGTGGTTGCGTTCGCCGTGGTGCTGTGCTGGCGGCCTGGCGGGGCGGCAGACTGACTCCGAGAGTCGTCGCTCTGTCTCGCTCCCGCTCATGAGGCGTGCCGTGCAGGTGCGAGAGAGACAGGGGCCGAATCGCTGGCGGCACGAAGCGTCGTCCTGCGCGCCGTACTGCCGCACGCTTTGCCGGTATGTTGGCAACACCACTAACTACTCCGCGATGGGGCTCAAGCCCGGCGCAAGCCGCAATGGGCCGGTCGCTCTGTCTCTCTCGCACCCCTACGGGACCTACGGGAAGGCCCGCGAGTGCGAGAGAGACGGAGAGACTGAGCCTGCGGAAGGCATCGGGGGGAAAGCGCGCCAAAGCGCGGGGCTGATTCCTCTCCGTCTCTCTCGCGCCTAGGCGGAACGCGCCGCGTGTGCGAGAGAGACGGAGCGTTTGGAATGATCGCTCTGCCGCTAGAGATCGCCCGGAGCGGCCAGGCTCGGGCCAAGCTCGGCAAGCCCGAGATCCTCGCCATACCGCACACGAACGCACGCGGACGCGCTCGCACGTACAGTGCCTCTACAGTCGCAGCCCGCCAGCCTGCAGACACGTACTGGTGTCAGTTGGAAACAGGACTGGGCATCCCCGCCGACCGGGCTGTTAAAGCCTGGGGCCCGCCGGCACTCTTGGTACACTCTTTGGACCATTATTGGCGGCGGAGGGGGCAGTTCTTTTAGCTCGGCGGATTCGTAAAACGCGTAATGCACAACGCAAGTTCACCACGCACACAGGTACATGTCTGTGTCTCACACACACACACACACACACACTCTTGATTGTCGTGCGGACACGCTCTGGACGCGCCTTCGCTCCGCCCGCGGGCCCCTTCGGCTCTTGCGTCGCTTGTTGTTGTTGTGAGGTACACTAGTACACGCTGGCTTTGCGCTGCTTTACGCTACGCTGTGGCGGAGCGGAGCGCACGCTGATTGTACTCACGTTATTATTGCGCATCGTTTTGCCTGAAGTGCGCATGTGTGTGTAAGTGTGTGTGCCCGTGCGGCCCCCAGAGACCTTTTGTGAGTCGTTGGGGCATAATCCCGATGACCCAGTTGGAGGAGGTGAAAGGTTGGCGTTTTCGTCGTTGTTTGGTTCCTCCAAGGGCGCCCTGCTGGTGCCCTGCCGCCCTGCACGCTCATTTCGAGAGTCGTTTATTCTTCGCTCTGTCTCTCTCGCACTCCTAGGGCCCCAACGTTGCCTACCAAGTACGACTTGTTGCCTTTCGTTCGGCCGGCCTCGTCGTCTTCGACGCACCCTGCCCCCCTCCTGGATCCGACCTGGCCGAAAGTGGATTGTGTCGCGCGGGGTGAGGCTTCCGCCCCCAGCGCAAGCCCAGCACACTGAGAGTCGTTTTCGCCGCTCCGTCTCTCTCGCACTCTTGGGGCGTCCCGTGTAGGTGCGAGGGGGACAGAGCGACGACTCTCGGAATCAGTGTGCGCAGGCAAGGCAGGCAGGCAGGCCGGCCGCGCTCCACTGCCGCCAACTGTTGAAAGCCTGGAAGCTGGCGGAGCCGGCGCCCTGGCGGTATGGTGATGAAGTGGGTGATGAAGTAGGCTAGGCCGCCGCGGCACGCGCCGCCCCGGCTGTCTCGCCTTCTTGACGCTCGCGCGGTCGGCGTGCCTCTCGGCGTGCCCTGGTCCTGGTCTTTTCCTCGCTGCACGCGATTTTGCAAGGCGAGCTTGCCTCCTCGGCGTGGAGGTGTGTCCGTGCGCCTGCACGGCCTGCACTTGCATGAAGCGGCCCGAAGCTCTACAGCTGCCACGGGGCGGCCGGGCCAGGCCTGGCTCGCTGAGGGCTGCCCTGCTGGCTGGCTCGCAGAGTCGATTTCGTCGCTCTGTCTCCCTCTCACCCGTACGGGACGCCCCGTGAGTGCGAGGGTGACGGAGCGACGAAATCGACTCTCGGAATGTCAGTGTGCTGGCCATGCCCCAGTGCAAGCCGGGGCCGTGGCTTGACCTGCCCCACGGCCGCGGAGGCGGCGGATAGCAGCGGCCAAAAGTGGCACTGCTTTTTGACAAGGGCGAAAGCTGGCGCGGGGAGGGGGAGGGGGCATGGGGTAAAAAACAGCGCTCGAGCTCGCGGTCTAATTAAAACGTCGGCCACGTATGGCTCTGCGGCTGGCCGCGGCGGGCCGCGTCTTGATGGCCCCACGGGCCATTTCGCGCTGGAGCCTCCAGCCGGAGGGTCCCGGACCGTCCTGGGCCGTCCTGGGCCGTCCTGGGCACTCCGGGCAATATCACTTTCCGTCCGTCCGTCTCTGTCAGTCCGTCCGCTTATCTCTCTTCTTTCTCTTCCGCTTCACCCCATTTTTGCTGCAACGCCTCGTCCTCCGATTGCGCGGCATGGAGCGATAAGGATCAACCGTCTGCTTGGCCCGGCGCCGCTGCGGCTGCCTCTGCCTTTTGGTGCGCCCTGCCTTTGCCTTCCTCGTTGTCGCTGCATTCCGTATTGCATCGCGTTGCCGCAGCCGAGTTGTTGAAGTTTCGTTGCACTTGCCACCACGTTGAATTTTTTGTTTTTCGAAATTTTCGCATTGAGCTTATTTTTGAATTATTTTACATCATGAATTCTTTTGCATTTACATAACCTTGTTGAATTTTGATGAATTTTCGCCCTTG